GACGAGTCTGGTGGCCAGGTCTCTGGGGCGGGCACCCCCTCAGCTGCTATCGCCTCCCCCAGCACCTGCCCCCACTGACCAGGGCAGGCGGGTACTGACCACCAAGGAAAGGCTGCCCTGCTCGGGGTCGCCCACGAGGCCTGCCATGGGGTGCCCGCCTGAGGAAGAAGGTAAGGACGGAAGGAGACTCTCTGGAGCCCAAGGCCTGGCTCCACTGGGGCGGGGAGCAAGCCAGAGAGGAGTGGGGCAGGCCTTGCGGCAGGGCCGGGGATTAGGGTTCCGAGGAGAGAATGCTGGGGTGGCAGAGGGCCGGCGGGGCCTGGACACAGGCAGAAAGGAGCCCGACGCCACCCGGCCAGCGCCCCAGCCTCTGGGTGACAGACGGGGCAGTCGCTGTGAAGGTGGCCCGAGGCCCAAGGCTGCGCCGCGAAGCAGAGAGCTCCGTCCCGAGACCTGGGGCTGACCCCGAGCCTGCGGCAAGGCGTCCCGTGCGTCTGCTCCAGCCGCTGCCGGCCAGGAGCGAGGCCTGCGTCTGCTCAGGGCCACAGCCGCCAGGCCACCCGACACGCTTGGCCAGACGCCCGCCCGCGTCTGCCCGGGCTGCGGACACGGTAATTGCATTTGCTCCACTCCCACACGATGGATAGCCAGGCCCTCGGTGGCAGGAGGGAGGGCAGGCAGGATATGGGAGCCAGGCACGAGAGCCTTAGGCCGGCCACAGCTTGGGGGGGCTGCGTCTCCCCAGGACCCCCAGGGCCCTGCAGGCACGGTCCACTGGTGGACCCTGTGTTGCCCCCACCCGCATCGCTCGCTCACCCAGGCAGGGCAGCGTCCACGTGGCCCAGGGCACCAGGCCCCAGAGGCTGGAGGGGGCGGGTGGGGCTCAGCTGACAGCACCAAGAGCTCCTGCCAGCAGTGGGCAGCAGGGAGAGGGGCCGCGCCAGTGCAGCTTTCAGAGTCAGCGATCCTGGATCTCAGCGGGCAAAATGTCGCTGGCTCCTTCCTCGGCCCCCGGGGCCGCCTCTATTTCACGGCCCCTTGCAGTGATTTGAAGTCCATCCCCCCATCCGAGGAGCGCCCTCTGCAGGCGCAGCCGTGGGCACAGGTGCCGTCTGCAGGGCCGCAGGGTGAGGCTCGTCCCCCCAGCTGCCCGCGTCACTGTGGCCTGCGAGATCCACGTGCGTGGGGCTCCGCGGGGGCTGAGCCCCCCAGACACCCATCCTACCGCCTTCTTGCTTGGGTGCCGTGGGGCCTGGCCGGCTCTGTTCTGGGCGTGGTTTGTGTCCTGGGCCCCTGTGGGCCGCTGGCCCTGGGCGCTGCCCCCTCCCGGAGCTGCGCGTAGACCCGAGTCGGCCGCTCTGTGCCGCGCTTCTCCTTCCTCAGCCCGGGCAAGCGCCGCCCTCCCCGGCTGGCCCCAGCTGGCTGACCCCCAGCCTGCTCCGGGGGCGGGAGCCCGGGTTAGAGGCGGCACGTCAGCTGCATGGCGGAGGGCCAGGGGGCACACGTCTGCCAGGGTTCCGGAAACACCTGCGCGGCCAGGGGCCCGGACGGGGTCCCCGGGCTGGGCCCCCCGCGCATTGGCAGAGCCAGGGAGAGACGTGGGTCCCGTGAGCGCAGGGCCCACAGGGCGGCGGGTGCTGGGGAAGGATGGGGCGGGCTGGGGGTGCGTGTCCTGCGCTGGGGGCCCGGAGACGGGCTGGACGGGCAGGTGACGCGCCCTCGCGCTGCGAGTGAGGACGAGCGTGCGGCCGCGAAGGGCTGCGCGGGAGAGGCCCTCGCTCTCCGGGTCGTGGAGGGAGCGGCCAGTGCTGGCGCCCCGCCGGGCAGCCGCGGAGCTGGTGGGGCTCTCTCCCCAGGGCGCGGGAGGGACTCGGGGGACAGAAGCCCCTGCTCTCAGCCTGATCCCCAGGCCCCCTCCTCGGGGCTCTGGCCCCCGCGCCAGCTCTGGGCGCCGACCCCGGGGAAGCTGAGCCCACACGGCGTGTCTGCACGTTCTCTACGTGAACGAGGTCAGCTCGCGGGGAACAACTCGTCAAACCACTCGGGCCCAGCCTGCCCCGGGCACTCGAGGCCCAGCTCTCGAGGCCCCCAAAGCCCCGGGAAAGGCACAAAACCACTAAAGAAAATCGCAGCCCACGCCAAAAGCCTCCGAAAGCCTGGCCGTGGTGGCAACTGCCGGCGGGCCGGTTCCGGGGGTTTGATTCTGTTCCCTTTCGGGGGTCCGTGGCTTAGACGCCGTCGCAGGTGGCAAGGGAGGAGCGTCTTTCCCCGGCTGGCCAAGGGCGGGGCGGGGGCAGCTCCAGCCGCAACCACTGCCTGGGGGCGGAGGCCTCCAGCAGGATGTCCAGGCCCCGGCCCAGCCTGCCCCGGCCCAGCCCCCGCCTTACCAGCTGGCAGAGGGAGCTGAGAGGAGCCAACCCCAAAGGACCTGACGGGGCACGCTGGGCGCCCGCTGGCCTCAGGCCGGCCTGCCCTGGCACGCCAGGAGTTGCTGGACAACAGCCGCACCTGCTCTGCACCCCGGCTGACCGGACGCTCTTCAGAGAAGAGAAACGGGCTGTTCTGAGCGTCTTCCCTGGGGTCATCCTCCGGACCCACGCCTTCCCCCGCTGTGGACAATAGGCGCCCTGAAACCACCGCCCCGCAGGGTCCCAGCCCACACCTGGCGCCCTAGGAAAGGGCCATGGCGGGAGGAGGGGGGCAATCCACTGGGGGGCCCGGTCCACGGCGGGGGTGGGGACGGGGGGGTGTGGTCCCTGGTGGAGGGGTGGGGACCGCCGGGGGCGGTGGGGGGCGTCCATGGTGGGGTGGGGTGGGGCTGTGGTGGGGGACAGTGGGGGACGTCTATGGTAAGCTGCGCGGGGATGTCTCCGGAAAGAACCCACTTAGTGGGAAAAACATTTCTTTAATTGATGACGTCGGGGCTGTTTGTTCCTGGAAGCCGAGCCCGCCGTGACTTCTGTTTCAAGCTCCTGGGGTTTATAATAAAATTTCATTCCTTTATTTTTAACCAAAATGGGCTTGCTCGTCACACAAATAGGTCTCGTCAGCTGCTGCTTCCTCACCCCCACTGCCTCCCTCCTCCGAGCACAGATGCTGTGAGCAGCTGGCCAGAAACAAGAGTTTAGCTCATTTTTAAATTGGATCCTGATTTTTCTAATGTTTCCGTTGTAGCATCTGCGGGAGTTTCAGCTGGTGTCTGCGGACACTGCCGGCCCTTCTCGAAACCGTCTCGGCCAGGAAGGCCTCTAATCAGATTGTCAGGGCGTCGGAGCAGGCCGGGTAACGTATCCCGGCACCGGGGGACCCGCAGCCCGCTGACAGGGTCGGCAGAGCCCCGAGACCCGGGCTGAGTCTGAGACCCCCGCTGGGAGCATCACAGCCTCACCCCACTCCTGGCCAACTAGCACCAGGTGGGCCTCGGGGCTTTGGGAGACCAGTCCGAGCAGACCATTGACTCGGTCAAAAGTGATCACATTAAAAACTCATGTTCCCAAGATACAAGCACATTAAATCAATTTCAATGTAACAGAGCTTCCATTTCACAACAAAATGAGGTTCTTAACGGACGCTACCTTTGATCCAGTAACTTCGCTTCCGGAAAGCTCGTTGCAAAGAAAGCAAGCTAAAGGCAGAAAAACGTCCACATGGAAAGCGTTTGGGAGCACAGGTGGGGGGTTCAGGGCGTCCCCCAGATGGCCCGAGGCCTCCAAGCCAGAAAGCATCTGAAGCCGGAAATGGACGGGAAAATGAATCAAACTTAATGATCAATTAATTAGCTATATAACAAAATATATGTACCTGGTCAAAAGTTTAAAATGCCAAGTTCAAAATCATTAAGTGATAGTGTTCTAGGTGACTCTTCTTCGTTCTCATTTCCCTGCTGTTTCTATGTTTTATTTATGACTACATATTCCTCGAATAGAAATGTTTAGAAATCTACATTTCTTTAAAACTAGGCAGAAAATTGGGAAGATCGGTTCCCGCTTATCAGTTAATTTATGATTTGGAGATGAAAAAATTTTGAACATCTTCAAATTAATTTTTTTGACTTCACCTCTACTGGCAAACAGAATCGTCAAAATAAACATGAAAGGAAAATAATGAGGCTTGCACCCGTCTGCTTTCATAAATCCCTGTAGCACTTCAAAATTCACTCTTTCTCTGCCCACAACCCTCCCAAGCACGCGTCTGCATGTGCTACATGGATTGTTTATATGATGCGTGCAAAGTGCTAAAAACACTGACTGCACAACAGTCATGTCAAATATCTCCAACTCTGAATAAATATTTCAAAATACGACACAAGGGCCTTTAGAAAAATAGGACAAAATAATCTTTAAAATGCTCAGTGAGATCGCTGAAAAAACGCAGATGAATTTAGGGGTCTGGGAATGACCCCCGCGGGGAGCCCCTGCTCAAGAGCAGCAGTTTCCCCGGCACCCAGGGCAGCTGCCCCCTGGGTGAGAACCCGCTGCTGGGCTGTGCGGGGCCCGCTGCAGGCTTGACTTTCTTCCACACAGAGAAAGTGGAAGCAAACGCGATGGCTGTGAGCTGTGCTGTGTGCTCCTCGCGCTGAGGACCAGGGAGGGAAGCCAGCCTTAGGCTGACACCAGCAGACACCAGTCATGGCACACACAGAAAGTGCTTTGGCCTCTCTGGCAGGCGGGGCCCAGGGCGATTACTTGGGGAGCTGCAAAGGTGCCCAGGTCATCGTCCAGCCTCTGGCTCCCTGGGACTCCAGCCAATCTCCCCAAGCCACGCCCTCACTGCATATGCATGACCCCTCGCCGCATATGCATGACCCCACTGCATATGCACGCCGGCCTCCTGGCCCGCCCCGCCCCCAGCGAGCGCGCAGACACGCAGCGCTGCTCCGGACTACTGGAGGGCAAAGCCTGCTGTGGCTCTGGGCAGGGAAGGCGCAGACCCCTCCGGCCAGACCGTCCAGCCCTGCCAGCCCGAGTTCCTCGGGCTGCAACTGCCAGCAACTGGCTCCTATGAAGTCCTCCAAGGCACCCCAGTGCGGTAGAAGCACCCGGAGAAATGCCAGCCAGCGTTACCTGTATCAGGAGTCCCTGCTGCTCAGGTGAGCCCCTCCTGCCCGTGGCGGGCTCCCAGCGTGGGCTCCCTTTGGAATGAGCCAGAAACTTCCTTCTCGGGGCTTGTGCAGCGGGCTGGGAACGAGCAGTGCCGCCTGCGTCCTGGCCGGGCCCCCAGCGCAGCACCTGCACCCCAGCCTGGCTTTGCGCACCCCCTCCCCACCTGCCCCGTCTGCTCCTCTGCTTCCCGCATATGCTGGTCCAGCACAGGGAGCACAAGGGTCCGTGGGGAGGCCGCCACACTCCCGCAGAGGCAGAGAAAGTCCCCCAAAGCCAGTGGACGGCTCCTCCTCTCAGAGCATCTGTGATCACAGGGCAGGGGGCTCACCCCAAACAGCCGGCGCAGCGGCTCCGGGGGCGTGGGCTGCGAGGCTGCAGGGAGGGAGGGTGGCGGCTCCTGGCCTCCCTGTCACAGCCGCCGCTGCCTCCCGTCCAGCTCCTCCTGGGCTGCAGGGGTCTCTGGTGCAGTTTGGTTTTCATTTCTTTCCCCGCCTGAGTGGGGTCGAGAGGGAGTCCGCCTCCACAACCAGCTGATTATTTCCCTGAGCCTGAAAAAGAAATTGCTTCGCCGCCAAAGATGCCGCCACCAGCATCGCCGTCACCCCCTCCCTCCCCGTGTCCTCATCGGGAGCAGCCACACACCGGCCTGCCCCCCCAGGCCCGGCCCACCGGGGTCTCGGCGCCGCTGACTGCTGCACCCCGCAGCCCCTGCCCCAGATGGGGCGGACACGCCCGCCAAGGGGCCGCCGCTAACCAGGCTCCCCGCTTCCCCGACCCTCTCAGCAGCCTGGATGAGGCCGACGAGGCGGGGGACGGCGCTGACCCCGAGGAGGTCTTCCAGAACATACAGCTCCAGAAGGACCTCATGGCCAGCCTCCGCTGCCGGCCCTGGAGCATGGGGCGGAAGCTGCAGGCCCTGCGGTGAGGGGCTGGCGGGGGTGCCAAGAGGGCAGGGGCGCTGGGCCCGGCGGGGTGCGGCGAGGGCGGAGGGAAAGGAGCGGCTATTCCGGTGTCTGGAGGACTCGGCCTGTGGCTCACGGCGGGGGCGGGGATGGGGGGGGCACCACCGGAGGCTCCCGCTGCTGTTGGAGCGGAAAGGGCCACCTTGAAGGTGACCTTCGTCCCCAGCCTCCTGTGGCGCATGGCACTGGGCTGGTTCTCTGACCCTCTGGGTGTGGTTTGCACCCCTAGCCCCGAGCTCAGGCCATCTTCAAGGGCCCCCATGTAGGCAGATATGGGGCCCGCCCCAAAGTGGCGGGGGGGGTCAGCACAGGGTCCCTGCTCCCCAATGGGGCGTCCCCACCTGGCACTGCTTGGGAGGTGTCTGTGGGGCCTGGGTGCCAGCACCCCACATTTACACGGAAGCATCGGGCTTCCTAGCCCCAAACCAAGCAGGAGCCCGTGGCTTTGGGAAGGGGCCTGTGGCCCTTTGGGCTCCGTGGGGCGCAGACCAGCTCCTTGCTCACCTTGGCCAGGGGCCGGGGCTGCCCCGGAGGCCAGGCTGCCCGCGCCAGACCTGGTGGCTTGAGAAAGTCCCTCCTCTCAGGTGTGGCGATTAATTCGCTGTTTTCTGTAAACCCGTCCCCCGACACTGCGCGTGCTCCCAGGGAGCCGGAGCGTGATGGGTCTGTGGGGCCCATCCCAGGCACCTCCCCGACCTGGGGGGTGACCCGCGTCCTCACGACTCCGAGTCTCCCCACCAGCTAACACCGCCCCCCTGCCCCCCGCAGGCGCGCCAAAGAGATCGTGCTGCGGTTCGAGGGGAGGCTGACGCGGACACGCGGCTACCAGGCGGCAGGCGCCGAGGTGAGGAGGTGAGGGCCCGGCTGGGTCTGCCCAGGCGGCCCGCGGGCCTGAGGAGCAGAGGGTGTGGGGCGGGTCCCCCAGCACGGCCTTTTGCCCTGAGCCTCTCTCGGGAACTGTTGAGGCCCTTTCCTGCCTGCCCTGGCCATGAGTTGGGGCCCCGGCCACCTCCCTTGAGCAGCCCCCGAGGTTCTGTGGGCGACACTCCCCATTCAGCAGCTCAGAGCTCAAGCACAGCAGATTGAAATTGCCAGTTTCCAAGGACATTTCAATCATATGTTTAGAAGGTGAAGAAACCGTGTCTCCCCCTGTGACCCCACGCCTCTCAGAGGGGCTCCGTACGCTCTCACGCTGCTGCCGGGAGCGCACAGCTTTCTCGCCAGGACCGCAGACTCCGAGAGCGCTGGCCTGCCCTTTTCTCACTTGCCGCCACGAGGACAGTCCCGTGTTGCTGTCTGTATGGTTTTTATACTTAGATTTCCGGGGCGGCCGCGCTGGTCAAGCAGGGAACATGTGGACGGCTCCCTGCCTGCGGGTGCCTATTTAAATGGCGTCTGTTTTGTTACTGTCGTCATGCTGCAAAGAGCGCCTGTGCGGTCACAGCTTGTCTCTCCTTCTGAATTCTTTCCCTAGGATAAGAATCAGGACAGGGTCACTTAGCAAACCCCCAGCCTGTACCCCGTCCCGGCCGCGCCCTCCCTGCACTGCTCGGGCAGTGCTCACGCCTTAGTTATTTTCACCGCCAAGAATGACGGGTGCCCCGGCACAGGCTCTGCAGCGAAGATAGCGCCAGCATGACAGTTCACACTAAAACCCGTCGTAAAGTTTACATAACTGGAAAATTATAAAGCCTCGGAGAATCCCCGCAATTCCGCTGGGCCTTCTCATTCCCAGACCCCCTGAAAACACCCCCCATGAGTGCCGGAAGGGCTGTGTCTCCTCGGGCCTGTCCCCCAGGCGGGGCCGGCGCGTGGGCGCGAGCCCAGGGCCTCCTCAGCTGCGTGCTCCAGGCCTGCCCGCCTCCAGGCCACACCTGCGCACACTGCATGGGGTGGGGGCCCCCACCTGAGGGCAACGGCCCCCCTGACGTGCAGCCTCTGGTGGCAGCGCCAGACCCCGAGGACCTAACAGACCAGGCTCCTCAGGGTCCTCCGCCCACTCTGATCCCTCGGGCTTCCCCGCTGGAGATGGGGGTCGAGGAGGGGTCCCCCTCCCGCCAGGGCGCCCTGCCTGAGGCTCCTCCCCCCATGCGGAATGGCCCCCTCCACCTTTCTATTCTGGGAACCGTGTCTGTGGGCGTTTGACACAAACCCGAGGACGGAGTGGCCAGATGGAGCTAGACGGGTGGAGAGGCGGCCGCACCGAGGCCGGGCGATGGCGGATGGCACCTGCTGCCATCCAGAGCTCCCCAGGTGTGAGTCTTGCGGGGCGCCAGAGGCACTCCCCGTGCCCTGAGTGCCCGTGACCAGCTTCTCGCCCGCCTGCAGCTCTGGCGGAGGCTCGCGCGGCGGGCCAGCAACTGCGCCAGGGCCTTCGTCCCCTGGGAGACGCGCATCAAGAGGATCGAGAGTGAGTGCCGGCGCCTAGGGGAGGGGCTGGGGCAGCCGAGGGGGGCTGATGCCACCAGGCTGCGTGGACTGGCTGGAGGTGGGCAACAGTCGGTCCCCACCCCACACCCCTTCCCACCAGCTCGGGCGCAGTCTGTGCTGAGCCGGCGGCGTGGGCCGCTCTGTCTCGCCCTCCAGGCCACTTTGGGTCCGGGGTCGCCTCCTACTTCATATTCCTGCGGTGGCTGGTGGGCCTCAACATCGTGCTGGCCGCCATGACGGGCGCCTTCGTTGTCGTCCCCGAGGTGAGGGCCCCGCGCCAGGGGCGGGGCTGAGGCCTGCAGGCCGCGGCCACCCAGTGCCCTTTCCGTGGGGCCGAGGGTGACCGTGGGGGCTGGCCTGTCGGGGCTGACCTGCTCGGGGCGCCCGCGCGGGCTGTGTGGCTGCGGTCCCGCTAGATTTTACCTGGAGGTGCTGAAATTTGAATTTCACAAACTCTCGGCGTCACGGAGCGCTCCTCTCCCAACCTTGCCCAGCCAGCTAGAAACCACGTCCTCGCCCGCGGCCCTGGCAGGGGTGGCCACAAGCGGCCCGGGCGCGGGGCCCACTGTGGCGCTGAAGCTGCTTCCCGTGAGCTCTGTCTCAGGAAGCAAACAGGCCGGCCCTGCGCACTGGGCAGCCGCGGCCTCCACCCGCGCCTCCTGCTCTCCCAGGGCGGCACCCAGGCAGGCCCTGGTGTCCCCGTGGCGACCCCCGGCCGTGGAGCCTAGCCCCTCCCGGGGGCTCTCGCCAAGGACCCAGAACCCCTCCCTCTGGCAGCTCATCGCCGGCCAGCCCTTGGGGAGCACGGCCAGCAAGACCATCCCGAAGGAGCACATTGCCTCGGCCCAAGACCTGGACACCGTCTGGTCCCTGGGGGTAAGGCTGTGTGGGCGCCCAGGTTTGGAGGCTGAGGGTGCAGTTCTGGGCTCTGGGGACCGATGACGCCACCTCTCACTCCCCTCTCCCCCTCCCGCTGCCCAGGGCTACCTGCAGTACTCCGTGCTCTTCTACGGCTACTACGGCAGCGAGCGGCGCATCGGGCGGGCCGGCTACCGGCTGCCCCTGGCCTACTTCCTGGTGGGGATGGCCGTGTTCGCATACAGCTTCATCGTCCTCCTAAAAAAGTGAGCTGCCCGGCGGGTCCTGGGGAGGGGGCTGGGGTGCCAGGCGGCCCCGCCCCTCCATGGCTCAGGGCCAGGCCCCGGCCTCTCCTCCTGAGACCCTCTGCCCTTGCGCAGGATGGCGAAGAACTCCCGCACCAGCCTGGCCAGCGCGCCCAACCAGAGCTACACCTTCTGCTGGCGGGTGCTTTGCGCCTGGGACTACCTCATCGGGAGCCCCGAGGCTGCAGAGAGCAAGACCGCGGCCATCGTGAACAGCATCCGAGTGAGTGAGGCCCTGGCCAGACGGGGACAGGGCTGGGGCAGGGGTGAGGGGCAGGGAGCTGGGGCAGGGGTGAGGGGCAGGGGCAGGGGTGAGGGGCAGGGAGCTGGGGCAGGGGTGAGGGGTGAGGGGCAGGGAGCAGGGCCCACAGAGGGGATCACCCATGTGGACACTGGACGGGAGGTGAAAGCAGAGTCTGGGGGTACTCTTCGCTCAGAGGAGCTGCTCCTCCCACACTTTCACCCCAAAATGCACCCTCAGCTGAGCAAGCACCCCACCCCACTGCAGGCCCAGAGAGGGGTCCTCCAGGCTCCGGTGAGACCAGAGGCGGGAAGGATGCTTCAGGGGCAGGGTTTGGGGATCCGCTGGGGCTGGGGCACCCACTTGCAGCAGGGCAGGACCGAGAGGGGACGGGGTTCTCCCCGGGGGGCTGTATCCCCACCTGCCCCTGCGGCTGGGGTCTCCCTCCGTGCCTCGCGCAGCCCAAACGCCTCCCGCCGTCCTGGTCAGCGGCAGACGTGCCCCAGGCCCAAGGCTGTGTCCTTCACGGGCCTCCCACACACTGGGGGGTCCCTATGCTGCCAGCACCCTAGCACGCGAGGTGGGGCGGGGCGGAGACACCCGGGGGCCGCGGGGCTGGTTACGCAGAGGCCGACCAGGGGGCGAGGAGGAACCCCGGGCTTGCGTCCTCGTCCTCGCGCACTCAGGCAGCTCGTCTGCGTCTGCGTCTGGCCGGTCTGTTGGCTCTGCCCTCTGTGCTGCTGGGGTTTTGGTCTTTTCCTCATGAAGTGCAGGTTAAGCCGGAGCTTACTGAGTCCCTCCTCCCTGACTGGCCTGTCGGTGCTCCCTGCGGCCCTTGATCACTCCGGCAGGTCTGCGGGGTGACGTTTCCTCAGGATGCAAACCAAGTAGCCGGCCTTTGTGCCAGCGGGAGCGACCCCCGACCCCCCCAGACCACCAGTGCGTCTTTCAGCTCTGCGGTGGGCTCCTGCAGCCTAGACCCTGCGTGCGGGGCATGGCCACCCCCCGCCCTGGAGGCTTCCTGAGGATGGACGCTTGCTCGTGGCCCTGCTGAGCCTGTCTGTCTCCGCAGGAGGCCATCCTGGAGGAGCAGGAAAAGAAGAAGAGCAAGAACCTGTAAGTGCTCCCCCGCCAGGTGCTCCCGCTCCCAGGCTGGCCCCTGTGGAGGGCCTGGCTGGCAGTCACGGTCACGGTCACACACCGCCCTGCATTTTCAGGGTTTCAGGGGCGGGGCGGGGGTGGCTCCCCCTTTCGCAGAGCCCTGCGGGGTGAGAGGCGCCGGGTGAGGGGTCCCGAGTCGGCCAGCTCCCTCCCTCCCATCCTGATGACAGGGTGTGCTAGCACCCCAGGGCGCCGCACGCTTGCTCACCCAGCCGTCTTGCGGGCACTCCGCGCCGGCCGTCCCCGGAGCTGCCGCAGGGTGGGGAGGGAGAAGAGGCTGCTCAGGGCCCTGATGTGAAATGAGGCTGGAGCCCCGCTCGGGCGGCCCTCCCCGGCTCTCCCCCCACCTCCTCCTTCCGCCTCCCTGTCCCCCTCCCTCTGCTGGGCACAGCAACCTCACACCCCATCGAACAAGCAGAGGCACGACTCTACTTTCAGCGGTAAAGTGAGGACTGACACCCCAGTCCTCAGAGCTCCAAACTCGTGGGTGCCTATTCGTGTGTTGAAGGGCCCGGGCGGGGCTGGGGCCGGGCGGGGCTGCAGGGTGAGGTCTGGGTTCGCTGCCGACCTCTGCGGGAGGAGGGCGTGTGGGGACATCAGGTCGGGCGAGGCTGGCAGCCCCGTGTGTCCCGCCCCCAGGGCCGTGACCATGTGCCTGAGGGCCGCCGCCAACATCCTGGTGCTGGTGTCGCTGGCCGGCAGCATCTACCTCATCTACTTCGTGGTGGACCGGTCCCAGAAGCTAGAGCGCTCCAAGGCAGAGCTGACGCTGTGGGAGAAGAACGAGGTTCGGCCGCCCGGGATCTCACGCACCCCGGAGGGAGGGACCCGTCTTCCCCGAGTTGGGGGGGGGGAGGCTTGGACATGCCCACCTCGCCAGCTGGCCCCGTGTGGGCTCCCCGCGCAGCCCCCCGGTTTGCAGGTCCACTCCCCAGCCTGGGCCCTCCGGCGAGGCTCCCTCCCGGCCCTGGCCACAGGCGCCCCTGGTGTCTGAACTGCCCCCGCCGGCCCAGCCCCCCGCTGCCCGGCCCTGCCCCCTGCCCCCGGCAGCTGCTCCAGGGACGGGCCCAGGTGATGTATGAGGCTGACAGTTCTCCGGAGACTGCCCGGAGAGCTGGGCTCCGCTCACTGCAGTCTTGAGCCACAGCAGCAGCAACGCTGCGCCCAGACCACCTCAGTGAAAGCCGTCTGCACCCTTGGGCGCCCGCCCTTTGCAGCCACGGTGCCTGCCCGTCCGCCCTCAGTCCTAGCTCCGGCAGCACCCGAGGCACTGGGCACCCTCTGCTCGTGCCGACGGAGTCACGGGAAAGGCGCAGAGAGAGGGCAGGTAGACAGGGAAGCAGAAGGCAGGCAGACAGGTGGGTAGAAGACAGGCAGGCGGACAGACGGACAGGCAGAGGGAGGGGGCACGTGACCCAGACGCCAGCTCAGGCCACACCCCAGCTGCCTCTCCCTCCGGCCCGTCATTCCCAGGGGCAGAGGAGTGAGAAAGGAGGTCCCGGGTCTCCAGCTGCCCTGTGCAGAGACTGGGGAGTGGCCGCTGGGCCCCCCGCTCTGCTCCTGACCCTCGTGCCCCTCCTTCTCCCATGGGGTCGGGAGCAGCCCCGGGTGGCAGAACACCCAGGACAGGGGTGTCTTCAGGTCGGGGGGACAGACCAGGTGGCTTGGCAGAGGTTGGGGGGAGGGCCTCGCATGCCTGGGCCTGGTGGGGGCCCCAGGCTGGGCCCCAGACTGGGCAGCTGGGGACCGGGCGCTCCTGTGCAGGCAAGCGTGGTGGTCTCCCTGGTGACCCTGCTGGCGCCATCCGCCTTCGACCTCATCGCCGCCTTGGAGACGTACCACCCGAGAACCACGCTGCGCGTCCAGCTGGCCAGGTAGGCCCCGGCCCACCGCCTGGGGGACCTGCGTCCCTGGAGAGCCGCCACAACGGGGCACCTCCTGTGGGTGCAGCGGTGCGGGGGGAGCAGGGCGACAAGGATGGAGCGACGCGGGAGAAGGCAAGGAAGAGGAGCCGTGGGGGGGGCGCAGAGGGGAGGAGGAGGGTCACAGGAGACCCCTGAGGAGAAAGGGCGAGCAGGTGGAGACAGCAGCGGCCTCCCAGCCCCAGGCTAGCCCCAGCCTAGCAAGACCTGCTGAGGGTGCCCCAAGAGGCGTGCCTTAGCCGAGCGGCCGCCCGGTCTGGGGAGGGCCCCGGGACACGGGGGTCCAACAGCCCACTGCACTCTGGCCCCGGCCCCAGCGCTGCTTCCAGGACAGCCCCCTCTCCTCCCTGGACAGCCGCCTCGGCCACAGCTGAAGGGGCATCTTGGGGTACAATTGGGCCAAACAGGCAGCGTGGGCTCACCCCCGCGCCGCCCACCCCAGCTCTCATGCCTACCCTTGCCCACTTGGGGACAGTCACTCAGATGCCCAGAGCCCCTCCTGCTGGCCACGCTGCTGCCCAGCCTCTGGACAATCCCCCAGGCTGGCTTCACCCGTCCCCTGCAGCCACAGCACTGGACCCAGAATCTGGGGCCTTAATGCCCAGCCTGAGTCTGAAGGCAGCCAGGCGTGCACCCCCCGGCCACAGCAGGGGCCCCTGAACTGCGAGGCCCAGAGCCCAGCGAGCCTGGGGCGTCCCTCAGCCAGCTCCTTCTTTCAGGGTCCTCGTGCTCTACCTGGGCAACCTCTACAGCCTGATCATCGCGCTCCTGGACAAGGTGACCAGCATGAGCACAGAGGTGAGAGCTCGACCTGGCAGCTGCCCACTGGCCACACGCTGCCCCCAGGCCGACGCGCAGCCGCACCCCCACCACCTTGCTGTCCCGCAGGACGCAGCTGCCACAAACAGCACGAGGCCCGGCCTGCCCCTTCCCACCTTCCTCGCCACCAGGACAGCCCCGGCGGCGGCCCTCACTCCCAACTACGGCTGGCCGCCTGCGGAGGCCAACGGGACCGGGGTCCCCGCACACAGCTCGCCGGGCGCCTGCTGGGAGACCTATGTGGGCCAGGTGCGCCGCCGTCCCGCCTCCGAGCCGGCGTCGGGAGAGGCAGGTGGGCTCAGAGAGGGCCAGGGCTCGCGGGTCTCGAGATGCAGCACGAGGACGCGCAGGCAGGAGCAGGGCTGTCCCCCACCGCCCTCAGAGACACCGACAAGGAAACTGAGGCATGCAGGCCCAGCAGCTGCCGAGGACCCAGGGCGCAGGCCTAAGCCAGGCCCTCCTGCTCACCCTCATGAGGCCTATGCAGCCAGCCCCCCCGGGCACCCCCGTGCGGCGGAGCCCCCTGGTCACCCATGAAGGGTCTTCTGTGCTCGGGGCCGCGGGCCCGGTCCCTCTTAGCCTTGCGTGGTGTTGGCCTCTGACCCCAGACTCACAGACAAATAAGCGCACGTCACTGGGCACCCGCTTGGCTGAGGGCTGCACTCTGGAGGGCCCCGGCTCGGCCCAGGGGAATGAGAAAGGCGGCTCCTGCCCGGAGGGGCGGGGGCCGGGCGGGGCCGGTGGTCCCAGGACGCTGCCTTTCAGGAGATGCTGAAACTCTCAGTCATTGACATGCTGTTCACCGCGGCCAGCGTCCTGCTCATCGACTTCCTCCGCGGGCTCCTGGTGCGGTACTTGAGCGACTGCTGGTGCTGGGACCTGGAAAGCAAGTTTGTGAGTAGACAGCCCCCCTCCTGCTGGGCGGCACACTCCTGGGGGGCAGAGTCACTCCTGGGGGCCTGTCGGGGTGCAGTCGGCCATGCGCTGACCCCAGGGGCTGCGGAGGACTTGGGACGGTTCCACAGAGGCTCCCCTCCCACAGCCGGAGTACGGGGAGTTCAAGATCGCGGAGAATGTGCTGCATCTGGCCTACAACCAGGGCATGATCTGGTAGGCACGCCTGGCTGCGGGCAGCTCGGGGCGACAGCCAGGGGGGTGTCGAAGTGTGTGCGGGGAGCCCTTGCTGCGCGGTGGGGTCCCCTGGCTGCGGCGACTGCAAGCTACTGCCCTGGGGTGGCGGGTCCCGCCCTGCGGGGCGCTCAGTGTGGACGAGGGGCTGCCCTGCCACTGGCTGTGTCTCCACATAAACGGCTTCCTTTTCCCAGCACCGCCTGCCCACAAACTTGGGCGACTGGCCCCTCCTTCCCTATCACAGGAGGGTAAATGAGCTAAAATGGGCGAGGAGCTGTCTGGAAAACAGGGCCTGTGCACCCCGTGGCCTGGCCAGCCCTCCCTGCAGTGGAGCCCTGGCAGGCACAGCTTCTGCCCACCCCCCCGCCCCGGGGGGCTTTGCCTGCAGAGCACAGAGGCCAGGCGGGTGCATCCCTGGAACGCTGCCCATCTGCAGGGCGGGTCTGCTCCAGAGGCCGGTGGGCCTCAGACCTAGGGCCTCTGCGGGTCTGGAAGGCCTGGTCTGCTGACCGGGTCCGGCCTCCAGGATGGGGGCCTTCTTCTCCCCGTGCCTCCCAGCCTTCAACGTCCTCAAGCTGATCGGGCTCATGTACCTGCGGAGCTGGGCTGTGCTCACCTGCAACGTGCCCCACCAGCAGGTGTTCCGGGCGTCCAGGTCAGTGAGGGCAGGCTGGCCCGTGCCGCCGCCGGGCAGGAAGTGGCCGCAGCCCCCGCCAGGCCCAGGTGTCCGCTGTCAGTCTATGCCCAGAAGCCCTGGCGCCCCACCCAGCTACTTGGCCTCCCAAGAAGCTCGGCGCGTTTCCTGACGTCCGAGCACCTGCGGGGACGCCAGCTGGATCAGAGAGGCCATCAGGAGGCGGCGGGCAGGCAGGCACTCAGCCGTTCCGCCACTGCCCTCTGCACATGCCACTCCCTGGCAGCCGCGCAGAGCTTTGCATCACATGCACGGTGCAGAGCTGGCCGCCTGCCCTGGGGCTTCATGTGGCCATCCTCAGGACATGCACTGCCTTGGGCCCAGAAGAAGCCGAGCTGCCTGCAGGGCCAGCGGCTGGGCCATGGCCTTGGCCCAAGCAGGCAGGACAGGGAAGCCATGGCGCAGGTGAAACGCCCCACCCAGTGCCCAGCAGTCCCTACCTGAGCCATCAGGGTGGGCAGAGGGGCGGGGCAGCCCCCTTGGTGTGAGGGCCTAGGTGGACAGCCCGGGCCTGAGACCCCTCCACGGCCAAGCTGGAGCCTTAAGGGTGGTGCAGGGGGGCCGAGGCGTCACCCCTCTCGGTTTGAGGGGGCAGTGCCTGCAGATGGACAGGGCTGGACGAGCCCCAAGTGCTGGACGCGGCTATCAGGCACCCGCTGGCAAGCGGGGAGCAGCTGCCTCTGGCCTAGCAGGCCGGGCTGTGCTTGAGGGGCTGCCTGGCTCTGCAGATCCAACAACTTCTACCTGGGCACGCTCCTGTTCATGCTCTTCCTCTGCATGCTGCCCACCGTCTTCGCCATCGCCCGCTACAAGCCATCAGTGGGCTGCGGGCCCTTCAGGTGGGTCCTGCCCCCGGCCCCACCCTGGGCCCTGCCCTAGGGCCCTGACCTCCGGGCCCCGCAGGGAGAACGCCAAGGACGTGGCCGGCCACATCCAGCGTCCGCAGGCCCCAGTGCGTGTGCGCGCTTGCCGGGCGCCGCCCGCGGGAGGGGCCTCAGATCGCAGCTGCCCAGGGCGGACTCTGCCGGCGACTGGCTTGCAGGCCGGCTCGCGAGCCCCCACCCCGTGGACGGCTGCGGCGCCCCTGCCCACGCCACCTGCGCTGCTGCCCTTCCTCGCAGTGGACAGGAGAGGATGTACGACATCGTGGCCGAGGCGGTCGAGGAGGACCTCCCCGCCTGGGTGGGCTCCGTGCTCGGCCATGCGGGCAGCCCGGCGGTCATCGCGCCGGCCGTGCTGCTGCTGCTGTGAGTGGCTACCGGGCGGGCCTGGGGAGGGCTGGGCGGGGATGCGGAGTCGGGGTCCGGCCACTCCACCCTGCTTGTGTGAACAGGGCGGCCCAGGGCTGGCGGCTCCACAGCCCCTTCCTCTCCGCTGCCACCACCACGCTCAGTTACGAGGGCGGGGGCTGTGGAAGGTGGGGGGCGGGGGTCGCCCCGTCCCAGCAAGGCGGCGGAGGGCTCGGGCGCGGATCCCCGGGAGGGTGGCCGTGCAGCTGGCTGGCCCCACCAACGCTCTGCCTCCGCCGCAGCATGCTGGTCTACTACCTGCAGAGCGTCGCCCGCTCCCTGCGGCTCAGCAACCAGCAGCTGAAGGCGCAGATCCAACAGGCAAGTGCCCCCTGTGGGGAGCCGGGCCCGGCCACGCCCCCGCAGACCCTCTGACCCCCAGAACCCCCAGAGCCCTCTAGTGGCCAGTGGAGTCTGCCCGCCCAGGGGTGTCTGCTCACGGGTGCCCTCCCTCCCTGCTGACCGCCTCCTGGGGCCACAGACCTGACCCTGGCGTGGACCGGGAGGGGAGACGCCCCTTCCCACCCCTGTCTACTTGGGCATCTGAGTCAAAGACCCTAAGACCCACCTTCTTCAAATCTGGTTGATTCCATTGTCATTGCCCCCTCCTGTCTGTGTCTGTCACGCAGTCAGAGGGAGACCATGGCTCCCCAACCCCCAGTCTCTCCCCCATGCGCCCCAGGAACCCCCCAGGCCAGGCCCAGGGAGGCCAGTGGGCTCCATAGTGCCAGGTGAAGGGGGCACCTGTGCAGGGCCACTTCCAGCCTCTCTCCCCAGCTGGAACCCCGTGCAAACCACCCCCTACTTCAGTCTTAAACAAGCCACTCCCCTAAATGGCATCTCTCACGCAGAAGCACCCCCAGCTCGCAAGCAGTCACCCAAGAGGTGCCCTGGGTGCAGAGGGTGTCACTGTGGGGCCTCACTCCCGGGAGCTGGTCCTCACTTTCTCACCCTGCCATGGAAAGCCATGACTGGCGGAATTTAAGCCCGATCTGTCCGCTGTCCTGGCGTAAAGCTGCCACTCTTGGCGTCAGCATTTATCCCCTGGAGGGCTGGCCAAGTCACGCACACGCCGTCCCCAAGCAGCAGCACTGGCACCGCCAGAGCCAGAGAAAGGAGCAACCTCTAGCAGTCTTTGTCCCCCAGGAGCATGTATTAGCACTCCCTGTAAATCCAACACAAACGCGGGGCTATCGTTTATATTTCAGGCGAGATCTGAAGATAAGAAAAAGTTCGCCCAGATGGTGGAAGGTGAGGGGGCAGAGGCGCCTGTGCTGGGCCGCAGGGCGTCTGGGGCAGAGGAGCAGGCGCTCCTGACGAGCGGAGGCTTTCCGGCACTGACGGGCACAATGAGCGCCGCTCCGGGGCGGATGGAAGCCTGCAACTCTCACATCCCGTCGGGACTCAGGATAACCCCAGACATGTCTAAATTCAAAAGTTTTGAAGCAGGAGAGGAAAGGAAGGGCAAAAATCTGGAAGAAGCCCACAGGAGCACTCGTTCACTTCGCACGCTTCTTCCCCAGGCCCACTAGTTACCGCCCGGCCCCAGGTCCCCCGGGCCTCCCTCAGGCCCCCCAGACCCCCAGGCCTCCCTCAGGCCTCCCTCAGGCCCCCCAGGCCCCCCAGGCCTCCCTCAGGCCCCCCAGGTCGCAGGCCTCCCAGGTCGCAGGCCTCCCTCAGGCCCTCCAGGCCCCAGGCCTCCCTCAGGCCCCCCAGGCCTCCCTCAGGCCCCCCAGGTCGCGGGCCTCCCCAGGCCCCCCAGACCCCCAGGCCTCCCTCAGGCCTCCCTCAGGCCTCTCTCAGGCCCCCCAGGCCCCAGGCCTCCCTCAGGTCCCCCAGGCCTCCCTCAGTTCCCCCTCAGGCCCCCCAGGTCCCTCAGTTCCCCCTCAGGCCCCCAGGTCCCCCAGGCCTCCCTCAGGCCCCCCAGGTCGCAGGCCTCCCCGGGCCTCCCTCAGGCCCCCCTCAGGCCCCCCAGGTCCCCAGGCCTCCCTCAGGCCCCCCAGGCCCCAGGCCTCCCTCAGGCCCCCCCAGGCCCCAGGCCTCCCTCAGGCCCCCCAGGCCTCCCTCAGGCCCCCCAGGCCCCAGGCCTCCCTCAGGCCCCCCAGGCCCCAGGCCTCCCTCAGGCCCCCCAGGCCTCCCTCAGGCCTCCCTCAGGCCCCAAGCCTCAGGCCTCCATAAGGCCTCCCTCAGGTCCCCCAGGCCCCCCATGCCTCCCTCAGGCCTCAGGTCTTCTAGGCCCCCAGGCCTCCCTCAGGCCCCCCAAGCCTCCCTCAGGTGCCTCCCTGGAGCTCTGACCTCTCCAGTGTGTGGGGTGGCAGGTCCAGCTGCAGAACCCCAGCCCGGCAACCTTGCTATGCCCACCGCCTCCAGCTCCCGCACAAGCTGGTCCCCTGGGGGCTCACCTGGGCAGGGAAGGTGAGGGAGAAGGGGGGTGGCCTGAGGGGTGAGTGTGGGCAGCCCCACCCGCCCCGGGATCAGAGCAGCTAAAGCTGGAAGGGCCCAGTGATGCCTGAGCCTGCCCGGGTCTAACCCAGGGTGGGGAGGGCAGCGGGAGGTGACCACTGGGCGGCCTCGTGGTTCTGTCAGCCGCTGAGTGTGGTGCTGCAGCTGCCTTGCCCCTCAGAGAGCCCCTCTGAGCATGGAGGGCCCGTTTCCAGCTCTGACCTGGGTCAGAAGCTCTGTGGCCCGTTGCCGCAGCACGGCCTCTCCTGCAGGCTTTATGCACCCACTGTGAAGAGAGAAGGCGGGGCCCTGCGCCCACCTGGTGGGGCGAGGTGGGGAGGGCTGTGGGGTGCTCCCGCCCAGGCTGCCACCCTGCCGTCCCCCAGCAGCTGCCTCCTCCAAAGGCAGCTGAGCCCGCCCGTGCGCTCGCCTCACCCTCGCCGCCCTCTCCGCAGCCTGGGTCCAGCCCCAGGGGGACAGCGCCGCAAGGCCCCCCAAGGACAGTCCGCCGGCCTCCACGTGCCCATCCACGCCCCAGGGCAACGGCGGGGTGCCGCATCCTGACTCAGGCAGCAGGAGTGGCTGGGTGCAGACTGTCACCCGCCCTGCGCCCCCAGGGCCCTGGCCTGGGCCGGGCAGCCCCAGTGCACCCCTTCCAGGCACCCGCGGACCCCGGCGGAAGCAGCACCGGGCCAGGTGAGGTGGGGGGGCAGCCGCACCCGGGAGCCGGAGGGCCTGGCCTGCTCCCGGCAGGGAGGGCGCAGCCGGGCAAGTGACTGTCTCCGCGCTCTGCGTCCGCACCGGCCCCGTCCTGAGCTTTGTGTCAGCGCCGGGCAGGGCGTGGAAGACTGGGGTGGTGTGGGCGGGGGGCAGGTGGGGGGCCCTCAGCTGGGTCTGCAGGGCACTGCCGGAGGTTTGTTGGGTTTTCAAAGCCGTGACCAAGGGCAGGAGGACTTGGAAATCTTGTTACTCCAGTGTGGTCAGCACAGGGGTGGGGTCCCCGACCGGCGGGCCTGGGAGGGAGCAGGGGGAGGGCAGGTGCCCCATGACGTGCTGCCTGAGAGCACTTCACCCCCACCCTCCCAGGCAGGTGCCTCCCCGCAAGAAGCCTGCTCACCCCTCATCCCCAAGAGCCCCTGCACCACAGTGCATGGACACCCCTCCCCGCCCAGGGCACCCCGGCCTCCGGGTTGCCTCCTCCAACACCCCTCCCCCTTTCAGGACGGGACCCCGAGCTCACACCCACCTCACCCCACAGGTCCCCCCAGGATCCTGGCACCAGCACCTGGGGCCCTCGCCAGGACAGACCCCCCAGCCCCCAGCCGGCACTGAAGCCCATCCAGGCCGTCCACTCAGAACCACTTTTCCGGAAAGACTTTCAGCAAATGGACCCGCGTCTCCGTGGACGGGACATCACGGCCTTCGCAGGAGGCTGGCGGGCCCACGGCCCCAGGTGCTACGTGGTCAGTGAATGTGATGCCCATAGAAGGGCCCGTCCAGCCTGCTGGCCAGAAAGTGCTGCCCAGCCGGATGCCTGGTGCAGCATGGGGGAGACACCCCCCAGGAGCGCCCCCCACTGTGTGACCCGCGCCTCCCCGCGGGCATGCCCCCCAGGGTCCAGTGGAGCAGCGGCGGTGGCCAGGCGGATGGGCTGCGGCCTGCATCCTCGCTCCCTGGCCGACCTCCGCTGGGACCCCTGCCTCTGTGCTGATGCAGGGCTGGGCCATGGGGCCCCCGAGCGCCGGCGGGGGCAGCTCTCCAAGTCATGGGATGACAGCTGTGCGGGTGGGCGAGGCAGGCTGGGGTGCGGGCGACGGTCACGGGATCCCCAGCACCCCCCCAAGCGCAGGGCCCAGCCCAAGCTCTCGACGCCCCTCACAGATTCAGACTCTGCATCAGCCACGTCCAGCAGTGACCCCCGCAGCAGCAGTGCTGACCATTCCCTGCCCAGTGGGGGCTGGCTCCGGTGGCCTGTGGGCCCTCGAAGTGGGGGGCAACCTGCCCTGGGGCCAGGGCTGCAGGAGCTGGTCTGCTCCCACGTCTAGGCCCCCACACCCAGGTGGAGGCCCTGGGCTGTCTTTTTTTTAAGGATTTATTTTATTTATTTATGCATACAAGAACTGGGGTACAGGCCAGAGGTGCGGGGGTGAGAGGAGTCACCAGAGACAGAGTGGGGAGCAGAACAGGCAGAATGACTGAAACACACTGCTGAGGGGAGCAGCGGGGAGACAGGAGAGGTCTGCTGCGCCCTGTGGGTTGCTCCCTGGCCGGGGATCAAACTGGTGCTGCAGAGGCTGCGGACAGCTTCACAGTGCTGTGCTTAACCCCTTGCGCCACCAGGGAGGCCCCCCCAAATCACATTTATTTTTATCTCACCCTTTTTAATTTCTATGTTTATATTTGTTTTATAACATACATAACAATTAGCAGAGTAGTTCATACGCATGATTTATAAACAACATACACGTGTGGGGGTGTGGAAAAGTATTTTAATAGCTGTGTGGTGTCACTGCTCTGGGGAGGGTTCCCTAAATTTTCTAGAAGTTTCCATGTGAGGAGATGCCAGAGTTGGCCACATCCCACATGCTCAGGTTCCCTCGGCCACCAGCTTCAGAGCCGGCACACCATTCGGCGTCTGGGGGCCGGGGCGAGGGACTGGCTTTCGGGGCCTCGGGGCAGGCTGTGTCTGCGGCTCCCCAGAAAAGCGCCTGTGAGAACAATTCCAGCAGACCTTGACTTACTGCGGCCGGCATGTTCCAGGAACTTCACGTGGATTGATTCTTTGAATCTCCACACGAGCGCCACAGGAAGACACTGCCCCGCTTTGGAGATGAGCTGCTGATTCCCGAGGGCTGCGGGGAGCAGGGCCAAGCCCAGGTCTGGCTCTGGTCTGAGCTTCTAGCCCCTGCGTCCCCTCCTCAAACAGGAAGAGCCCAGGAACCCATCTGGGCCGGGCAGGCAGGGCCACCCGTGCAGCTTGGTGACCAGGCAGGCCCGGGGCACCGTGGGGCACCCGCCTGCAGGAGGGTGGGGGCACAAGAGATCAAAGGGGCCAGGCCAGCTGCGGAGCCGGGGTGTGCACCTTGGAGGAAGGTCTGGGGTAGGGTGGGGTTCCCGGCATCTGAGGAGAACCAGGGAGAGGCCATTTGGGGTCCCTGAGGGCCCCCACACGCCCCTGCACCACGACTCCTGTGCTTCTGGGAAGCCGGCTAAGGCTGCTGTGACTGGTGGGTCAGCCCCTGGCCCCAGAGATGTAAGCAGGGCCAGGCAAGCGGGAGTTTCACAGCAGTCGGGGGTCGGGTTGGCCAGGGACCTCCCCTTTCTGGGCTTCTCTGGACAGAGGGGAGGGGCGTGCCAGAGCATGGCTGCTCCGCTCAGCCTCCCCGGGGGCTGCAGGCTCTCGGCCACTCCCGACCGCGGTCTCCTTCCAGTCTGCAGAGCTTTTGAAAAACCATGTCCATTGCTACATTGAAGTGACCGAAATTATCTGACCTGTGGCATGAACAAAGGACATGTATCACCACTTCGGAAATAATTTGGTGGCTGTTTATGTCACTGATGTGCAAGCAAACCCTCGATATTTTGCTTTTATGCTGAGCCGAGAGTCGGGACTTCCTGAGACGCCAGCGTGTCCGTGGCTGGGCTGCAACGCTGCCCCCTCGCTGTGGCCCTGCGCCTGGTGCCCCGGCACGTGGTTCTTGAGTGGGTGACTCGGAGCTCCTGTCCCGGTTGTGGGTTATTGAGCTAGAACATCTGTAGAAAGAAAGCTTTTGGTACAGTGGTCTGCAAACTTGGCCACACTCACAGCAAGAAGTGGATTTTCCCAGGTGATTTTGTGTCTGCATTTGTGAGCAAGGTGTCTGTGAATCCTAATGTCCCTTCGCTGTCATCCTCTAATCTTACCGTATTCCATTTCTTTTTGGGGAGATGATTAATGAACTTTTATTTAGAACAACTATGAAGGCTGACAAAAATTGTCATGCAGATAATTCCCAAAACAACCCGCTTTACTTGGAAAGTAGCAATAGCCGATGGGAAGAGAGGAAAGCATTCTGTGAGCAAAGGGCACACGAGCCACCACGGTGCGTCCAGGGGCCTGGGAGGGAGCGTGGAGTCAGGGTGCAGAAGACAGAGCCACATACACCCACATCGCACAGATTAAGATTCACTTAATTAGACTGATGTCAGCACATTTTTTTCTTATGTAGAAGAGCTGGGGTGCAGGCCAGAGGTGTGGGGGTGAGAGGACTCACCAGAGACAGAGTGGGGAGCAGAACGGGTGGCCTGACTGAAATCCACTGCTGAGGGGAGCAGCAGGGAGACAGGCGAGGTCTGCCGCGCCCTGTGGGCAGCTCCCTGGCCGGGGACCAACTCAGGCCACAGCAGTGAGGGGAGCAGCGGGCAGACAGGCGCCCTGTGGGCAGCTCCCTGGCCGGGGACCAACTCAGGCCACAGCAGTGACAGCCTGAGACTGACCCCCTACGCCACAGGGAGGCTCCGTTGTAAGCACTTTTAATGGCCAAAATGTCACCATCCTTCAAATGTCGGTCTTCAAAAATACATTCAAGAGCTAAAAGGTCATGATAGTCAAGTGTCCAGGCTTGGGAGAGGCCGCATAGCAATCAGTCTCTGCCAGACCCGACACCGGCAAACGCCAACAACAAACGTGAAGGGGCATCCTGGCAGCGCCCCCCCTCACCGGGCGCAGAGCCTGGGCCGCCCGGCAGGGTCGGTGTCCGCGGCCCGCCTGGAACCCGGGTCCACTCAGCCTTGGGGGACCGGGCGCCCCGGGCCTGAGGACAGCCCGCAGCTGGGGCTGGAGTCGCTTCTCCTGGAGCCCGCGACGGACTCGGTCCAGACAAGTCGGGGCGCCAGGGGGCGGGTGCGACCTGCCGGAGGCGCCCCACGGGGTGTCCGCGCCCCACGGGGTGTCCACGCCGGGGACCCGACGCCTGCTCGTGGAGACCCAAGTGTTCCCAGTGAGGGGTTGGGTGAAGTCCCGTGGACACACGCCCCTGAGGTCGGCCAGGGCTCCTTGGGTGCCACCTGCCGGCTCCCGGGCCCCGGCCCCTCGGGGTCCCCAGCCCCGGCCCCGCGGACACAGGGACCGCGGCCCTCGCCGCCCTGCGGCCTGGGGGGTCGCCGCCCCCCGCCCTGCCGGGACCCAGCAGGCCTCGGCGGGGTCGCGCCAACTGGAGGTTTTCAAGCAGCTCAGCGCAGGAGTCGCTACAGTGAACCCCAGTACAATCGCAGCAGGGGGTGCCCCCCCGCCAGCGGCCCCGCCCCCTCGCCGCCGGCCCCGCCCCCGACGGCTCGTGGCCCCGCCTCGCCGCCGGCCCCGCCCACTACCGCCCTGGCCGCCGGCCAGCCGACCGGCCCCGCCCACAACCGCTCGGGCCCCGCCCCTCGGCGACGGCGTCGTCCCGCCCCCGCCAGAGGCCCCGCCCATGACAGCTGGTGGTCCCGCCCCGCCCGCGCCCCATTGGCCCCGCCCACGACCACCTGGCTCCGCCCCTTAGCTCATCGCCGCGCGCCGCAGTCGCGCCGCTGACGTCAAGGCTGCGGCGGGCGCAACGGCGGGTGGTGAGTGCTCGGCGCGCCCCGGGCGCTGCTGCCCGGAGGGGGCTCCGGGTCTCGGGCGCGGCCCGGGCGTGGGCCGGTGTCTGCGGGGGCGCGCCGAGCGAGGAGCGACGGCCGCGGGCTCCCGGCGCGACCGAGGCCGCGCTCGCTGTGCCGGAAAGGCCCCCGGCGTCGGGGCGGCCGGCGGAGTGCGGTCTCGGGGCGCCGGGCGCGGGCCGGGGAGGCCGGGGCACTTCGCCGGGGAGAGGCGCGGGCGCCCCGCTCGGACGTGGCCGCCACACCGGCGCTGCGAGGCGGCGTCAGGCCGAGCTCCCGAGCCCCGCGGCTCTTGGCCGGCCCGGGGATGGAACTTGCGCCGCAGAGGCCGCGGGTCGCCTCCTCGAGCGGTGCTTAACCCCGTGCGCCACCAGCGAGCCCCAAGGCAGATTATTTTAAAGCCGTTTAGTTTTTTCCCATTCTTAGAAGACCCCCAGGAGCCTTTGTGGGTTTGTGGATTTAATGCCAGTAACCTGAACCTGGGCTTAGCCACTGTGGGCTCTGGAACTGTCCAGGGCAGAATTGAGGGGCATCAGTTGGAAGCCAAGCAACGTCCTTGCGCTCCTTAACTTCTTACTGAAACTGGCGTTTGCTTCAGTTCTGCGCGGGCAGTACCCGCCGCACCTGGGCATAGCTTTGCCACCAGGAGCCATCATTGGTGTCGGCCTGCCTAGGTGTGTGAGTGCATCACAGCTTTGACACGTGATCGTTGCTGGGCTTGTGCTGGGTCTGCTGACATAGTGTGTTGGTTGGAGTTGACCCATCAGTGTGCGAGATGGCACGAAGCCGCATTGCCAGGGCTTGGAGTGCGTCTTTGGAGTGCCCCCCGGGTGGTGGGTCAAGCACAGCATGATCCACTCCTCCTGTGATTGCGCCCCTGGCGTTCCACGCCAGCACAGGGCTGAGGTGTGCTGTCTTGGGCCTGGGCCCAGGGGCATCAGGACCTCTGGAGAAACACAGGTTGGCGCTTCACGTAGACCTGCCTTGGGTCGTGCGCTGACTGCCTGAGCCCAGATTTCAAGAAGGTGGTGTAAACAGAGCCACCCGCAGAGCACGTCGTGCCTGGGCTGGCCCTGTGGCCTGCGTGGGTGTGGGCGCAGGCTCCAGGGAGCACTGGCGGTCTTACACTCACAACTGCCTCAGATCATGGCGATGCAGTGGGCTTTGTCTTTACCCCTACCCCTGCGTATTTCATTTTACATATTTACTAACATCCTGAGCAGGCTTAGGGGCCTTGCAAGACTGCAGGCGCAGCCGTTGGCGCAGTGTCAGATCCCCATACAAAGCCCAACGGACTCAGTCTCTTCCTAAGCGAGTTTACGTGTGTGAGACTGAGCTTGCCCGTGAGGACGCCGAGGCCCTTGGGAGAACTGTCTCTCTTGCCACCCCCCACGTGTCTCCCAGTTCCTGCAGGCGTGCTTGACTGAACCCACTTTGCTGCCATGTTGGATTGTGGCAGTTTTGCATGAACAGTACTGAAAATGTGAGGGGCCTGTGTCTTCGTGTCTCTGAAGAGAAGCAGGGCTGCAGGCTGGCCCCTCTGAAGTGGAGGAGACGGTGTGGGGGTCCCCAGGCTCCCGGGGAGGAAGCACATGCTGGTCCTGGCAGTGCTGGCTGGGGTCCAGGCTGACCCCCAGAGGATTGGCAGAGCCACTGCATCCCAGCGGGACCTCATAGCCCCTGTCCTGATGGCCCCTCGCTGAAACCTGCCGTTGTTTCCACAGAGCTGCCGGCCTTGGGCCCCCGTCCACGGTTACAGAGATGACCAACCAGGTAAGGCTGGACGGGGCGGAGGGGGGGCAGAGCTTCACAGGGCCCCTTGCAAGGTCACACCCACTGGCACCTGGGTGTGTGGTCCGGAAGCAGGCGGCTGGGCGCACCACAGCAGAGGGGTGCAGGGAGGGACACGCACGCTAGGGCTGCTCCTCGCCATATCTTCAGGGAGACTGAGGATGCCTGAAAGCGTTTGTATGCAGAAAAGGGAAAAAAAAAAAGCAAAGGGGGTGTCTCGCTTGGGGGCTGGCAGCCTCCAGGGCAGTGCGACCGCGTCACCCGCTGCAGACCGGCTTGGCCTCCCGGTGACCAGCGCCCAGCCAGGGGCTTTGATCCCAAGCGCCCTGCGGGGCTGCCATGGTCCTGAGGGAGGAGAGACTGGCGTTCCCTTCTGAAAGAAATTTTTCTGGTGGGACTAACTGTTGCCTGGGCAGGACCTCAGGGGCCGGAGGGACAGTCAGGCGGCGGCAGGGAATAGGGTCCAGTCCCCCATGCTGGGGTGTCAGCTGGCTCTGCCACGGCTAACGCGCCCGCTCTCCTCCAGTACAGTATTCTCTTCAAACAAGAGCAAGGTAAGCAGCCGCTGCCCGGGACGCGCCGCGAGCCGAGCTCTGGGTCTCTTGACGACTCCCTGGTGCCGACCAGACCCTTGCTCCCAAGCTCACTCGCTTGGCAGAAGAGTTGGCAGAGGCAGTGACAGCAGAACACTCACACAAGCTGCAGCTGCACGACGCACAAAAGAAGCAGGAGACCAGGGCAACCTGCAGCATGGCCAGAAAGCTCTCCTGCCCGAGGGCACCACCACGGGGGTGGGGCGGGGCCTGCCCGGCCTGGTCACAGAAGGAGCCTGGGCCCAGCCGCGTATGACCAGCTGGGCCCTGGAGCCCTCGGCACTGTACGGAGGAGGGTGGGCTGCCCAGCGCGTGCGGTGACCGTCTGCAGGGGCCCGGTATGGGGGCCGGGCTAGCCAGAGGTGGCGGGAAGGGGGCCGGGGCGGGTGGGCCAGGCTGGGCGCAGAGGTCGCGGGTGGACCTGCCTTGTGCCAGAGCGAGCTCAGCCTCCTCCCTGCAGCCTTGGCGAGGCGAGCACCACCTGGGACGCTGCAGGGGGCACTTGGGTTGTTGCAGGTTTGAGCCAAAAACACTCTTCCAGCTTGCTGTGCGCTGGGGAGCCCCTCCGTTGCTGCAGCTGCGGGCAGTGACCCCAGGTAGCCAGCTGGCGGGCTCGGTGGGCTGCGCCCCCGAAACAGAACCCTGCTGGTCTGCCACCCACCGCTGGCAGCTTTGGGGCATCTGGCGGTCACCCCTGCCGCAAAGGGAGCCTCCACATGTGCTTGGCACCCTGCAGCGCCCTGGGTGCCCCTGGGGTACAGCCTGCAGACTTGGGTTTGAGTCCCGGCTCTGCCCTCCTTAGTGTCTCCCTCTGGCGAGCTACCGGGTGCCTCCAAGTATCTGGCGCCTTGTCCGTGAGGTGAGGGGGATGTTCCTAGACTGCGCAGACTGCAGGGAGTTTATATGCCGCCCAAGTTTTGTGCCCTGTGGGTAGCACATCCCCGGCCACCTCTGTGCCCACATTTGTGTCAGAGGCAGCCGTGCGAGGCGCTTGCTTTTAGGGTTGAGCTCGCTGCTGTTCGCAGACATCTCCAAAGCGAGCTCTTCGGGGCAGGGGCCCCGCGTTTCCCGTTTCGGTCCAGGGTCAGCCTTTCAGAGCCACACCCTGGTGATAAAGCAGGGTCCAGCCGGTGGCCCTGGTCCCCCAGGCCGGGCACCCGCAAGCCTTCCGTCTGCGCGTATACGGCCGGGCCCCACCCTGGAGGCTGCAGCTCGCTGACCCGCCGCTTCCGTTGTAGCGCACGACGATGCCATCTGGTCCGTCGCCTGGGGGACGAGCAAGAAGGAGAGCGCCGAGACGGTGGTCACCGGGTCCCTCGACGATCTGGTGAAGGTCTGGAAGTGGTGAGCGCCGCCTCCCCCCACACACACACCGGCCCAGGCCTTGGAAACCGGGTCTGGGGGTTGGCTCCTGGGCTCCTTGTTGCCTAAGCCGGAATCCTGCATGGGGCGGCCGGCGGCGCCCTGGAGCGCTCAGGTCCTTGGGTCTGCGCTCAGGGCTGGGGCGCACCGGGGCAGCATGTCGTGTGAGGGGAGCCCCACGCCTCTGTTCCCCTTTAAGGTGTGATGAGAGGCTGGACTTGCAGTGGAGTCTGGAGGGACACCAGCTGGGCGTGGTGTCCGTGGACGTCAGCCACACCCTGCCCATCGCCGCGTCCAGCTCTCTGGATGCGCACATCCGGCTCTGGGACCTGGAAAACGGCAAACAGATCAAGTGCATAGACGCGGGGCCTGGTGAGAGCGGCCGCGGCCTGTGGGCACTGGGGTGTGGGGGGGTGCACAGGGCTCACCAGACAGATGTGTTCAAGCCCGCGCGGCAGAGGCAGCCGGAGCCACGGGTCTGTTGTGAGACGGAGTCGAGGCTGTGGAGAGCCGTGCGTCAGGTCAGGCCTGGCTCCGCCGCTCTCTTTTGGAATGAACTTCAAAAATGTCTAGTGGAGGTCTGAGAAAGGTTTTATATCAACAACTCAAAACAGTTACTCTTAAATGTCTCTTCTTCTAAGTGATAGTAGCACTTATTTTACATGACGACCGTTTCTGATTCCCGTCACGATAGCTGTTCACGGGAGTCATGGTTGTGAGAAAAATCTGATTTTAATCCCAAAAGTTTTTTTTTTATTAATTAATTTATTTATTCACACAAGCACTGGGTACAGTCAGAAGCGCGGGAGGGTGAGAGAATTCGCCAGAGCCAGAGCGGGGAGCAGAGCAGGCAGAAGGACCGAAGGACACTGCTGGGGGGAGCAGCGGGCGGCGGGAGAGGTCTGCGCGCCACGGGGGACCCTCACCTGGTGTCCGGGGATCAAACCGGCGCTGCAGAGGCTGCGGGCAGCTTCGCAACCCAGCGCTCAACAGCTGCGCCACCAGGGGAGGCCCCCCAAAAGTTTTTTAAGAGGATGCATCTAAGTTATTTTTCACTTCACTACTAACTGTGTTACAGCATAAAGCTTTTAGCATCACACGGACCTTCAAAGCACCGCTACTGTCCCATGTGAGGACGGGTCTGGTCTGGGGGCGGGTGACCCCCACAGTGTCCTGCCCTCCGTGCAGACCTAAGGCGCCAAGGCTGAGCCCCTCACCCCCATCTCCTGGGTCACTGTTCTAGAGAAAAGTACCTTTTACCAAACTTCGGTTTTTATTTTATTTTGTTTATTTTTTAGATTTATTTTTTATTTATTTATTTGTTTGTTTGTTTATACAAGCACTGGGTACAGTCAGACGCGCCGGAGGGTGAGAGAATTCACCAGAGCCAGAGCGGGGAGCAGAGCAGGCAGAAGGACCGAAGGACACTGCTGGGGGGAGCAGCGGGCGGCAGGAGAGGTCTGCGCGCCATGTGGGACCCTCCTCTGGTGGCCGGGGAGCAGCCGGGGATCGAACCGGCGCTGCAGAGGCTGCGGGCAGCTTCGCAACCCAGCGCTCAACTGCTGCGCCACCGGGGAGGCCCAAACTTGGGTTTTTAAATTAAGGTCTCGTCTTCTTCCTTGTTTAGTGGATGCCTGGACCTTGGCCTTTTCTCCTGACTCCCAGTACCTGGCCACGGGAACGCACGTGGGGAAAGTGAACATCTTTGGTGTGGAAAGTGGGAAAAAGGAGTATTCTCTGGACACGCGGGGGAAGTTCATCCTCAGCATCGCCTACGTGAGGAGACGGCCCCCCGGCTGTTTGGCTGCGGGTGGCTGGCGGGTGCCCGGGGTGGGACAGACGGCAGCGAGCACCACTGTCACTTTCCCTGCAGAGCCCCGACGGCAAGTACTTGGCCAGCGGCGCCATCGACGGCATCATCAACATCTTTGACATTGCGACCGGGAAGCTCCTGCACACGCTGGAAGGTGCTGCTCCTGGGGGGCTTCAAAGCGCCGTCTGAGGTGGGGCTGGGTGTGCTGGTACAGCGGCCGCGGTGAACCGGACAGGGCTCGCTCTGTGCTGGCTGCCTCCCGAGAACGTGGGGCCGCAGCGGCTGGCTCTGCCCCCGCATGCTGCGGACTCTGGGGCCTCCTCGGTTCTCCCTTCCCCTGTGGGGAGTCCGCCTCCCTGAATGGGAAGCCCCCTGGGCTGTGCCAGGGCTGCCCACCCTGATGCCTGCCGCCAGGAAGGATGTGGTCACTAGAGGCCCTTGCGAGGGAATGGAAGGTCATGGGCTAACGGGGCCTTTGTGCATTTCAGGCCACGCCATGCCCATCCGTTCCTTGACCTTTTCCCCGGACTCCCAGCTCCTGGTCACCGCCTCCGACGACGGCTACATCAAGATCTACGACGTGTGAGTTGCCTACTGGGGCTTAGGTGTCTCCTGGGCCCTCTGGCCCTGCATCCTGTCCAGTCTCACTTGGCCCGTCAGATGCTCACGCCCGCCCCGTCCTGGCGCCGAGTTGCGCACCTGGCAGGCCGGGGTCACACTGCTGTTTCTCAGCCCTTCTGCCTCTCGGGGCTCAGGAGGCACTGCCCCAGGGGAGAGGCCGTGGGCAGAGTGGCCACAGCGGGTGTGAGTGCCCGGCAGGTCCTCTGCTGCCTCCCGGCCAGGTGAGGTGGACTTCGCTGGTGTTTGGGTCCCTGTCACGTGGGGACAGTGCATGGTCTGGGCCTGAGCCCCTCCCGCCCTCTGGGGCCTGAGGCCTTGGCGCTTGGTCTGACTGCTCTGCCTTCATGGCCCGCTGCCTACTCAGCCCCACGTCACGAGCCTGTCCTCCGTGGCATCCTCTGGAGACAGACGCTTGCCAGATGGACACAGAGTTGGCGAGCGAGGCCCAGAGGGAGAGGCTGGCTGCCAGGGGAGGGTGGCCGCCATCCCAGAACCCCGCTCTGTCTCAAGGCTCCCAGCCCCTGCCCTGGTGGTGGCCGCGCCGGCCCATCTTGCAGCCACAGCTCTGCCAGTGTGGCCATACCATGGCCAGGCTGCCCTCCTCAGTGGGTCTTGTCTTTGGGGGCAACTGCAGGCCTCAGTCACTTTATCCAAAAGAAAATGGCTGCGTTGATTGGCCTCTGCTGGGTCACAGGCGGCCTGTCCACCCCTAGTCAGGGCGCCTCAGCCCCTCGCTTGGACACCGTCACCGTGGCCTCCCTGGGCCACATCCCTGACCTGCACCTCCGAGCTCTGCCCGCTGGGAGCTGGGCCCTGGCTCCCACCGCGAGGACGCGCTGACCCAGTTGGCCGCTGACGGGCAGCAGCCGGGGCAGCATTGCTCCCCGAGGCCAGCGTTGACCCTTCTTTGTCCGATGCTCTTCATTTCAGGCAACACGCCAGCCTGGCCGGCACGCTGAGCGGCCACGCGTCCTGGGTGCTGAGCGTGGCCTTCTGTCCCGACGACACCCACTTCGTCTCCAGGTACGCGCCGCCCTCGGCTGTTTCTGAGCAGCCAGGGCGGGGCCGGGGCTTCCCGGGCGGCCTCCTCGGCGTCTGAGCACGGAGCGGCCCTCGCTGAGCTCGGCGGCTCTGGTCTGCCGCGGGGTAGTGAAGGCAGCCGTCCTAGCTTCTGCGCGGCCAAACGCTTCAGACCTCCCTTCCCTCACAGACCAGGGCTTCTGCCGCAGCTCCCGTGCGGGACGCCTCGGCCAGCGTGCGTGGGTGGTGGCGCTTTTAGGCACAGGAGGCCGGACAGGCAGTGTGAGAAGGCGCCTGGCCCCTGCCTGAGACTCGGGGCTCCCAGAGCTGCCCCAGGAGCCTCAGCGGGCCTCCTGCCCGGTGGTGGGCGTGTGAAGGCCAGGTCCAGGGCGGGCGGACGAGGGCTGGGGACACGGCCCCGCCGGGGTGGGGCTCCCAAGCAGCGGCGGGCAGGTGCGCAGGGCCGGCCAGTGCCCCCTTCTGCAGCCCCCGTCCTGGAGCGCTCCTTGACAGCGACACCCCTTTCCAAACAGTTCGTCCGACAAAAGCGTGAAGGTTTGGGATGTTGGGACGAGGACGTGTGTCCACACCTTCTTTGACCACCAGGACCAGGTGAGGCTGCCCCGCCCAGCGTACCCCTCCGGACCTTGCTGCCCAGCTGCCCAGGCCGGCCCTGCAGGCACTTCTGGGTGGCCCAAGGCAGCCACCCGGGGCTGCACCTGCTCTCTGGTGCCGGGCGCTGCCCAGGTGTCTGTCACTCCGGGCCGTCCGGAGCAGGCGCCCCCTGTGCGCAACCGGGTGTTTGGCTGAGCGACCACCAGGGTCAGCCAGGGGTGAAGGTGGGGCTGTGGCTCCTGGGCACAGGACCCCTGGGTGTCAGGCCGATGCGCCCTCCACTCGGAGCCTGGCAGGACTTTCCTCAGTGTGATTAACTGATTAACCGCCGCCCAGCCAGGAGCTGCCAAGCCACTGTGCGTGTCCCCTTGCGCGACTCAGCACGGGCGCGGTGGGTCTTGCTTTCTCACATGGAATCTTAAATCGTTGCCAGTACAGCTGAGGGGTTTGGATTTTACGCTCCGCTCCTGGGCCTAGGCGTGGCCCTCGGAGAGGCGGCCTCGCGCTCATTGGAGCGCCTTGCGCGCTGGAGTCCCATCCCCCCGACTGGCCACAGTGCTGGGTCAGGGCCGCTCTGGCCTGGGGTCTGCAGCCCCATCGCGTCACGTCTGGGAAGGGCGTGGGGTCTCCTCAACACAGAGCCCGGGGGTGGGGGTGACGTCCTGCAGCAGGAACCCTGCTGAGGCTCTGGGGCGCCCCCCCGCATTCTGCATCTTCAGAAGGTTTGTGAGGGTCGGTCTGTGTCTAGGAAGGAGATTTCCTGGAGTGCGGGGTGTGGGGCTGGGAAGTCGCCTCGGGGGCCAGAGCCCTTCCCGGGAGTGGGGGAGAGGCCGCTGCCTCAGCCACGCCCAGCCCAGCCGGGGAGGCTCCGCGCGAGGAGGCGCCTGCAGAAGTTTCTCGTTTCTTCACAGGTGTGGGGAGTGAAGTACAGCGGGAACGGCTCCAAAATCGTGTCTGTGGGCGATGACCAGGAAATCCACGTCTACGACTGCCCTGTTTAGCCTCGCGGCCAGGCGCCCGCCCCCGCCTGTCGAGCAGACGCTGCAGCCAAGGGTTACCTTTTATAGAAACAACATAAACCTCCTGTTCCGTGGGAGCTGCCGTGCGTGCTGTCCAACCCGACGCCCGTCCTCGCCTGCCCTCAACGGGGACGCGCCAGGGTCCGTGAGCCTCTGTGGGTCCCCCAGCCCTGCCCGGCCGGCTGCTCGGGAGGCAGAAGCCGCTGCCGCCTCTGACCCAGAGGGGTGCTCCTGGGGGCTCCTCAGCACCTGCCTCTTACTGCCTGCAGCTGCGTGTGCCCCTCAGTCAGGCCCCCATCGCCCAAAAGTCGCCCGCCACGTGCAGGGGGCACTCGCTCCCTGGAGGCGCCATGGTCTGCGTGGCGCAAGCCCAGCGCCTGACGCCAAGTCCACCATCACACTAGCTGGGTTCCGCTGCTGTGCATGACCCCAAGAGGCCACACTCGCTCGTGGCTGGGGTGGGGCCTGCACCCGTGTGGATGCTCCACATGGCCCCGCTGGAAGAGCAGGCGAACAGGGGACCCCCACCTGCCTGCCCATCTCCCCTGACCTGGGGGGTTCCCGTGCAACCAAGAGGGTCTGGCAGGCAGCCCCACGTGCAGCCTGGAGCACAACAGCCACACCAGCCCCAGCGAGGTGGCCTGGGCCTGGGCCCACGTGTCACAGGGAGCACCGTCAGGGCCAGACGCACATGAGCCGGGAGCCCTTCATGACACGGCTGTGCAGGGAGGGAGGCCCTCTGGAAGGCTGCTGAGCTTGGCGGTTATGCGCCTTGGGGTCACCCGTCAGGCAGGAGCCAGGCCATGGCTGCCTGGGCCTGGACACCGGGCGCTTCCGTTACACCGCAGCACTGAGTGGGGCAGCTTTGCGGAGGGCGACAGGGAAACCACGGGCACAAGGTGCGGGTCACAGGCAAACAGGTGCCCCAAGCCCCTTAACGGGCCTGTCCTCACCACAGGCCTCAGGCGGGGCAGGAGGCTCGGTGGCCTCGGTCACACCCCGGCCAGGCGCTGACCAAGTCCCGGGACGTGCTTTTCCCAAGGAAGTGCCCCGGGAACCCAGACTTGGATGGGGCCCGGGAGGGTCGGGCGGGAGCCACCCAGAGGCCCAGCCACCCTACCTGTGGGCACACGCCGTGGCCGCCAGGAGCAGGCGGGTCGCGTCTGAGGCCACAAATAACATCCACGCGACGCGGGAGATTCGCGCTTAGAACGTTTAGATATAAATCGCGCTACGACGTAGGTCGCCCCGAGACGCTCGGCACGGGGGTGGCGGGGAAGGGGCGCACGCTGGCGAGGTCAAGCGCGGGTGGGGCCGAGGCTCAGGCCGTGTGGCACTGCACCCCCGCCCGGGGCCCGTCCTCCTCCTCGTCCTCGCGCTGCGACCGCCAGCTCTGCTCCCCCGGGCTGAGCTCCTGCAGCTCCACCTGGTCCATGTCCTCCGTCACCCGCATGCTCGGCCGCGGCGGCAGCAGCGCCTCCAGCTGGGGGAGCTTGTCCAGCGGCAGCCAGTGCTTCTCAGGGAAGATGACCTGGGGGGCGAGGCACCGGGCAGCAGGTGGCTCCTTCCCGCCCCGCCCGGCCGGGCCACGGGCGCGCACTCACCAGGAACTGCAGGACCAGGCTGCCCTTCTCCAGGGGCGCCCTGTGCACCGGCATCCCCTCGCCGTGCACGCACTTGAGGTCGCCGTGCCGCACCACCTCACCTGTGGGAGACGGGCGTCAGGCCGGCAGGTCCACCGGGCCAGCCCCCGGCCGGCCAGCCCCCACCCCGCCTCAGCAGCCCATTCCGAGCAGGGGGCCTGGGCCTGCTTGGCCACACAGGCCTCATCGCCCTCAGCCCGGCCACAATCCAGAGGCCCCGGCTTCTGGCCGACAGGCGCAGAGGCCAAGGCGGAGACACGGACACCGGTGAGAGGCCGCGGGGTGCCCAACAGCCGAGCCAGCCTCGCCTCCCGAGGGGTCCCCGGCACGAGGCCCTGGGGGCCCCCAATGCCCTTTGTCTTTAGCTGAAGTTTCTCAAGGGAGTGACAGCCCTTTGGCGAGTCCCTCAGTTACTGGCCTCCCCCGCGTGTTTATCGTCCGCCGCTAACCTGATGACTGCTGGCCACCAAGAGGCTGAGGGGGGCCTCCCTCCCCCCGCTTGGCGACCACAGACCACCCCGGCCTACTTGCTGCGCTGCCCTGAGCGCCCCCGGGGAGGGGCCCCAGAGGCGGTGCAAGGGTTGGCACGCCTCCTGGGGTGCTGGCATGGTGAGGGCGCTCTTGAGTAAGGGCTTTGTCCTTGACTGGGGGGCTCTGAAGTGTCTGGGGGAGTCCCCCCCAGGGAAGCTGTCATCCTGGGTGCTGCCTCTCTGGGAAGAATGGGCAGCGCCCAGGACGCAGAGGCCCTGCCGGGCGGGTGGGCCAGAATGGGCGCGGGCCCTGAGGGCGGGCGGGTGGGGGACGCTGGCAGGACCTGTGTCTGGGGAGCGGGGCTGCGGCCCTGGGCCTCCCGCGGGGCCTGGCTGGGCCTGAGGGGCCGGGCTGGGGCCGCCGTTGAGGCTGCAGGACCCGGCTCTTAAGGCCACTGGAGCTGGCGCGTCCCACGCAGAGAAGGCGCCCAGCAGTCCCGTGGTATCCTTGAGCGCCACCCGGGGCGCCTGCATCAAACCCACAGCTCCGCAGCGGAGACCCCTCACCCCGGCCGCAGCTGCAGACCCTGGCGCCCGGACAGGGCAAAGGCCCGGCCCCGGCCCGAGGAGGCCCGTCCGGCCTTTGGCTCAGCCTCCCGCCACGGCTTCCCGGGACCCCACAGCCCTCCTTTAGAAAGCAGACTCTGGGGAGAAGTTCCTCATCAGAAGGAACAGGAGCGGCTTGCAAATCAGGCGCATCACAAAACCTCGACATCCCCCTTCAGACGCCACCAGCGCGGGCGCGGGCACACGGGATTCTAACAGCCAGAAACCACTGTTGGTTCTTGAACACCCGATCCTTGGCCACACTTCACGCTCTAAGTCCTGAGGGGGTGCGTGTGTGCGTGTGAGTGTGTGTGTGAGTGTGAGTGTGTGTTTCAGGGTGTGCAGGTTTTCCACTGCGGGTGGCATTGTTGGCTCGGATTAATTTGTATTTCATGGGCCTGTAATAAATGCTTGCAAAAATCACTTCGAATCTCAGAAACATTCACAAACGAAGTGTTTTTCGGGTCCACCTGACCTCAGGAAATCTGTAAATGAGTTGGGTTGGGCCTCCCCGCTGCCTGGGGGGGGGCGCGGGGCGGGTGAGTCCTGGAGCCGCGGCCCAGCCCCACCCCTGACGGGAGTGACCCCCGGGCGCAGCTGCCCCGTCCCTGCTGCTCCCCTCAGCAGTGTGTCTCGGTCAGTCTGCCTGTTCTGCTCCCCACTGTCTCTGGTGAGCCTCTCACCCCCGCACCTCTGGCCTGCACCCCAGTTCCTGCAGCATAAATAAAGCGCGTATGTAACATCTAAAACCCTTGCCGCACACTGGGGTTCCCTGGTCGCATGTGCGGGGGGTGGGGGGCGGGGGCGGAGCACAAGAGCTGCTCAAGGGCTCTGGGGGTGCAGAAGGGTGGGGGGGCTGGCAAGGGGCGGGGCGCACCGGGAGCCGCTCGTGGTCCCTCCTCGTCCACTCCCCCGACTTGGCCAGTTTGACATTGTTTCCAAGTAAGTTTTGGGAATCTCTGGCCAGGCCCGGGCGGGCCGCTGCCTCACCCCACGCCGGCACAGAGCGCGCCAGAGGCGGAGGGAGCCGGCCCCTCGCCTGGACCCGCCTGGGGGCCAGGTGGGGGGGCCCGCCTGGGCTTCCTCCCCCCGTACCCCCCACCACCCCCCTGCCCCGGCCCCAGGGCAGGTGCCGGCGGCAGAGCGTGGTCTCCCCGCACGAGCTGGCGCGCCGCAGGCCCTGGGGGAGGCGGCGCCCCGTCTGCCCCCGCCCGGGTCTCCAGGGGGCGCGGCCCGGCCCCGCAGCCGCCGAGGTGCCCGGGCTCACCTGGCCGGGACGTGACGAGGAGCGTGCGGTCATCCAGCGTCTTTACCGTCCGCTTGAAGCCACAGAGGGCTTCAGAGAGCTGGATTCTCACTTTCATGATCAAGTCGTGGCCTCGCCTCTGAAAGACACTATGGTCCTTCTGATCAAGCACAATTATCACATCGCCCGGCTCCAGCTCAGGCTCCTGGTCGCCTTCTCCATGAAAGAGAATCTTTTGCCCATCCTTCATACCTGCGGAACAGCAGCCCCTCGGGTTAGCCGCCCGCCGCGGACCCGCACTGTCGGCACGGCTGCTGGGGCACCGCGCCCCCTGGGGTCCTGTCTTCACCAGGCCTCCAGACCCTGTGCTGGGGGCCCCTGGGCCCCCACATTCCTGGGCATCACAGGGTCCTCCGCCCAGGGGCAGGGGGAGAGTGACAGGCCACACAGCCCAGGAGGCCCGGGTCCGCCACACGGGGGGCCCAGCCCTGCATGGGGGGCGCAGCCCTGGGGGGCACCATCAGGGAACGGTGTGTCTCAAACAAGAAGCCCTTGCAGGCGGCCGGGCGTCCCCGCTGCCGCCCTGTCCCACCCCGAGCGTCTGCGGGAAGGCGGCCGAGGGAGGAGGCACCTGGAGAACAGCTGTCCTGGCAGAGTCCAGGGCGCCGGGGCGCCGGGCCCGCAGCAGGGGCCGCTCTGCCCACAGCCGGGCCGTGGCGCCCTCAGGGCCCGCCCCCAGGCCGCCTCACCTCTCTCCACGTGCACCTCGATGAGCTTCTTCTCGCGGGTCACCCTGGCGCCCCCGCAGCCCTCGCAGCGGTCCTTGGGGCTGACGCGCTCGCCGCGGCCCTTGCACTCGAGGCACACGGTCTGGATCTGCTGCACCACGCCCGGCCCGATCTGCTGGATGTGCGCCTGCACGCCGCGGCCCTTGCACAGCGGGCACTTCTCCACGGACCCCTTCTTCCCGCCGACGCCTGGGAGGGCGGCAACGTGGCGGCCCGTCTCACCGGCACCCTCGGGGCAGGCGGCTCCCCACCCGGGTCCCAGACGCCTGCCCGGAGCTGCCCGCGGGAACCCAGCCTCGCCCCGGGGCCTGCCCCCGAGCCGGCTCTGGAAAGCGGCTTTTTAAAGTTGCATCGCCCCGCACTCTGCTGCACACTCGTGCACGGACGCCACCCCGCCGGCTGCTCGGCCGAGGCGCCGCCTGGACCCTCGCGGGTTTTGAGGAACAGTCACCCCAGCAACACGCGCGCGCCCCCGGAGCAGCGGGCGCTCAGACGAGAGGCGCTGCCTTCCCCGCGCCGTCCCGGGCCTACGAGCCGGTCCCCCGGAACAGTCTTCACCTTCGCACTTGGCGCAGATGACGCTTTTCTGGAGGGCCAGCTTCTTGGTGACGCCCTTGTACAGATCCTCGAGCGTCACGGGCAGCTGGTGCACCACGTTCTTGCCTGCACGGAAGCCGGGCGCGGCGTGTGAGGGGGCAGCCGGGCCAGGCGCGCAGCGCCATGGAGGGACCTGCGGCTTTCCTTGTCTGCGAGCAAAGGGGGGACCCGCGGCGGCCGAGCCCCCCAACCAGGGCCCGGGCCCATGTGAAGCGCTGCCTCCAGCTGAACGCCTGTCATGCCCACGTGTGTGGCGCGGCGGGGCAGGTCCTCCGCGCCCGGCCTGCCTGGGGCCGGGTCAGTGCAGGACGCCGGTGCTGGCCCCGCCTGCCCTCTCGCGGGGGTGTGGGGCGCGTCTCAGCTGGGGGCCAGGCTCCCGCAGTCCACACTGGGGTCGGGCAGCGGAGACCCGCGGCAGATGCTCCGCCTTCCCTGCCTATCGCGGGGGGCAGGCTGCACCCCATGTTTCCCCATTGGCGCCAGCGTGAGGCCAGCACAGCCGGGCTCCCGCGGGCCCCGCCAGGCCACGTGCAGAGCTGTCGTCCAGGGACTAGACGGGGCCGCGAGGGCCGGGACAGTCGAGGGGACAGCTCAGCCCGGAGGCGGGAAGGCCAGAAACCTGGGAGACGCACCCCAGGACTCCAAACGGCAGCGGGGGCGGGCGCGGGGCCCGACTCGCCACAAAGGCCCTCAGGCCTGACGGGCAGGTTCCATCATCCGGGAAATCTCGGGAGCCAGTTCAGAAAACGAGGCCACGACCCACTTGGAGCCAGGCCAGCGCGGGCGGGCCGGGGCGCTGCCTACCTCTCCGCTCGCGCGCCATCCGCCCCCCTCCGCCGAAGAACATGTCGAAGATGTCCATGGGCGAGGAGAAGCTGGGGCTGCCCGAGCCGCCCTCCTTGATGGCCTGCTCCCCGCCCTGGTCATACACCTCCCTCTTCTTCGGGTCGGACAGCACCTCGTAGGCCTGGGAGATGAGCTTAAACTGGGAGGGGGAGACCGGGAGAGGTGTCAGCTGCTCCCGCAGCGGGATGCCCTGCGTTCACAGGTGTCCCCCTGGCGTGCCCGGTTTCTGTTCCCCCCACCCCACCCCACCCCACCCCATCCCCCGCCACCCAGCCAGAAACAGTGTGGGCGGGGGATTGGGGGGGTGCCAGGGAGGGCGGGGCAGGGCCGGGCAGGGCCGGGCAGGGCCGGGCAGGGCCAGGCAGGGCCGGGCAGGGCCCCCAAGGCGGCTTCCTCCTGCTGTGCACGCCAGGCGGCAGCCAGGTGGAGCGGGGACACAGGAGCCCAGCAGCTGCCCTGGGGAGGCCGGCCCCCAGCTCACTTTACCAGGCACAGACACAGGCCAGCCCACGCCCCTGGCTGGCCTCTCCCGCCCCCACGGCCCCCTGTCTGTCACGGGCAGCACCACTCAGCGCTGCGCAGCTCCAGCGGGGCCTGCCCCTTCCAGACGCCAGCAGACGCCGGCCCGGCCAGGGCGCGCAAGGTGAGAAGCAGCATGTGGCTTGGCGGGAGGACGCGCGGGGACATCCCCGTGGCCACAGCTGGACCCTGTGCCCAGCAAAGGCTCAGAACGTGCACCAGGTCGGAGCAGCCCAGGAGCTGCCTCTGGGCTCACAAACCCTGAGGTGCCCAAACTCGCCCCTGCTCACTGCCGCCTGCCCGCCCACCCGCGTCCACACTGACCTCCACGCAGGGGCCGCCGCGGGGCCAGCAAGGGGCATCTGCAGGGCAGGTGGGGCCCTGGGGGGTGGCCTCAGGCACAGATGCTGGGCAGGTGCTCCCACCCCCTCATCACTGGGCCTTAGAAACCGGCCTCGAGTGAGATCAAGTGTGACAGAAGCAGGCTCTCAAGTCACGGCCAAGGCCGCCGGCCAGGGAGGGGCCGCCCACATACCCGGGGCACTCACCCGCGCTGCCCCACGCCCAGGAAGCAGGCCCAGCACCAGAGCCCCAGCCAGCAGCGCCCAGCGCGCCACTGCCCTCAGCAGAGAGGGGGGCTCGGGTGTGTGCCGAGACCAGGCCCAGCCGGGAGGGAAGCCCTCGGGTACCGGCACCCCACAGGGTGCACCCGCCCCTGGTCCCGCGTCCTCTGGGCGTCTGCCCTGATTCTGTTACTGGTCGAAAGGGCGGCGCAACCCGCAGAGCCCGAGCTCAGCCCCGTCGCTGTCTGGAAGGCGCCCATGGGAGCCAGGCTGCGCTGACGTCAGGGCCCGCAGCACTGACCACACAGGCGGCCTTGGCAGCACGGCCGGGAGCGGGGGAGGAGCGGGGGGGGGAGCTCCCAGCTGTTGGGGGTGCTGGCGGGATCTATTTCTGCAGCGACATTAACAATCCAGTGACAAGCTGAGCAGAAAGGCTCACGGGGCCACCTGTGCCGGCTGTGGCAGGTGGGGGAGGCTGAGCGCCCACAGAGCGGCCACGCCAGGATCCCCACCCAGCGGCCCCCGCGTGCCCGCCGGCCCCACAGGCTGCGGCCACGAACCAGGGCCCACGAGGGACGGACCTGCCGAGAGCTGAAGGGCTCGGACCCTGTGGGGCCGCCAGACCTCAGCATTGGTGCCCCGTCCGTGACAGGCCTGGGCTGGGGCGGTGCACACGGGGGTGAAAGGGGCCGCGCGGCCCCTACAGGAATGTGCTCGGGTCAGGCCCGGCGCGAACCCTGCCCAGAGCAGCTGGGCCACTGGCACTGACTGCCACGCAGCCGGCACTCGCTGACCCTAAAGGAGGCCACTGTCCAGGATGGGCTTCCTCCGGGCGAAGGCGCCTGAAGCCGCTGGACGGGCACCAGGGTGGGGTACATGCCATGGGAGGGAGCACTCAGGCCGGCGCCGCACGGGTGGGCAGCCAAACGTCGGTGTCCATCCAGTGGCGCCTCCACGCTCCTGCTGGGGGATGCGGCGCAGGCGGGGCAGGAGCGCCCGAGCCATCGCTGTTCGTGCCCACAAAGCGCCTCTGAAAGCCCCCGGGGCACCCAGAGCATTCAGGCGAGGGCGGGTGCCAGGGGTCATTTCCCAGGGCGGCCCAAAGGCCCAAGGCACAGCAGACGGGTGTGAGCCCAGGACGAGCCCGGCCGGGCCAGGCGGGCACCCCGGCCGCACAGCACCCCCAGCCCCCGCAGGCACTGGGCCAGCTGTGGGCACCGCCTGGGGCCCTGGGCAGCTCCACGAGGGCCACAGGACGCTCCTGCACCGGCCCGGCGGCGGCACGTGGTCGCCCAACAGCCGCGCTGGAGACGACGCAGCGGGACCGTCCTGGCCCCTTGGGGGAGGCGGGTTTAGGGCTTGTCCAGAGCGCGGCTCCCAAGACCAGGGAACCCCGGGGCTGTGCGGCCGCGGGGAGAGGCCGGAGCTCGCCCAACCCGGGCCGGGGCCCCGCAGGGCCCCGCGCACCGGACGCCACCCTCGGCCGCGCGGCGGGGGCCCGTCCCGCCCTGCCCGCCGCCCCGCGCCCCGCCCCGGCCCGGCCCCGCCCTCCGGAGCCCGCGCCCCGGGCCCGCCCCGCCCGGCCCCCCAACCCCCGCGCCCGCCCCGGCCGGGCCCGGCCCGGCGCCCGCACCTTCTCGCCCTCGTCCGGGTTCTTGTCCGGGTGGTACTGGAGCGCCAGCCTGCGATAGGCCTTCTTGATCTCGTCCGGGGGCGCGCTGGGCTTCACCCCCAGGATGTCGTAGTACTGGGTCTCCTTCACCATCGCGCCGCTGCGGGGCGGCCGGTCAGCGCCCGCCCCGCCGCCCGCGCCCCGCGGGGTGTCGCCGGCGCCGGCGGGAGGTTCGGGGCGCCGTGACGCCACAGAGCCCAGAACCCCCGCGGGGGCTCCGGGGCGCGCGCGCGGGCAGCCCCGGCCCCCCCCTCCGCGCCCCGACCCGAGCCCCGACCCGGGCCCCGGCCCCCCCCCCACCGCGCCCCGACCCGGGCCCCGGCCCCCCCCCCCCGCGCCCCGACCCGGGCCCCGGCCCCCCCCACCGCGCCCCGACCCGGGCCCCGGCCGCCCCCCCCCCGCGCCCCGACCCGGGCCCCGGCCGCCCCCCCCCCGCGCCCCGACCCGGGCCCCGGCCCCCCCCCGGGCCCGCGCCCCGACCCGGGCCCCGGCCCCCCCCCCGCGCCCCGACCCGGGCCCCGGCCCTCCCCCCCCCGCGCCCCGACCCGGGCCCCGGCCCCCCCCCCGCGCCCCGAGCCGGGCCCCGGCCCCCCCCCCCGCCCCGCGCCCCGCCCCGGGCCCCGGCCCCCGACCCGGCGCCGCCCCGAGATCTGCGTCCCGGCCCCGGAGCCCGCCCCCCGCCCGGACGGCCCCAGCGCGCGGCTCACCCCGGCTCCGCGGCCGCCGGCCCCTCGGGCTGCTCGCGCGCCTCCCCCGAGCTCCAGCTCTGGCCGCCGCCCCGGGCCATGGCGGGCCTGGGACCGACCCGCGCCCCTGGGCTGCGGACGCGAGGGGCGCGCTGAGCCCTGCCCGACGGGGCGCCCCGGCAGCCGCGCCCGCGCCCGCGCCCCTCCCGAGGGCGGGGCCGCCTCTGTGCGCTCACGCGGGGGCGGCGCGGACGGCTCGAGGCCCGCGGAGCCGGAGGGCCCCTCGACGACCTGCGTGTTCGGAGCCCCGGCCCGCGGGGGGCTGGGGGGGCTGGGGGCGGGCCGGGGGCGGGCCGGGGGCGGCCCGGGCCCTCCCCCGTCTAGGCCTAAGCCGTTCGCTGGGTCAGGGGGCGCCTTGCCAGCCCTCTTTCTGGGCAGTGGTGGGCACTGGCCCTCCCCTGGCGCCCTGAGCCCCCCAGCCACACGCTGTCGGGGTGCGGACCCTGCTTGGGAGAACACAGCTGCGTGGGCAGTGCCAGCTCGGGTACAGGCAGCCTGGCCACCGGCCGCAGGGCCAGGCATGGGCGGCGGCCCCGCTATCAGCCGGCGGCAGCCTTGCCCTGCTGCCTTGGTGGGAGGGGTGCGCCTCCCGCCACCTCCCAGGGCTCCTGGGCCCTGTTGGGGCCCGCAGCGGAGCCAGGAGCCCCCCCTTCAGGGCTGGCGGCGGAGAGATGACCGCCGGGAAGGCCGCTGCGCGGTTCCCGGGCCCCTCCCTCTGAGCCACCAGACCCTTCCACTGCAGCCAGCGCCCCGGCCAGGACTGGCCCCCCAGCGTGGCACAGGCCCCCGCATGCCGCAGAGAGGCAGCCCTGGCAGATATCAGCCCAACCCCCCCAGCCGAGGACCCTCCGGGCCGCTTCCCAGGCCCCGTGCCCAGTCCGCGCAGGGTCCCGGGGACCGGCGGGGCGCTCAGCCTGCCCTGGCTCCGCCGCCCCCACAGCCATGGCCACCGCCGTCCACGCGGGGCGCCGAGCAGCTGGCCCCCGCCCTCCGGGGAAGGTGAAGGGCCCTTCCCGGAGAGAACGAAATGGAACTTCCCAGCTTCTCTAGCGGATTTCCAGGAAGTGTATCTTGCTCGAATGTTGCCGCCGCCCCGCGCACGTTTACAGAGGACGCTCGCCACCGCGCCCGCCACGCCCGTGGTCAGTCCTTCCGTGGCTCTATCGGCGGGTTCGGGTGCCGCCAGACTGAGTCTCCAGGTCTCAGCACTAAGTGGACAGACGCCGTGTGACGCCCGATGGCGGGCTCGCTGGGGCCGGCAAAGCCTGGCAGGTCAGGCCTGGCCGGGGGGGTAGGGCAGCGGCTCCTGGACCCCAGGCCCGGGCTCTGGAGCTGCGTCCACTCTGTCCCCCCCAGCCCCCGCCCCTGTGATTTGTCCCGCCAGGAGTCCTCTTGGCTCCCTGGTCACTTTATTGTGAGCCAACGCACAGCTTCCGATGACCCATATTTTGGTGGCCAGTCCCGTGGAGGCCCAGGTCACCTGGCTACCCAGGAACAGCTCGTTGGGCCGGGAGCCAGTGGCCAGCCTGCACCGGGGGGTCACGGGCCATTCACTGCAGCTGTCCCTGAGCACTGGCCCTCGCTGGCACCTTCGTGGGGAGGAGAGGAGCCGCCTCCAGGAGCGCCTGGGAGCCTGGCGGCCGGCGGGTGGCGGGAGGGGGTGGGGCGGCGGGAAGGCCAGGGTGCCGGGCAGCAGGCGCCAGGTGCTGGAAGGGTGACCTCTGGGTGCTGGCGGAGACGGGTGGCTGGGACGGCAGGAGGCCAGCTGGGGAGAGCGGGCAGCGTGGGCCTGACGTCCACTCTCGCTGGGAGGCCTTGGTGTCCAGCACAGGGGTCAGGCGATGCGCACGCAGTGGGCACCGGAACCGGCCATCGGGCCGCCCCGGCACAGGCCACCCTGGCACCGGCGGTCCCCAGCCCCGCCAAGCACCCGGATGGCCCGCTCCCTCCCCCGCCGCCCGCTTATCTAATCTCTGGGAGCAGAAAAACTGGCTCTGCTCGGCTCCACCAAGGGCCGTGCAGGGCGCCAGGCAGCGGGCGGCCCCAGGGCACAGCAGCTGGCTGCGGGGCAAGAGGGCGTCTCCCGGCCTCATTTCTTAATGCCCTTTCTTTGAGGAACACCAAGACACCACCCTTGGGTCCCCGCTCTGAGCCCTCCCTCCGCGCCACCCTCGCCCCGCACTGGTGTCCGCCGGTTCTCTCTCTCCTCCCTTCTGATGGCTTTCTTCTTTCCTAATAAAGACACTATTTTCCCCTCAGCACCAGCCCTGGGGTCTTGCGCGCCGCCCCCGAGCCCAGGGACCTCAGGGCGTGTGCTGGGTTTTGAGCGCCGGGCGCTGTGGCCCGCCCCGTCACGGGCCTGCGAGGCCGCCACTGTCTTCGCTGCGGGTCGCGCTCTTCCGTCCCCTCCATTCTGTCAGGAGCGGCTGCGCCCTGCTTTGCTGGGCTGCACCGCGCTCCCCGGCGAGGCTCCGCCGCCCCCTGGCCGCCCTGGGCGTGGGCGCAGCCGCGGGGAGCAGAGGGGGCTGGCTGGGGCTCGTGCTCCGGGTGTGGCCCTAGAACGGGGCTGCAGGTCTGTGTTTCCTCCTGGGTTTTTAGGGTAAATCCAGGTTGCTCTCCATGATGGCTGCACCCCGGCCCCAGCACGGGCGACAGCACCCCCGTGGTGGTGACAGGGAGCGCAGCCCTCCCAGGCCCCTGGGGCGCCTCAGCCTGGGAGTCCCCACCGTCAGAGAGGAGGGAAGGCACAGCCCCTGGTGAGCCCCGGGTCCCGGCAAGGGCTCCTGAGCCTGCCCTCTCCCTAGACTGCAGCGCTGGGGACCTGGGGACACCCAGGCCACAGCGCAGCCCTGGGCCTGCCTCGCATCTAGGGCCCCTCTCCCCTCACGCTGCTGGGGAAATTTTGCCCAAGGGGCTTCTCTCCGAGCCCCCCAGGCCTGAGCAGCCCTGAGAATCTGCCCCCTCCTCATCTTTCCAGACCTTTCCAGGCTTCGAGCTTAACCAAGGTGTTTGACTTAGAGCCAGGGCCTCCCTGGTGGCGCAAGGGGTTGAGCACCGCACGGTGAGGTTGTCCGCAGCCTCTGCAGCAGGAGTGCCACCCCTGGCCAGCGAGCTCCCCACAGGGCGCAGCAGACTCTCCTGTCCCCCCGCTGCTCCCCTCAGCAGTGTGTTTCAGTCAGTCTGCCTGTTCTGCTCCCCACTCTGTCTGGTGACTCCTCTCACCCCCCCCCACCTCTGGCCTGTACCCCAGCTCTTGCATGCATACATAAATACATCTTTAAAAAAATACGTTGACTTAGAGCCAGGAAACGGGTCATTCCCTCTGACTCGGGCCGTCCTCATGGCCGTGTCCTCCCAGCAAGCCCAGTCCGCCCACGATACGGCACCCCCGCCCCAGCCCCCACCTGGACCACTGAGGCGCCACCCCAGCCCGGGGTACGGCCCCTCCTGAGAGGCTCCTGGCTTGAAGCCACACTTTGTAGGGTTGGGCTGGCAGCCACAGGGGCGCTCCCCTGGGGCGGGGGCTGGTGTTCAGCCTCCTCACCCCACGTGCACCCCCACAGCTGTGTGGGTGCCTGCAAGCCCTCCAGCCCTCAGCGCCCTGCAGCTGCCTGCAGGCTGCCAAGCACCCCAACACCCTCCCACCCCCCCAACCCCCGGCTGGGAGCAGGCCTAGGGGCCAAGCCTGTGGATCCTGGGGCACCGCCCGCCACAGAGCCCAGGGGTGGCTGGGCTGGGGGCTGCAGAGGGGGCCGTGGGGAGGGGGTCGCCTCGGGGCCAGATTGGTCCAAGGTGGCTTTTAACGCCACGGGAGAGGCTTTCTGGGGCCAGAAGCTGGGAGCCCTTGGGCCGGACTTGGAGGAGCCGATTTGCATGAGAAAGAACACTGGCTTCCTTGAGATTCCCCTCGGCTGGCAGACAAAGCCGCCAGGGAAAGTTTGAATCCCGAGCAACCTCGCCGCTGAGGACCCGCTTGGCCTCCTTGAACTTCTAAAAACAGAGAGGAAATGAGCCTGTCCCCCACTCTGGTCGTGGCCCCTGCCAACCCCTCGCCAGGCCCAGCCCTGCCCTCGTCAGCCCCTCTGCCCAGGACGGTGCCCGCCCCACTGCTCACGTCCACCCCCTTTGCCAGGCCTGTGCCCGCCCCACCCCCTCTGCCCAGGACTGTGCCCACCCCTGCCCACGTCAGCCTCTCTGCCAGGCCTGTGCCCGCCCCCCTGCCCACGTCCACCCTCTCTGCCCAGGCCTGTGCCCGCCCCTGCCTGCATCAGCCCCTTTGCCAGGCCTGTGCCCACCCACTGCCCACGTCCACCTCCTCTGCCCAGGCCTGTGCCCGCCCCACTGCCCACCCCTCTGCCCAGGCCTGTGCCCGCCCCACCCCCTCTGCCCAGGCCTGTGCCCGCCCCACTGCCCATGTCCACCCCTCTGCCCAGGCCTGTGCCTGCCCCACCCCCTCTGCCCAGGCCTGTGCCCGCCCCACTGCCCATGTCTGTCCCTCTGCCTGGTGCTCCCCCACTGCCCAGGTCTGTGCCGTCCCCACTGCTCACATCAACCCCTCTGCCCACATCCTCCCCCACTGCCCCTACCCTTGTCCACCCCACTGCCCACGCCCACCCCCCCCCGCCCCCGCCCGCCCCCACTGCCCACTCAAGGCCGGCCTCTCTGCAGGAGAGGCTGCGCTCCCGGCAGAGGCCACACAGCTCCAGAGCTGGACACTGCCGCCCGGGAGCCCAGCATGCCGGACCACAGGGAGGCCCCGCAGCACAGCCAGCAGGACCCGGACCCGGGAGACCCCCCACGGGACAGCCAGCAGGACCGGGGCCCGGGGGCCACCCGACAAAGCCTGGGAGCGAGGTGAGGGTGGGCATCCGCCCCGGAGCCGCAGAGCCCGCCGGGCAGCGCAAGGCCAGGGGCAGGGGCCTGGCGGGGCTGGGCTCCCCCGGCGCACGAGGGCAGCGGTGCAGGTGACAGGAGCCGGCCTTTGTCCCACGGGGGTGGGGACACGCAGAACGGCCCCGGGTGTCTGGCGCCGTCCCCGGACCTGAGGCCCAGAGGAGGCGGCTCGGGCCAGGCTGGCCAGCGCCGTCCTTCAGGGGGGCCCGAGAAGGCGGGACCCCAGCCAGGAAGCCGTCCAGAGCCCAGGGTCTGTGTCCCTGGCCCAGAGGGCGCAGGCCGGGGGGGCGGGGGCCAGGCAGGCCTTGGGCTCAGGGTCAGCAGCTGCGGCCGCCGAGGGAGGGAAGGGCAGCCGGAGGCAAGGACACGAGGCGCCGCCGTGGAGGAGGAGGCAGGGCGGGCGCCGGGCACCAGCCCCCGATGAGGGAGAAGACGCCTGCCCCGGGGCCAAGGCACCCCGGGCTCTGCTGGGGCCGGAGGGCCCATGTGTCCAGCGAGGGCTGGCCGCTTTGGAGGCGGCTCTGGACACCAGGGCTCGGGCGGGCCAAGGCCCAAGAGGAGGTCGGGCGGTCCCTGGCTCCCACACCCGGGGCTGGGCCGTGGCCTCTCTGAGCCTCTAGGCCCCTGTGGGCCGTGGCGCTGGGCAGATCTTCCAGCCGGTATGCAGGAAGAGCCCCAAAGGAGGTGCCACGGACACGCGGCCCGGAGCACCAGGAGGGCCCAGCAGGGCCGGGGCCGCCCTCCACTCCCACCTGGCCAGACGCCCGCCAAGCCTCAGTCTCCCCCTCGGTCACGCGGGGGAGTTAAAAGCTGCTGTGCCAGCCCTGCAGCTGTGGACAGAGTGGCCTGGCCGCCCTCTGCCCCTGCCGCCCACTCACCCGCCCATGGTGAACGTCGCAGGGCCTCCAGCCCAGGCCCCACTGTGCGGCCTCTAGCCTGAGCGGGGCTCGGCCTCCCTCCCGCTCCCAGGCTTGCAGAGGGAAGGCTGGGGTGGGGCCGAGGGGAAGCTGAGGCTGGACCTTGCCAGCCTGACCGCAGGAAAGCCCCTTTGTGCCACACCAGAGCTGAGGGCCAGGAGAGCTGGGAAGGCCGAGCGGGAGGGTCTGTGGCCGCCAGAGCCGCACAGCCCATCGGCAAGCGCCATGGTGCAGGCAGCCTTGGGCCCAGGCTGGGCTTGGTGGGAGGCATTGCTGGCCTCTCGTGGCTGCCGTCCCGGAGCTGCGTGTCCCTGGCCCAGCAGCCAGCTGTGCTCCTGGGGCCTCTGGTGTGGCCGCTCCCGTGGGCCCCACTGGCTTCAGCACAGCCAGACGGTCGGCGGCTAGGTGGGACGTGGGTCCGGGCTGCCATGCGCAGCCAGAGCCCTGCGAGACCAGGGAGTGGCCCACGGGGCAGGGCTGCAGGCAGTTCTGCCCAGTCCACTCAGCTGGACGCTGCGGCCTCTGTCACTCGTGTCCCTGAGGCCCGCCTGCTCCCAGCATGGGGTACCCCCCCTCCCCTTCGGGTGCGACCTGCCAGCTGGATGCTGCAGGGCCCCCCTCGCCGGGCACAGCCTGCCAGGCAGCCGCGGCCGGTCCTCGCCCAAGCTCCGAGGGAGCCTGTCCCTGCCGACTGGCTGGCGTGGGGTCCCTGTGGCCGGGCTGCTGCCAAGCCGGATGCCCGCCCTGGGGAGCACAGAGCCTTCCCGGCTTAATCAGGGTTTGCGTCCTTACGGTGGTGCGGTCAGGGCTCTGTGTGTCCTCCGCCCGCTTCTCTTATCAGTTCAATGGCTTGCAAATGCTTCCTCCCACCCCGTGGTCACCCCTCACTTTGTGAATGGTGACCATTGAAGCACAAGTTTTGCTTGTGATAATGTCCAGTGTATCTGCCTCCTTTGTTTGTGCTCCTGGTGTCCATCTAAGAGGCTTTCCCTGACTCGAGGTCACAGAGGTCCACTCACATTCCCCCGAGAGCTCCCGGCTCCAGCACCCGCACGCGGGGCGCTTCTGCGCAGCTCTGCGTGTGGCGACCAAGGGGCCGTTTTCGCCCTTGCACGTGGGTGAACGCCACACAACTGGCCCTTCCCTTGAGTTTTCCTGGCGTCCTCGACCAACAGTACTGGAGAGGGGACTGACCGCTGGACTCCGAGCCCTGCCCCACCGCCGTGCGTCTGGCCTCATGCCCATGAGACGCTGCCGTGCGCGTGGCTTTGTGGTGACTTGAAATCAAGGCGTGTGAATCCCCGAGCTCTGCTCTTCGTCAGGATTGCTCTGGCTGGTCTGGGCCTCTGAACTTTTTTTTTTTTAAAGTGTCTTTTTCTTTTTTTTTTTAAAGATTTATTTATTTTTATACAAGAACCGGGGTACAGGCCAGATGCACGGGAGGGTGAGAGGATTCACCAGAGACAGAGCGGGGAACAGAACAGGCAGATCTACTGAAATCCACTGCTGAGGGGAGCAGCGGGGAGACAGGAGAGGTCCGCCGCGCCATGTGGGTATCTCGCCGGCTGGCCAGGATCGAACCCGTGCTGCAGAGGCTGTGGACAGCTTCACAGCACGGCGCCCAACCGCCTGCACCACCAGCGAGTGGGCCTCTGAAATTTTACGTGAATTTTGTGGCTGGCTTGTTCCAGCACAGTTCCAGCAAAAACATCAGGTGGGGTTCCCTCAGAGACCAGGCGGGCAGTAGCTCACTTTGTTGCTTCTTAACAAAATCAGGAGTCTGGTCCCGAAGTGTCCCTCCGCTTACGCACGTCTTCAGCTCTTTCCACACCCTGTCCTGCTCAATTCAAAGGTCCGTCCCCTCCTCTTTGGAGCAAGCGATTTCCCCCACTCTGTCTTCACTCCCACGGACTCTCCATTTCAACCCTTCTAGCCACTGAGTCCCTCGGGAGATGCTCCCTCGGGGTCTGGTCATCGTCCCCTTCCCGGCTTCGCCTTCAGAGTCCCTCTCTGCTTTACTCTGGTTTTTCTATCTTTCTTTTTTTTTTTTTTAAAGATTTATTTACACAAGAACTGAGGTACAGGCCAGAGGCACGGGAGGGTGAGAGGATTCACCAGAGACAGAGTGACCAAAACAAACTGCTGAGGGGGCAGCGGGGAGACAGGAGAGGTCTGCTGCGCCATGTGGGCAGCTCCCTGGCTGGCTGGGAATTGAACCGGCGCCGCAGAGGCTGCGGACAGCTTCACAGCCCTGTGCTCAACCGCCTGCGCCACCGGGGAGGTCCTACTCTGGTTTTTCTTAAATGTGCAGACACGCATCAGTACTCTAAGGTTTCTGTGCTCGTCCCGACGCCTCCCATGCGACGCTTTTGCAGATGTCTTGTCGTGGCGGGCGCTGGGCGGTGCGTCTGGGGTTCAGTGCCCCCCCAGCCCCTGCCCGCGCCACCCCCCAGCCCCTGCCCGCCCCCCACCCCGCCGCCTCCCCGTGCAAGACCCCAGCTCACAGGCCCCTCCCGCCGCCCTGGGCCACGCAGGTGCGTAGCTGGGGCCCTGCCAGGTGGGTCAGAGGCAGCCACCCACCTCGCCCACAGCCCCAGGCAGACGGGGCGGCACCACCCTGGCCCAGCCCCAGCCCTGCGCCAGTCACCAGCTGGGCTGCCACAGCCGCACGTCCAGAAGCCGGAGGCTGTGGAGGTGAGCGCCCGCCGCCCGGCCTCGGGTCCGCGCTCGGGACGAGGGAGGCGGCAGCTGTCCACACACCCTGTGGGCAGCGGGCCAGCGGGCGGGTGGGTCCCGGTGCCTGGGCCGCTCGGCTCCTTGTTTGGGATTTGGGGATCTGGGGTTTCCAGGACGTGGGGTGACGCCCTCCTGGCGACGGTAGTCTGCTGGGGACATGCTGTGCCCGCGGTGACCCTGCGAGGCGAGGGCGGCGGGCGTGGGAGCCCAGGGCCTGGCCATCCTGCAGCCACTGCCGGACAAGGAGCACGGGCCCGGCTGTCACCCCGATGCCGCCGCCGGCCAGCGTGTGGGCTCGGCGGGGCCGGTCCCAAGGGTGAGTCACGGGGAGGCGGCCACCCCTGACTCACCGTGTCTCCCTGCAGGCGCTGGTGGCCGGGCCGCGGGCTGCCGCGCTGCGGGGGCCGAGGCGCTCGCTGGCCGGGCGGCGGCCCCAGGCACCATGCCCGAGGCGCTGCTGCTCAGGCCGGCCAGCTCCATCCTAAGGACCGCGTAAGGACCAGCCCTGGCCACGGTGGGGGGCAGGCGGCGGCCCCAGGCCCCACTCCATGCCGGCACTTCTGGGGGTGTCTGGTCCTCACCTAGGGCGGGGGCAGAAAACCGGCTGGGGAGGGAGTGGCTGCCGGGCCCGTGGCTCCAAGACGTGGTGTGGAGGAGGAGCCGGAGGGAGGCGGCCTCAGGGCCGCACGCAGTGGGTCAGGGCAGGTCGAGGCCCCCTGACCGAGTTCCTGCGCCATGGTGAGCACCACCGGCGGTGGCTCCAGGGGCCTCCCCAGCCATGTGTGGCCTTCAAAGCCCAAACCTGTATGTCCGAGGGTAGCTGGAGGGTGTGGGGAGACCCTGGTGGGCTGCCTGCAGGAGGCGGCAAGGGCCACGGCCATGCTCTCTGCAGCCTGCTGGGCGTGGCGTTCTCGGGGAGACAGAGGAGGCGGGCAGCTCATCCCGTGATGGTCCTGCCAGCCCTGGAGCAGCGGCGGCCCCTTCCCAAGCCAGGCAGTGCAGGGCCCCAAGGGGGCCCAGGCGGCAGGGAGCAGGCACCACCCACGGCTCCTGGCCACCTTCTCGCTCATTCCTGTTGGCTCCGCTCAAATCAGAGCCGGGCTCACACATTTTACCAGGCAGGAGAAATGCGGCCCCCGCCCTTCAAGGGAGGATTTAAGAGCAGACTGGCTGTGAGGAGGCGCAGGCACGGCCCGCCCTCCAGGCGCCCGTCTTTGGAAGGCACAACTGGGCGGCGTGTTCTCACCCTGGTGTCCGAGGCCTGGGCGCTGGTCTGGCCTCGGGGCAGCGCCTGGTGGTGGCACCGGGGGCTCAGGCCAGCGGGATGCTCCCGCCTCGCCCAGCCCAGGCCAGCGGGCGCCCATCCCCGCGGCCGCCGCCCGTCACCCCTGACGTCTTCTGCTTGGAACCCATGTCAGGCTCCTGAGCAGACTGCGGCCCGGCGGGCCTGGGTGCGCTCGCTCGCTCAGCGCGGACCTGCGGCCCCAGCACGGCGTCGGGCCCAGCGTGGGAGAAAGGTAACTGGCCGGTGCCGGGGCGGGGACGGGCAGACCGCCTTGGCAACGCACGGGCCGGGGCCCCAGGCTGTGCCCTCACGGCTGGGCGGTGTGCGTGGCGGCGAGAGGCTGGGCACGCGTCCCTGCAGCTGCGCCCACGAGGTCCTGAGGTGGGCCCGGTCTCCACCTCCTCATCCAGCCAGGGGGCTGAGGTCCGGCCGCTGACCTGGGAGACGACCCCGGAGCCATGGGCACAGGTGGCCTCCCAGGAAGGCTGGGCACTCGCGTGTGTTTGGGGCCTGCTTCAGCCTCCGGCAGCCTGGGGATCGCCTCAGCCCCCCAGTGTCCACATGACTGTCCTTGGCCAAGGCTGGGGCGGGGTGTGCCTCCTGCACTCCCCCGCTGGACTTCAGGGCCCCCTGGGCCAGACCGAGTCCTTCCTGGGGCGGATGGGGGCACCGAGGCAGAGAGTGGCGCCTGCCCAGAGCCACACGGTGACGGACAGTCCCCAGCCCACGGGGAGCCGGGCGCAGCTGGCGTGGGCGCCTGTGCCCGGCTCTGGAGCTCCTGCAAGGCTCCCTCTAACCCTCGTCTCCCCTCCTGCTAGCCCCAGGACTGACAGGCAGCCGCTACCCAGCCATGGCCTCCCACTCCCGACGCCAGAGAAGGCCAGGGAGGCCCCGCTGCTGGAATCTGCAGGTGAGCAGTGGGGGCTGCAGGCGTGTGGGTGGGCCCTTTCCCGCCCTGCCCTTGGCTGGCACCCTCTGGGCCACGGAGGGGGGCCACCAGGAAGGTGGGGGCAAGGCTGGGGGGCCGAGCGCGGCCATCCAGGGCAGGACTGACCCAACGTGGGCCAGCTCAATGCCCCAGAGCCGAAAGGCATCTACCCCAGAGGGGAGCGGGGCCCAGCACACGGGCTGGGGTCCCCCCCAGCCAGCCCAGCAGCCCCCCAGAGCAGGCGTGCTGCAGAAGGGGTGTCCAGGGAGGGTGACCAGGTGCCAAATCAGCCAGGGCCGGGCGCCCTGGGGTGAGACAGCCCAGCAGGCACAAGCCCCGTGGGCCCGTCCCGACATGCAGCTGGACACTGAGGCAGCAGCAGTCCGAGGGGCGGCTCTGTCCCCAGCCTGGGCCTCCAGTGGGAAAGCCGGACGTGGCCAGCCTGGAAGATGCCCGGCGGGGCCCAGCCGCCCACCGTGCGGGTACAGCCTGTGCTGTTCTGCCCGGTGCCAGGAGTGGCCGATCTCGCCGTGGCCCGAGGCCAGCACAGCGTCCTCCGCTCCTGTGTCCCCACGAGGGCCTGGCACGGCCGAGCGCACGCCAGGGGCCCTGGCCAAGCGCCCCCGCGCAGAGGCCCCGGAGCTGACCGGGAGGCAGGGTGGGCCTGCGGAGAGGCCCCCTCACCCAGGGAGGCTGTCCCCCCACTCTCCCGTGGCTTAATGAGGGGGAACCTACGCGCCGTCCACTGTATTCATTTTGAGGTAAAGTGAATAATTCCTGGCAAATCTGCAGCTGTACACACATCACAGCAATTCAGTTTTCAAACATTTTTCCTCACCCCAAAGAGAGACGGGGTGCTCTGTGCGCTGGTCCTGGCCCTCCCCGGACCGGCGTCGGCCGGCCTGCTGCCCCCGAGGCTGCTCCCAGTGCCCGGGACGGCCCCTCGGTCAGGTGCCTGGGGGGTGGCCTGGGAGCTGCCCGTCTGCTCCCCAGCCCCCGCCCCCCTCCCGGGAGTGGCGCTCACCCTGCGTCCTCACCACCCCCCCCAGGTCTGAGGGACTCGGTGCAGCCAGGGGCCCAGCTGCACGGCGGGGTGGCCGGTCATCGCCGGAGGCCACACGGTGGGGCTCCCAGGCCCGGGCACCAGGGTACGGGGCTTGGCAAAGCCTGAGGGGGCCTGAGGCCGGCTGGGGGCAGGGCGGGAGGTGGGCTGGCCTGAGGTGCGCTCTGCTGCAGCAGGCGGGGGGCCTCCTGCGCCCCCTGTCCCACCGGGCCCCAGCCTCTTCCTGCTGCCTCGGCCCCACACGCACCCCAGGAGCATGGATGGAACAGACAGGCGTCCCGGGAAGGGCCGTCTCTGGTGCCCCTGCAGGGTGGACATACAAGGCCGGCCTCCCCACCGCCGCTGGGCCTGGCTGGCCCCTGCCCGCCCCACAACCTCCCCACGGGGCCTCCCCGGAGAGGCCAGCCGGCCTGGGCAGGGGCTGTGCCTGCCTGGGCAGGGGCGGTTCCGGCTGGTGGTCAGAGCCCGTGGCCTCCTGCCCCGCCAGCCCCTCAGGATGTCGCTTGTGACAGTCTGGCCGCTGCCCGGTGGGGGCGCCGCGGGTCTCGGGAGCAGAGGGAAGGCCAGGCCCCGGCCCCGAGCCTGCTCCTCTCAGGGCCGCCCCGCCCCGGCTCGGGCTGGACTGCTGGCCAGCGGCGGGGAGCTCGGCTGGGAGGCAGCCGGGCGGCCGGCCTGACCGCAGGTGGCTCCCGCAGAGGCGGCGCTCTGGACCACGCAGGCGGACGGGCAGGTGCGCCTGCGCAGAGACCCCGGGTGCGTGCAGCCCCCCGCACCGTGCACCGGATGTTCCAAGAGGCCCTGGCCAAGTACGGGCCGCTCAGCGCCCTGGGCTTCAAGCGCGAGGGCCGCTGGGAGCACATCTCCTACGCCCAGTACTACCTGCTGGCCCGCAAGGCGGCCAGGGGCTTCCTGAAGGTGAGCCCACCCTCGTGGCCCCCAAGCCCATGGCCCCCTGCCTGGCGCCCGTGCCCCTGCAAGCCCTGGCCTGGCCGGTGGGAGGCGGCCCCTGGATGGGCGGGGAGGCGGCCGGGCCGGGCGTCCGCGCTGACCTGGCCTCTGCCTTCTCCTGGAGCTCGGCCTGGAGCGGGCGCACAGCGTGGCCATCCTGGGCTTCAACTCCCCAGAGTGGTTCTTCTCGGCGGTGGGTGCAGTGTTTGCGGGGTGAGTGGCCGCGGGGCGGCATGTGTGGTGGGGGGAGCAGCCGGGTGGGGTGGGGCCACAGCCTCTGACGCCCCCTCGGCCCGCAGGGGCATCGTCACGGGCATCTACACCACCAGCTCCCCCGAGGCCTGCCAGCACATCGCCCACGACTGCCGTGCCAACATCCTCGTGGTCGACTCGCAGAAACAACTGGAGAAGATCCTGAAGGTGGGGCGCGGCTCCAGCTCACGGGGCCTCCCCCTCCCGCCCTGGGCCCATCCTCAGCTGCACCCCTCTCCCCCACAGCCAGGCCCGGGGCCCACAGAGCTGGTACAGGCCCTGGCTGGGCTCTGTGGCTCCGTGGGCAGGGGCGAGTCCGCCTGCCATGTGGGCGCTTCACCACAGCTGAGGCCCCACTTTAAGTTGTTGGGATGCAGAGATGGGGGCGGGGGCTGCAGAGTGGAGGAGGGGCCATCAGGGAGTCACCCCTTCCCCGTTCCTGGGGGCCAGAGCCCACTGTGGGGAGACGAAAGGGGCGGCGCCGTTGGGGCCGGGCCTTCTTGCACTGGAGGGCGCTCCCTGCCCAGGGGTCCCACCCGGGGCCTGGGTTCCCGCTCTCGGGCCCCTGAGGGTCCCGGAAACCTTTGTTTTCGAGGCGCTTGGCTCTGGTTTGGCTCTGCGGGTTTCCACTGGGCCCTTTTCTGCCTCTGCGGCTGGGTGAGGGCCGCCCTCGTGCTCAGGGGCCTCCTCAGCCGTCACAGGACGAGGTGCTCCGGGAGGTTGGGAAGTTCCCAGAGCTTGGGGACCCCCCACCACGTCCAGGACACCCGGCGGAGGAAGTCGGGCTTCCCCAGAGCCGCTTCCCCAGGACTCGCGGCCCGTCCCTGCACGGGGCCATGGGGAGGGCAGCGGCCAGGGTCTGTGTCACGGGACTTCGGGGAGCCGGTGGGTCCCCAGGCGCTGCCTTCCGGGGTCCCGGGGCGGTGAGGCGGGGGCTGCTCTCCACGGCGCTGGGCGGCCATCCCTGCCTGGCTGCTGCCCGACTGGCTGCGGCTTGGGGGCTGGTTTGGCGGCAGGGAGGGGCAGGGCCGGCTGGGGACTCCCCTGGGGTCTGTGCTGCCCCCACCCTCAGGGGCTCCGGCAGGGTCCGCCCTCGGGCCGCCTCCTGCTGAGGGGTGCGGGCGGGGCCCTGGCGCTGACTCTCCAGCCTGCCCAGACGCGGCTGGTCTGTCGGGCCCCGGGCCCACACCCGAGCCTCGCGGGTCGGGAGCTGCGGGTCCCTTGGGCGCCGGGGGAGCAAGTAAGTCGGGACAGGGAGCACAGGCCGAAGCAGCGGCAAGGCCCGGACGCGGGGGCCGGGCCAGGAGGCAGCGGCCCGAGGTGCCGGCTCTGGGGGCCCCTTCCTTCCCGTGGCCAGCTCCCGGCTGACCGCGGGGCTGGCTCAAGGCCGCTGCTCTCCGGCAGCTGTAAGGACGGCCTCGGCGAGGGGTGAGAGGCCGCGGTTTCCTTTTGGGCCTGAGGCCCCAGGCCGGCCTCTCCCAGAGCCTGACCCCACACTGGGCGGCGCCAGAGCTCCCTCGGGGCCCGTCAGCACACCTGGGGCGGCATTTCCTCCCGGAGCCCCAGCGACTCTCCCCTCTGACCCAGTGAACTGTTCACCCCAACGCCCCGTCCGGGCAGGGCACAGGCCTTCCCGAGTCCAGGTCTGTCACCCCCGCCCGGTCGTGCAGAGACCCGCAGGCCGGCCACGCCCCCTGGGAACTCGCTGGAAGGGCGATCCCAGGCCCCACCCAGACCGACTGACTCAAACCCAGGAGGCCCAGCTGAGCGCAGGCCCCTCGCCTGCCAGGTGTCTGTCCCAGCCGCCCCGCGCCAGCCTCCCCGCCAGACCCCGGGCTCCAGGCACCCCCAAGGGAAATCCTGGCAAGGCCCCAGGCGAGCCGAGCTCCTGGGGGCCGGAGGGGCCAGAGAGCCAGGTGTGTCCAGGCCAGCAGCCCTGCGCCGTCCCCTGGGCTCCTCTCTGAGGGGCGCCCTTCCCCTGGGGGCGCCTGACGGGGCGTGTCCTGCAGACCCGTATGGGGTGGCTTTGCCGCTGGAGAGAGCTGCCCACGCCCGCCGGCCTCCTGTGGCTGTGGGGCCCGAGCAGAACAGCACCTGGGGCCGTGGGCCACCCCCTGAGCAGCGGGCCTGTGGGGTTCCCGAGCCCCAGCCGCGAGGGGCCCGGGCTGCAGCGCCCACCGAGTGGGCTGCCTGAAGTTAGGGCCGGGCCGCGGCCCCACTGCCCGCCCCGCCTGGGACTCCTCACTGCCGCTCTCCGCGGCCAGCCAGACGCCCCGGGGCTTTCTCTGCCCCCCGGGCACGCGGGGAGTACAACATTTTTCAGTTTTTAACAACTCCTGAGCCACGCAGCCTCGCTAGCCCATGCGGTCCCCACCACGGCCTCCCCCTGCTGGGCGGCGGGTCCTTCTCTGACAGCTCCGAGCCCCTGGGCCGACGTGCACCCGATCCTTCCTGTGGCGTCTGTGCCTGCTGACAGCCGGCCAAGGCCTCTGGGGCCCGAGCTGGCCCCAGCGTGGACAGGGCGTCCCGTCTGCCTCTGCGACTCTGTGTCTCTGAGTCTCCTGCCTCTCTCTGTCCCCGTCGTGCCCCTTTGCGCCGCCCTCTCCCATGGGGCACGCGGGGCTTGGGTCATGCTTTGTCCTGCTGCGCCCCGGCCCTCACTGCAGAAGCTTTCAGAGGGTGACAGCCTGGCCGGGTGAGGGTCAGAGGGGCCTGACCTCTTCTCAGGGAGACACTTCACTGTCTGCAGATCTGGGGAAACCTGCCCCACCTGAAGGCGGTGGTCACCTACCGGGAGCCGCCTCCCACGGGGATGCCCAACGTGTACGCGGTAAGGGGAGGCCTCCAGGACCAGGCTCCCAGGGTGGGGCGGGGCTCCCCATGGTACGGTGGGGTTCCTGGGGCGGGTGGCCACCACTGACCCCCACCCCATGGCAGATGGAGGAGGTCCTGGAGCTGGGGGGAGAGGTGCCGGAGGTGGTGCTGGACAGCATCCTCGAGGCTCAGCGGCCCACCCAGTGCTGCGTGCTGGTCTACACTTCGGGCACCACGGGCAGCCCCAAGGGCGTGATGCTGAGCCAAGACAATGTAGGATGGGCTTGGGGGGTTCCCTCCCTGGGGGCTGGGGCAGGCAAGCCCCCCATCTCTCAGCCCTGCCTGCACCCACCTGGGAGCTGGGTACTGGGAGGCCTGTCCCGGGGTTCCTGCACAGACACCCGGGAGGGCGGGAACACCAAGGCAACCACAGGCATGTGGGTTGGGAGGCCACTTGCGGACACTGCCGGCGGTCTGCCCGCCACAGATCACCTGGACAGCACAGTACAGCAGCCAGGCAGGCGACATTCAGCCAGCAGAAGTCCAGCAGGAGGTGGTGGTCAGCTACCTGCCCCTCAGCCACATCGCTGCCCAGATCTACGACATGTGGACGGGCATCCAGTGGGGCGCCTTGGTCTGCTTTGCTGAGCCGGATGCCCTGAAGGTTAGTCTCCATGGGCTGAGCGGATGTCTCAGCTGTGTGCAAGCGTGCTGTGCCCTGCATCTGCTCATGTGCAAGTGTGCATCTGTATGCAGGTGCACGCGGCGTCTGCAAGGGGTGTATGGGGGCACAGGTGCGGGTAGTGCCTGCAGGGGGCGCAGGTGTGCGAGGAGTCTGTGAGGGCTGCGCGTGGTGACTGCTGAGTGGGTGCTGCTCCCGCTGCGAGCCAGCAGGCCTCCCCCTTCCTGGCGGTAAACAGGGGAGCCTGGTGAACACCCTCCGGGAGGTGGAGCCCACGTCCCACATGGGGGTGCCTCGCGTGTGGGAGAAGATCATGGAGCGGATCCAGGAGGTGGCAGCTCAGTCCAGCTTCCTGCGCCGCAAGATGCTGTTGTGGGCCATGTCGGTCACCTTGGAGCAGAACCTGACCTGCCCAGGCAGGTGAGGAGGCCGGCAGAGGCCTGGGGGACAGAGGGCTCGGTGGGGCAGCTAGAGGCCTGGGGGAGGGGTGGGGAGGGCAGCACCGCAGCCCTGCACAGAGGCCTGTCCCTGGCCCCGGGGTGGTCACCCAGGCCCCCCCCTTCCCCACCAGCCACGGTCAGACTTCTCCTGTGAGGCGCACTCCCCTCCCAGGAGGGCTCCCGAGGGGCCTCTCCAGATGCCTGCTCCCCAGTGACCACGGGGAGTGCCCCATGGCACTGTGGAGCCCCCAGGACCCGCCCATCCCGGTCCAGTTTGGAAACACTTCTTGTTACTGCGTCTGTGAAGCCACCCAGGCCTCCGGAGCGCGCGCCCGTCGCTGGCCTCCAAGGCCACTGGCCGGGGACGCGCGTGGGCCGGGCTGGGGGGGGCGCACAGCAGGTGGCCAGGCCTCCACACCCGCGCACGTGGGGCGGCCTGGGGCTGGCCCGTGCGCGCCCACCCACGCGGCCGCCTCCCGCCAGCGACCTGAAGCCCCTCGCAGCCAGGCTGGCCGACTACCTGGTGCTCGCCAAGGTGCGCCAGGCGCTGGGCTTCGCCAGGTGCCAGAAGAGCTTCTACGGCGCCGCGCCCATGGCTGCCGAGACGCAGCGCTTCTTCCTGGGCCTGGACATCCGCCTGTACTCGGGCTACGGGCTCAGCGAGTCCTCGGGCCCCCACTTCATGTCCAGCCCCTACAACTACCGGCTGCACAGGTGCGCTGCCGGCCCGGGGTGTCGGGGGTGCGCGGGACCCGGCCGGCCGGGCGGGGGGGGGGGGGGGGGGGGGGGGGGGCGCCCGGGCCCTGCGCTGCCTACCCCGCTGCGCCCCCAGCAATGGGGGGGGTACGGGGGGCCGGCTCGCGCCTGACGCCGCCCCGCAGCGCTGGCAGGGTGGTGCCCGGCTGCCGGGTGAAGCTGGTCAACCAGGACGCGGACGGCGTGGGTGAAATCTGCCTGTGGGGCCGCACCGTCTTCATGGGCTACCTCAACATGGAGGACAAGACGCGCGAGGCCATCGACGCCGACGGGTGGCTGCACACGGGCGACGCCGGCCGCCTGGACGCCGACGGCTTCCTCTACATCACCGGGCGGCTCAAGGGTGCGCCCCGGCGCCTCCAGCCCCCCGCGGCCCCTCCAGCCCCCTCCCCGCGGCCCCTCCAGCCCCCGACGGCCCCTCCAGCCCCCAGCGGCCCCTCCAGCCCCGACAGCCCCTCCAGCCCCCAGCGGCCCCTCCAGCCCCCAGCGGCCCCTCCAGCCCCCTCCCCGCGGCCCCTCCAGCCCCCTCCCCGCGGCCCCTCCAGCCCCCAGCGGCCCCTCCAGCCCCCGATGGCCCCTCCAACCCCCCGCGGCCCCTCCAGCCCCCTCCCCGCGGCCCCTCCAGCCCCCGACGTCCCCTCCAGCCCCCAGCGGCCCCTCCAGCCCCCTCCCGGCGGCCCCTCCAGCCCCCGACGGCCCCTCCAACCCCCCGCGGCCCCTCCAGCCCCCTCCCCGCGGCCCCTCCAGCCCCCCAAAGCCCCGCCCCTAGGGCCCCGCCCCGGCCTTGGCCCCGCCTCTCAAGCCCCGCCCCAGCCCCTACAGTCCCGCCCCCGAAGCCCCGCCCCGGCCTTGGCCCCGCCCCACCGCCGTCCTTCACCCCGCCCCGCGGCCTTGGCCCCGCCCCGCCCCACCCGCCCCCGCAGCCCCTTGATGTCTGGCTTCGGGATGGGGCGCCCGGAGGCCAGGCGGCTTGTTCTCGCAGCCCAGGTGGTGAGGGCGGGGCCGGGCGCTGGGCCTGGGAGGGGATCAGGCTGCGCCTCTGGGGTCCGGCCCCCGACACTGGACTCACTCCTGTCGCCAGGAAACCCTGGACCTGTGGTCCTTGCCATTCAGCGCCCCTCCTGCCCACCCTGGGGGCTGGTCCCCGAGGCCCGTGTGGCCCACCAGCGCCCCTGGCGGGGCGCCCATCTCGTGCTTCACCCCGCAGGCCTGAGGCCACTGGCACCGGCCCGCTGCCCACGGCCCCCTGTGGCCCCCAGCCCTGCTCTGGGGGTGGTCAGCACCAGGCGTGGGCAGCTGCTGTCTCTATTCAACAGCGGGGCAGAGGGGCCGTCCAGCTGGCTGTGCCGGTCAGACAGCCCAGCGCCCCAATGAGCGTATGGGGGCAGCCCAGTGCCACAAGTGCACAGCTCTGGGGGGGCTCTGAGTGGAAGAAGGGGCAGTTCTGGGGGGAGGCCAGGCAGGCTCCCGTGGCCACCCAGGGCCCCTGCACCTGGGCTCAGTCCTCTCCCACAAAACCAGGGAGTTAGTGCGGCAGGGCCAGGACCGGGGCCCGGGCAGCAGGGTGGGGGGAGCTTGCCTGCCAGCGTCTGTCCCTGCAGCTGCCCTGGCCTGCAGGAGAGTGTGCCGGCCGGGCCTGCCTCGCGGCCCCTCCCCGCCCCTCCCCAGCAGCCGGGCACCCGACCAAACTGCTGGTCCCATCTGCAGAGCTGATCATCACTGCGGGTGGAGAGAACGTGCCCCCCGTGCCCATCGAGGAGGCCGTGAAGACCGAGCTGCCCATTGTCAGCAACGCCATGCTCATCGGCGACCAGAGGAAGTTCCTGTCCATGCTGCTCACTCTGAAGGTGGGCCGGGCCCGCTGCAGTGGCCAAGGTCTGCCCGGCAGAGGGCGCTCCCCATGCAGAGGCTCTGCTCTGGGTTTCCTGGCCTGCTGCGCAGGCAGGCAAGGAGTCCGCTCTGCCCCAGGGTGCCCTGGTCACCTGCCACTGTGACAGCCGCTCGGGTTCCAGAGGAGTCCAGCTAGCGTGGCCCTGGCCTCCTCCCACACCAGCCTCCAGCATGGCAGGCGGGCCTGAGCCTGAGGCTGATGCCCCGGGGCTTGCCCCGTGTGGGGGTTCAGCCGGGGGTGAGGGGCTCAGTCCGGTGGGGACGGGGTGTGTGTGGGGGCTCAGCTGGGGCCAGGGGCTCAGTCAGGGGCGGGGGCTCAGCCGGGCTGGGGACACTGCCAGCAGTGTCAGAGGAGGTACGTGCACATGATGAGCCTTTGCACGGACCCAGGGCCTGGGAGACTGGCGGGGGAGGGGGGGGCGGCAGGGGGCACTGCAGGGAGAGTGCGGGACTCAGAGAGCTCAGAGACCCCTCTCTGGGACCTCTTCCTGCCTCCTCCCTGCCCTCCTGGCCCCCTCCCCTCCCAGCTTCTCCCCGCCCCTTCTAGGAGACAGGGGTGTCTCCTAGAAGGAGGTGGCCCTGACCTGGCTTCTGCTTCTAGTGCACCTTGGACCCAGACACCTCAGAGCCCACTGACAGCCTCACGGAGCAAGCCGTGGAGTTCTGCCAGAGGCTGGGCAGCAAGGCCACCACAGTGTCCGAGATCGTGGAGCACAAGGACAAGGCCGTGTACCAGGCCATCGAGGAGGGCATCTGGAGGGTCAACATGAAGGCTGCCGCCCGGCCCTACCACATCCAGAAGTGGGCCATTCTCAACAGGGACTTCTCCATCTCAGGGGGCGAGCTGGGTAGGTTCCTGCCCTCCCCCAGGGACCACGGGTGGAGGCTGGGGGGCCTGAGGGCCATCAGGACGGCCGCTCAGCCCAGGGCCCAGGACGCTCCATTTGCTCCTGAGCCACTTGCAGGGACTCTAGGCCTGTGCGCTTCTGAACCCACAAGGGCTGGGGGCGACACAGGCCCTGGCTCCAGGGGTGAGGCCTTCTGTGTGGTCGGCTCACATGCAGGAAAGGGTTGCCCGGGGCTGGGCCCCGCAGAGGTGAGGGCGAGGGTCAGGACTCGGGGCGGGCTTGCCCTGCTGCTTCCAGATGCACCAGGGCCGGCCCCTCTGGCCACCGCCAGCCACACAGGAGGACGGCGCACCCAGGCCCTGCCCCTGCTGCAGGGCCCAGGCCAAGGGGCCTCACTTGGGCACTCCTGGGCGTGGCCCCGCCAGGCCATTGAGTGTGATGTCCAGCACGTCTGCTGTCGCAAGTGCCCCCAAAGCCCAGCAGCTGTTTCAGTTTCTGTGGATCATGAGCCCCGGTACCATGGCGTCCGGTGGTGTCCGGGCTGCTGGGCCCTTCCAGGCTGCTCTGGGGCCTCGCCAGAGAGAGGGCCAGCGGGAGCCAGGGTCCCACTGCTTCCTCTGCTCCCCGATGGCTTGGACCCCCCACTTTCTTTATTTAAAATTTCATTTTGCACTTTTTGGGGTGCATGCCAGAGGTGGGGGTGAGAGGGCTCACTGGAGACAGTGAGCAGAGCAGGTGGATACACTGAGATCCACTGCTGAGGGGAGCAGTGGGGAGACAGGAGGGGTCTACTGTGTCCTGCGGGTCAGCTCCTGGCTGTGGATGGACTCATGCCGCTGCGGTGATCGCCTGGGACAGACCCCCGGGCCACAGGGAGGCCCCCCCACTCTTTCAAGAGATGGAAAAGGTGCTTTTCAGGGCGAGGGCAGCGGCTCAGGGCTTCACTGAGCTCCAGACACTGGACCTCACCGGGCTGTCAGCCCATGGGGCTGGGAGGGCTGCAACCCGGCGCCGGGCCTCACCCCCTGCACTCCCCCAGGCCCCACCATGAAGCTGAGGCGGCCCGCCGTTCTGGAGAAGTACCGCGGCCTCGTGGACGCCTTCTACCAGGAGCACAAGCCGTAGCGCGCCGGCCCCTCAGCCCCGTGGCCGCTCCCAGCTCCCCGTCCGGTCTGGCCCTCGCCCCTCCGGCGACTCGGGAGCCCCCCGCCCCGCGGCCACGTCCTTCAGGGGCCAGCCCAGGCTGCCCCGCTAACGCCGACTGTGCCGGTCAAGCTGGCAGATTAAACTTCCTAACCACCACCCCGTCCCGGTGTTTTTGTCCATCGAGAACATGCCCCGCCCGCAGGCACCCCGAGGCCCTGCCAGGAACAGGGAGGACACAGGTGTGGTGGGTTTAGTCTTTATTAGCACGACCCCGAGAGCGAGGTGAGTAGCACAAGCCAGCGCACGGGAAGCAGCGACTGAAACACAGTGAGGCTACGCGTCTGCGCCAGCCTGAGCGAGGCCGGCCCGGGTGCGACCAGGGCAGCGAGGGGCGGCGGGGACCCGAAAGCCTGTGGCCCCCCGGGGCCGAGGGGGGCCGGGCTCGGGGGACCAAGAGGCAGCCGACGCGGAGCGTGTCCAGGGCAGAGGAGGGTAGCGCGCCCGTCCGCAGAGCTCCCGTGAAGAGCCGACGTCAAGGTGAGGCGGGAGGTGGGCAGTCCTCGGCCCGAGTGTCGTCTCTGCGCTCGCGAACGGCCTTGCGCGCACCTCGCGGTCTGTCTGCTCGCGGCCAGCGGCCTCCGCCCACCTGCTCGGTCACAGGAGCCCCCCGGCCCCCTCGCGCCGGCCCCCCGCTGCCCGGGGCTGCCCCGGTGCTATCACAGCTGCTCCCGCCTTCTGCCATGTTTTTCATGAACCAGGAAACAGGGTTTTCTTTAAAAAGTTAGATTTTCTCTTATTAACTCCGCACCAGAGTATTTACAGCTCAGGGAACTTAGCCCAAGTGTAAATGGCCGACAGCGGCAACCGGTGCAGTCCACTGAGTTGACAAAAAACATACACAGGTGGACGCTGAATAAATAAAACGAGCACTTGGAGAGGTTCTCTGAAAGCAGGCCGGGCAGCTGTACGGGCAGCGCCACAGCCGAGCTGACCACACGCCGGCTAGTCCAGGTCCCTCACACGGCGGCAGATCTCCTCCGTGAAGTCCGAGCACTTGGCGCTGCCGCCCAGGTCTTTCGTGAGGCTCTGAGGGGTGAGAGCAGAGGTGGACCGTGTGCCCATGCCCCGGCCAGGCCCGCCGCCCGCACCCGCCCTGCCGAGGAGGCCCGGAGCCTTGTGCCCAAGGGTGGGTCTCCCGCGAGTCCAGGCCCCGGGAACCTGGGGTCCCTAAACATTCGCGACATTTTGGTGCAGTTTGGGAGGCTGGAAGGCAAACACTGAGAAATACTAAGAGTCACTGCTTTGAAGCACCAGCCCCCAGAGGTCGCCGCCTGGGCACACCATGGCCACCATGCTTCCCTGGCTGCCTGCGTCCCTGCACCCTCAGCTAGAAGGGTCCACAGACTCGGCAGAGACAGCTCGGCCACAAGCGAGGAGCCTCCAAACCCCACACGCTGCACCAAGAAGGGGAGACCACGTGCCCCCTGCGCACCCCCCCATGCCAGTTTGTGCCCTGCACTCTCCTGCAAGGAGCAACCTCATGTCCCAGCCCTTGTCCAGAGGGCTGGCCTGGGGACACGGCCCGAGGGGCCCAGCTGGAGGCAGCGCCTGCGCAGGCCACAGAGACGCCAGGGCCGGTGGGGCCGCGCTCACCTGACCGGCCTTGATGGTGTCAAAGCAGGCAGCCTCGATCTTGGCTGCGTGCTCGGAGAGGCCCATGTGCCGCAGCATCATCACAGCGCTGAGCAGCAGGGCCGTGGGGTTGGCCATGTCCTTGCCTGCGATGTCCGGCGCCGTGCCGTGGACCTGTGGGGCAGGCGCGGTCAGGCCTGCAGACAGGCACGCAGCGCAGCCCGGCCTGATCACTGACCAGCACCTGAGACAGCCCTCCCGGCCCGCCCAGCCTCGGGCCCCGCCTCACCGACTCAAAGATGGCCACCCCGTTGGCGCCGATGTTGCCGCTGGGTGTCACGCCGAGCCCCCCGATCAGCCCTGCACACAGGTCGCTGGGGAGAGAGCGGGTCCAGAGTTGGAAGGAGCCCGGGGACCCCAGCCCTGGACAGCACCCACCTCCACCAGGGGTGCATAGCCGCGTCGCCCCCAGGGCCAGCAGGGCCCTAGCACCCCCACGGACGGGGTGGCTGGGAAAGCCCATCTCTCTGCACCTGAGCGTGTCTCTGTGTGTCTGCGTGTGCCTGCGCCCGCCTGGGTTCCCGCAGAGAGGAAGGCAGCAGGGGTAGCAGGGAACAGGGCAGGAGAACAACAAACACAGCCAGATGCTGACACCCGAGGGATGTGGGGCCGAGGACGGGTAATTCCTGGTCCTGTTCTTGCAACTGAAGCCTGACGCTGCCCCCGGAGCTACACCACCTGTGGCGAGGGCCAGCCCGTCCAGCCAACCACCGCCCGACACCAGCCAAGCAGCAGCGCGACAGCGGAGAGGTGGCAGGAGCCGGCGCGCGCAGGCAGGGGCACCCACCTGAGGATGTCCCCGTACAGGTTCGGCATGACCAGGACGTCGAACTGGGACGGGTCTTGCACCATCTGCAAGAAATGCATCCGCGACTTAGTGCCCGAAACCTGCCCTGCCCCACGCCCCCCACCCCCCACCCCCGGGCCCCGCAGGGCCACACTCACATTCAGACACACCGTGTCGAGGTACATCTCGTTGAATTTAATATCTTTACAGTTTTCTGCCACTTCCCTGCATTTCTGCAGAAAAAGCCCATCTGACATTCGCCTGCATTGAATGAAATAAAAGCCGCTGAAAGAGACTTGCGTAAAGAAAAGGGTCAAAAAAGGAAAGTTCGAGACATCTAAGTCCCAGAAACCAGAGGATCTAACTTCAACCTCAGTGAAGGTGTCCCAGCTCCCGAGGCGCAGGCTGGGACGTCCTGGCTCCTGGCAAAGGCCCAGAGCACGCAGCGGGCAGCAGTGCCCCACTGGGGCCCCTCCCCGGGCCGGGCTCCCCTCCCCCAGAGCTTTCAGTGTCTCCCTAGGCCCCCAGGACGGGGATCCTGCCCTCCCAGCGGCTCCAGCCTCCGGCCCCAGGGCCAGCGGCCAGCACTCGGGGCGGGAGGAGAGCGGGGAACGCACATGATGTTGGCCTTGTGCACGGCGGTGACATTGCTGCGGTGGTTGTTGCGCGCGTATTCGAAGGCAAACTCAGCAATGCGCTTGCTGGCCTCCTCGGTGATGAGCTTGATGCTCTGCACCACCCCGTCCACGATCTGTGGGGGCAAGTCCCTGGCTGGAGGCGCGGCCACCCGCAAGGGCCCAGCTGGAGGTGGGCGTGGGCCTCTGCCCCAGGGGGCGGCCAGGGGGAGGGCATGGGCGTGGGGGGCGGGGGGAGCCCCCCACCCATGCCCACGGGGCCCCACGCACCACGTGCTCGATGCCGCTGTACTCGCCCTCCGTGTTCTCGCGGATGGTGACGATGTTCACGTCGGTGTAGGGCGTCTTGTAGCCCTCGATGGAGACGCACGGCCGCACGTTGGCGTACAGGTCGAAGGTCTTCCGGAGCAGCAGGTTCATAGACGGGTGGCCCGCGGCTATGGGGGTCTTCAAGGGGCCTGGGGGCAGAGGGGGCGGGCAGCGGCCAGGCTGGCACGTGCGCAGGAGCCGCAGACGCCGCGGGGACTGGCCCCTTGGCTCCAGCTGCCATGTATGGGCGGCGTGGACCCCAGGTGCCCCCCAGGCCCGGCGGCGCGGGAAGCGCCCAGAGCGAGCTCAGGAGAAACCAGCAGGCGCAGGGGGGCGGGGGGGGGTGGCCGGCCTCGGACCGTCGGGCCTAGGCGGGCGAGGCCTTGGGGAAGGCGGCTGACCGTACCTTTCAGGCCCATCTTGTTCTTGTCCATGGACTCCTTGGCTTCGGGCGGGATCATCCACTTCCCTCCAGGGCCCTGGATGGCCGTGACGTTCCGCTCCTCCCACTGGATGGGCGCCTGCGGGCCGGGGCGTGAGGGGACCGACCTCCATGGTGGACTCCCCGATGGAGACCGGGGGCAGCCCAGGCCCGCGTGGCACCCCACCCTGCCGCCAGGGGGCACCTGAGCTGGGGCCGGCGCTGGGGTACCCAAGCTGCGGGAACTCCCAAAAGCGTTTAAAACGACCTGCCAGGCTACAGGCCCGTGTGCGGGAAACGCGGGGAACAGCAGTTCCGCAAACGTCTCCCGGAACCGCCTCCAGTTTTTGAGACGTCAAGTCCACCTTCTTTGGCCAGAGATCCGGCGCCAGCGCCCCACCCGCGGGGTCAGACGCCGCCAGGGCCTCTGCCTGCACCTGCCGCAGAGCTAAGGGCCCCGCCGAGGACGCCCGTGACGGCTGCTAGGAACGGCCCTTCAGCTACTTACTTTGGCGGCATCAAAAATCTTCATCACTGCGGCCGAGATCTCCGGGCCGATGCCATCTCCGGGGATCAGAGTCACTGTCTGGCCCTGAATGGAGGGGGAGGCCGTTGGGGGCAGGCCGTGGGGGGAGAGGCAGGGGAGGGGCAGGCTGTGGAGCCGGCTGGGGGAGCGGCCGGGTGGGTCCCATGAGGCGAGGGCCCCGGGAAGCCGGCTGTTTGGTGTCGGTCTTCACGATGACCCAAGCGCACCTCCACTAATTCAAGCCCAGAAAAGCAAAGATGGCAAAAACCCTCACGGCCCACTGGCCGCGTGCGGAGCCCCAGGCCCTACAGGGCTGCAGAGGACGCACATGGGCGGGCTTGGCACAGGCTGGTGACCAGCAGGTCAAGGTGGCCACGCTGCCCACCCTGAGCCACCCGCAGAGGGACAGCGTCTGTGGTGGGCAGCACACACGGAGATGTGCCTGGGGCCAGGGCTGAGGGCAGCCTGTGCTGCCCACTGCCCGCTGCTGGGACTTGGCCCCAACAGCCGCTGTGCTTTTCTCAGTCCAGCTGCCCCCAGTGACACTCCCTGGGCTACTGGATGAATGATTTCTGGAATTTTCTGTGCGACTGAAATCATCGCTTTAGAAATCACCTCTCGCTACTCTCAAATGTGACCCCTGCCCCTGAACTAGCCCTCTCTGAGAGTGGACGGCCAGAGCGGCGCCGCGCCGGTCCCCAGAGCACACCAGGAAGCCGTGCGTCGCAGGGCCAGAGGGGCCTCCTGGGCTCCTGCCCACAACGCGGAGCAACAGAGGTCTTCCCAGAAAACCGGCTCTTCTCTCACAGAAGAGAGAGGAACTGGGGGAAATGCCCCATGAGCCCGACGGGAGCCCACTTTACGCGGGGCACCGGGAGAATGGCCCCCAATCAGATTCTGGTGGGGGAAAGAGGAATGGGGCGTCCTGGACAGCTGGGGCAGCCCAAGGTGGGAGTGCGGAGAGCGGCGGGTGCCACGAGCAGCAGGGGCCCCCACGGGATCTGCCCCCACAGGACCTCCCCAGAGGATGCCTCCGCCGCGGGGTTCCCCTAGCGAGGGACCAAGCCAGGTTTTAGGGACGCTCACAAAATAAAAAGTGCAAAGCAGGTTCTGAAGCTTCTCAACAATTCTCTCTACACTCGCACAAACGTCGGAAAAAGTGTCTCCCCAAACCAGATCGTGAGACCAGGCCTCCAGCGCCAGCCCTGTCCGCTCCGACAAGGCCCAGGCCAGGCCAGGCTCCGCGGCCCCAGCTGAGGTCGCTGCCCACAAACTCCCCCGTGCCGACTCCCACCGGCTGTGAGCAGGTGGAGACAGAGCGCCGCGAGAAGCGCGTTAGAGCGTCTTTCTTGAGAAACTTCTAAAAAGCAAAATAAAGATGGAATCATACTCACGCCACCAGCAAAAGCTCTGGTCACCTGTTTTTGTTTGTGGAACACGCCCAGCAGCCGAGAGACCTGTGTGTCACCAGCAAAGAGACGTTACACGGAGGAAGAGCCCGGGGCCAAGTCTGGGGCGACAGGCGAGCGAGGGGATCCGCACGATTTCAGAGCCATCACGGTCTCCCTCAGCCCCGGCCCCGGCTCGCGCGTCATCGGGGGGCACAGGCCAGCCTGAAGCCCCAGGGACCAGACGGAGCCCGAGCTGGGCCCTCCCACAGGTGGTGAGAAGTCACACCTCATGCTAAAGCCCAAGAAAGTTCATTCAACACCCTGACAGCTGGCCCCCAGAAGGCAGGTTATAAATAAACACTTCTTCTGATGTCGGGAACTTGCTGAGACAGGAGGGAGATGAGTGAAAGCCAGCGGCCACCTCAGCACCCCAGCCAGCTCTCCCCCAACCCTGTGACGTGCTGGGAACACGCTTAAAGGTCACTCCCCACGTAACGACACGCTATGACCAAAGACAGCGGAGACCAGGACCTCCTCCGGCGGCGCGCCTGACAAGCGAGTTAGGACCGGCCGGGTGCTAAGGAAGCCTCTGGGGAGCAGCTCCCGTGAGGCCAAGCCATCACCCAAGTACGGGTGTTCACTGCAAGCCGTCACCCAAGGACAGGTGTCCACGATGGAGACGCCAAGACAGCCAGAGAGGCGCGCAGACCTGAGCTCCCGCCCTTCTCTGGACCGAGAGCAACGGCCGGCCAGTCCCAAGAGGACCCGACCCACTGGCCAAAGCTCAGTCCCTGGACAGAAGTCACCACCGGGGAGGGTCTCCAGGAGAGACCGGGCGGGCTGCCCCGGAGCAGGAGGCCACGCTCTCCGTTGTACTCACACCCTGTCATTTCGTCCCTGGAAAGCCTGGCAGGAGGAGCATCAGGGCCCTTCTGGGGAGTCGGATGCAGCCACAGACGTGGGCAGAGTTCCTGGGGCCCGGCCCCCACCAAGGGCGCCCCCTTCCTTGCCCTCACACGGAACTCAAGACACAGCAGGTGCTCCCCGGAGAGAAGCTTGGAGGCCGCCGGGGCCATCTGGCTCCGATCACGGGAGTCACGGGCAGGCAGGCTGGAGAACCTCTCCGCGTGGCGAAGCAGCGCAAGCTGACCCCCTTTCTCAAACAGCCCCCTAAGGGGTGTCCTCTGCTCTGCCTGAAGCCCAGCCCAGGCCAGCCACCCAGGCGGCTCCACTCCCTCCAGGAAGCCTCTGGCCAGAGGCAGTGGCCTCCAAGGTGACGTGCGAGGGAAGCTGTGTCCCCGCCCTCCCCACACCTGCTGTGCCCAAGGGTGCACCCAGAGTGGCCCACAGCCCTGCCAGGTGTGTGCCCCGACCCAAGCTCCCGCTCCAGGCTGAGCCTGCCCAGGCCCAGGCGCCAGGGCCGAGAGAGCAGGCCCGCATACCGCCCAGCCCAGCCCAGCCCGCACCCAGCTCCGGGACAGCGCAGGGCCCTGGCTGACGCCCTCCCTGTCTGGACTCTCTTCCTGATCAAGAGCAAAAGGAAACGTCAAACTTCACAGGGACAAGCGGAGTTCCCCGGGGGTCCCCGGCGCCCCCCGAGCGCCCACTTCGCCCTGGGCCTCTCTGGCCGGGGCTGCACTGAGGGGATCCCGCTCAGGCCCAGGCTTCCCCCCCAGTTCTCATGGGCCGCCCGTGTGACCTTGAGCGGCTGGGTCTGGGTCAGGGTGGGTGAGCGCCGGGGGCCCGCGGCAGGGCCCCCAGCCGAGCCGGGGCGTGGCCGCGGCGGGGTCTCCACCCGCGCCAGGGGCCGCCGGGTCCCTCCTCGAGGGCGCGAGGTCAGGTCCGAGGCGCAGGTGCACGTGCCCCGAGAGGACGCAGCTCGCGGCCGGCTGGACGGCTCCGGGGGGCCTGGCGGCCGCGCCGACACCCCTCACCCGGGCACCCCCGGCCGGCCGCCGCGGCCGCTCCCCAGGGGCCAGGTGGGCGCGGGGCGGGGCGCCGGGGGCCGGGCGGGCGGGGCCCGAGCGAGGTGGGGCCAGGCTGCGGGGCCCGGGGAGGCGGGGCCGCCGGCGGGCGCGGGGCGCGCGGGCGGGACGGGGTCTCGGGCCCGGCCCGCGCCCCGCGGTGACCTTGGGCTCCCGCCCGGGCGCGCCCCCGGCGCTGGGTGCCCCGCGCGGCCGGGCCGGGCGCCCCGCTCGCCAGGGCGCGGCCGCCACCGCCCGCGCCCGCCGCCGCCCGCGCCCGCGCCCGCCGGCCGGCGCCTCACCTTGGAGATCCACGCGGGCCCCGCCATCGCGCCCCCGACCACGGCGACAGCGGCCACCGCACTGCGCAGCCGCGCCGCCCGCGCCGGCCCCGCCCGGCCTGGCCCCGCCCCCTCCGCGCGCGCGGCCGGCGCAGCCAATCGCCGGGCTCCTCCCGCGGTGACCTCACGCCGGCGCCAGCGCCGACCGGAAGCTGGCGCGGGCCCCGGAAGGCGCCGGGGCCGAGTGCCCGGTTGGCCGCCCGCCACCGCGGGCGCTGGCGCCCGGCGGCTGTGCTCGGGGCCCCGGCGCGCGCAGGACGGCTCCGGCCCCGCGGAGCCGAGGACAGGGCGTTCCTGGGGGAGGAGGAGGCTGCACGGCCGGGGCCGGGCACCCAGGGCGCGGCGGGGCGGCTCGAAGGCCCAGCCCGCGGGCGCCAGCCGCCCTGCGTGGGGTTCGGGGACCCGGGGCGGGGCGCCCCCGACGGAAGCCGTGGGCTTCCCAGGTGGCCGCGGCCCGCCCTGCTGCAGGCTGAGCCGCTCTCGGCCGCCCCGCCCCGCTCTGCGCTCCTTGGGCCTGAGCGTCCCGCCCCGCCGACAACACCCTCCAAGCCCGCAGCCGCCCCCCCACCTCCTTCCCGACCCTCCGCGGCCCCTTTCCCACCGCTCTTCACCCCCCCAAGCCCTGGGCTGCCGCCAAGTGGGACTGCGGCCCGGGTGCTCCCCGCCCTGCCGCCCTGCGCTCACAGTCCCCACTGCTTGAAAGCCCTTTCCCGTTTCCAGCAGGCGCAGGACACTGCCAGTGTTGGGAAGCCCCCAGGGCCCCCTGCAGCACCCCCGCCCCGCGGGCCACCGCAGCGCCCGCCCGGAGCCCACTCGCCGGATGTCCTGATGCACCCTGGAGCTAGATCTTCACAGCACTGTGGGCGCAGACCAGCCAGCAGGCGCGCAGCACCTGTTGGCCCCAAGTCTTAAGCCAGTTCTCCTGTTTGCTAAGCGTCCCGAGGACCCACCAGGCACTTTATCAAGTGACCAAGAAATGAATGTGGCCCCCCTCCCCTCAAGCCCCCCACAGATGCATGTGTCTGTCACTCAGACAGTGCTGGCACAGCCGGGCAACCAGGGCCACGTGGTCAGGAGTCAGGGTCTAAATCAGCACTGTGAGCTGCCGGCAGCCTGAGCGTGAGCAGGGCCCAGTCCAGCTGATACTGGGTGGGGATCAGTTTCCAAGAAGCTCTGGTTTCGGCACTGAAAGGGCCTCAGGTTGCTCAGTCCGACTCCCACACAGCCAGAAGGACAGAACCCTGCCTCCCATCAGCAGGGACCCATTCCCTGCATCCTTGACCCCCCTGACATGCAGGTTGGCTCCTCTGGACCAGCCCATCCCGCCCCATCCTTGCACTCAGAGTGCCCAGAGAGCCCTTGGGGCTGTCAGCATTGGATGTGTTTGCAAAGCTCTAATGACTTTCTGTATATGAGCCAGGCCCAGGGCACCGCGTCCTCATCCCCCATGTGCACAAACCCCGCTGTCCCCAGCCCAGCTGCTCAAGCTCAACTCCAGTATCCACATGGCTCCAGCCAGGAGATTTCAAGGTCAGTTGTTTTCAAAACAGACCTGGAAGTGGACACCTCCCCCACCTGCACGGGCCCCCCACCTCCAAACCAGTGTACCTCTTGAAATCTGCAAGTAACATGAGCGTGTGCACACATAGACGCAGTTATCTGTAGTTTGGTGTCATGTACCGTCAGCACAAAGGATGAAAGGGGCAGCGTGACTGCAAGTCCCACTGAGCACTCAGGTCTGCAATGCCAGGGAATGGCAGCCGCCCACGTAGTCCTTTTTTTAAAAAAAAAAAAAAAAGATTGATGCTACAAGAACTTGGGTGCAGGAAAGAGGTGAGGAGAGGTGAGAGGATTCACCAGAGACAGAGTGGGGAGCAGAGCTGACAGATCCACTGAAATCCGCTGCAGGGAAGCAGCGGGGAGACTGGGGAGGTCCACTGTACCATGTGGGTAGCTCCTTGCCTGGGGATCGAACTCAGGCTGCAGTGGCTGTGGATAGCTTGACAGCGCTTTGCTAAGCCCCTCTGCTCCCAGATAGGCATGTGGTCCTGCTTTTAACCAGTAAGTTGAGACTTCAGAAAGGTAAAATAATTGTCAGGCAACGCTTTATATTTGACAAAAAGAACCAAAAATGCTGATTTTTATGCACTGAATCACAGTCCACTTCTGGGTCTATTTTTTTAAAGATTTATGTATGCAAGAACTGGGGCACAGGCCAGAGGTCCAGAGCAAGAGGATTCACCAGAGACAGTGGGGAACAGAACGGGCGGATCCACTGAAACACGCTGCTGAGAGGAGCAGGGGGACAGGAGAGATCTGCTGCGCCATGTGGGTCGCTCCCTGCCCAGGGATGGAACTCATGCTGCAGTAGCAGGTGAGAGCTTCATAGTGCTGCGTCTTAACCCCTTGTGCCACCAGGGAAGCCCCAGGCCTGTTTTGAAAACAGGTGACCTTGAAGTCTCCTGGCTGGAGCCACGTGGATACTGGAACTGAGCTTGAGTGGCTGGGCTGGGGACAGCGGGATTTGTGCGCATGGGGGACAGAGGGCACGGCGCCCTGGGCCTGGCTCACATACAGAAAGACGTTAGAGCTTCGCAAACACGGCCAGCGCTGACGGCCCCACGGGTCCTCTGGGCACTCCGAGTACAGGGATGGGGTGAGACGGGCTGGCCCAGTGCAATCACAGTGGGTGACAGCGACACCCACCCAACCCAGGCGGACCGGCAGGTGCTGGCCAGGGCTCCGCAGCCGGAGGATGTCCTCAGGTGGTCAGGCCCACTGGGAGCGCCGGGATACACAGGTCGTTGCTTCCTGGAAAATTCAGCATATGTTAAAACCACACAGAGAAAGCCCAGCCGTTCATTTGTAAAACCGCTGGTTTCCAAGCTCAGGTAACCACAAGCAGGAGTGTCTGGTGGGACTTCTGAGTGCTGTGCATGCGAGACCTTCCCGCTGGAAAGGGCAGTCAGCCGCCCAGCTGCATCCACTGTGGGTACTGTGGGGGACCACAGCCCTGCCACTGAGAAGGCTGGTCTGGGGCAGATGTCCACGCAGCGGCCCCCCGTGACAGCAGAGTCAGGCTCTAGGCTGTGGGCCTGGGGCAAGCAGACGGAGGCCACTGCGGGCTGGAAGTGTCGCTACAGCTGCCACGACCTCAGGGAGGCCGGCTGCGCAGCCCAGAGGGCAGGAGAGGGTGGGCGCAGGGGCATCTGGGGTGAGCCTGGCAGTGTGGGAAGCAGGACTCGCTGGAGCCCGGGCACCAGGCGGGCAGGCCCAAGGGAGACCTGGGCTGACAGCCCACGCTTGGCTCAGGAGTGGAGTCTTGCGTGAGGGCTGGGCAAGAGTTCCACAAAGGCCAGTTTGGAGACGAGTTCTGGACCCAGCCCAGAAGGGAGGCCTGGAAATGTAGCCCAGAGGTGTTGATGAAATCGAACTTCCCTGACCTGGCTCCCACTTGCTTACACAGCACCTGGCCGGCCGGCCGGGCTCTGGCCCAGTTCCTGGGGGAAGTTCGCTGTTGTAAATAGCAAGAGCTTCCCTGTGGCCGGCGATGACCCTGCCCGGCCATCCTCGGAAGCTGGTCTGTGGGCCACAGGCAGCTGCCTGAGCTCTCCAAAGCCCACTCCCAGGCCCCGGGCGGGGAGAGGACTCAGCCACCTTCAAAGGGGTGACAGCCCATGTCACCGACAGTACCCTGACTGTGGACTGACGCCGGCAGGGGCGGGCTGAGCCCTGCCTGGCGCTGCTGGCACAGCTGTCCTCAGCCCCGGCGACACCCAGGAGAGTCGGGAGGATGAGAAGCCCGACCAGCACCCAGCAGATTTACCGTCAGGCCGAGCATGAGCATGGCTGGCGGTGCAGAGGCGCTGGTGGGAGGACCGCTGGAGACCAGCCCAGCAGGGGCCCAGGCCGGCTAGTGCTGAGCGACAGGCCCAGAGGCCCCAGCTCCACAGGGCCTGCATGGGGATCTGGGTGCCACCGACGCCAGCATGTCCCCAGCCACCCGACCCCTCTGGCCCAGCTGTCATCTGGCTGGGCATCTGTGTGCACTGGGCTGGGTGGCTGCAACGACGTGCTGCTGGCACAGTCGGTCAGGACAGCCTGGCATCCGCTCCTGGGCAGGGCTGCGACCTCTGACCCAGGCTTCCCTGAGGGCCTCTCCGGGCCCTGCAGCTGCACGGGGCACATCCTGCGTGGCCTGGACACTGCTGGGCTCGGCACCCGGCATCCCCTCTCTTGGAACAGACGTCATGCTGTCCCTCGGCTGCCAGCCACAGAGGTGGGCAGTGGGCTCCAGCCTCACCCTTCCTCACCGACTGGCCAGGGCCTCTCACCCTGGCTCTTGCGAGCCACAAGCCTCAGCAAGGGACCCGGGACGAGGGTGGGGGCTGAGGGGCGCCGTGGTCAGGCTGTTGTAGGGGAATGGGCCCCAGGGACATCTCTGGCGGTCTGGCTTTTCTCCCTGGACATTGCAGTGCAAGTGAGCAGCCCGAAGCAACTGTGAGGGGTGCCAGGCTGGACCGGGCCTGCCGAGGGTCATGGGGTGCCTAAGGTGAAGGAGGAGTACTGTGCAACGGACGGTGTGGCCTGCTCACCGTGCCCACGGACAGGAGGCAAGCACAGGGCCTGAGCAGTAGACCGAGGCGGGTGTCAGGCCTGCTCTTCGGCCTCGGAAACCCCAGGTGCCCAACCTGCACGCAGAGGGGTAGCCTCTGCTCGGCCCCGCCCACCTGGCACAGCGGCCCAGTCTCTGATGACGCGACAGGAGGGTGGTGAGTACCATCCAGTAGGGGCCTCACCTCAAAGGAAGATGTAGAAGTGCCAAGCCTGGCCCTGTTCCCACCAAGACCCCTGCCGGCAGCTTTCCCAGGATGCTCAAAGTGGGTGCTGGCACTGGACCAGCAGCAGCCCCGGGATCTGACCAGACACCCACATCTGTGGCCACCCCCACCTACAAGGGTGAGGCCTCCTGAGTGCCCGAGAACCACTGCCCTAAGGCAGTGGTTGAAGCCCGAAGCCCTGACCTCTGCCTCCATGCCCTCCCAAGCACACCGCACTGATGAGCCAGGCCCTGCACGTCCCCCTCAGGAGACCTAGTGAGAACAGTTCCACCTGTGGGGCCCTGCAGCTGCCAAGGGCTGACTCGTGTGCTGGCCCCTTGGAGCAGACCTGCCAGCTTTGCCTTCCCGGACAGCCCCCTGTCCAGCTGGCTCCAAGGGTGGGTGTGGGGGCTTTGTAGCCAGAGCTGCTCAGCGGCCATCCTGCAGATATGAGGGCTTTCTTTCTTTCTTTCTTTCTTTCTTTCTTTCTTTCTTTCTTTCTTTCTTTCTTTCTTTCTTTCTTTCTTTCTTTCTTTCTTTCTTTCTTTCTTTCTTTCTTTCTCTCTCTCTCTCTCTCTCTCTCTCTCTCTCTCTCTCTCTCTCTCTCTCTCTCTCTCTCTTTCTTTCTTTCTTTCGATTTATTTATATAAGAACCAGGGTACAGGCCAGATGCGTGGGAGGTGAGAGGATTCACCAGACACAGAGCGGGGAACAGAACAGGAAGACTGACGAAATACACTGCTGAGGGGAGCAGCGGGCACGACAGGAGAGGGCTGCCGTGCCATGTGGGATTCTCACCGGCCAGCCAGGATCCAATGCCCACTGCAGAGGCTGCGGACAGCTTCACAGTGAGGCGCTCAACCGCCTGCGCCCCACCAGGGAGGCCCGAGACGAGGGTTTTCTAGCATGCTGCCTGCCCCCGCTTCCCTGGTGTAGCTGCCCCTTCCCCAGTGAAAACCCCATTGCTGGAGGACACTTGGGAGCACAGGCCAGCAGCCAGCAGCATCCTGTCTCCCGGGCGGCGAGCGCCTTGCCCCTGCAGCATGTCTGACTTGTGGCGATGGCGCTGACGCCTGTGGGTCAGCTGAGCTGGTCAGGGCTGGCCCTAAAGAGTGCTGGTCAGCCAGGGCTCCATTTGCTGTGGTGGGTGGCGTTTGCTTAAAAGCCCCAGAAAGCAGCCTGGCCTTTGTCACACTTCTCTGGACAGCCAGTCCTCTGGACAGCCAGTCCTCTGGACAGCCAGTCCTCCATCCCCTCAGGTTTGTGCCGGGGACGCCAGGACAGGCTGGCAGTTCGTCCCTGCTCCCCAAGGGGCAGCAGGCCTGAGGGGCCCTGCCAGGCAGTCGCAGGCCAGACGGGCCTCCAGAGGTTGGTGGGGCGATGCAGAGGTCAGACTGACTGACCCCTGCTTTTCCACGGGAAGGACACGCCGGAGGTCACAGCCAGGGCCCCCACGCAGCGTGGCTCACCCCTGCGCCCAGGCTGGGCCGAGGCCGCGAGGAGCACCCCACCTGCCCCCACCCCGACAAGGCATCTGCCCAGACCACCACCGCCTCCAGCGCCGGCCGCTCCCTGCTGCCCCTCCGGCCCGACCCTCCAGGTACAGGTCCAATTGGGTCGGCGAGGGGCGGGGCTGCAGCGCGGGGCGGCGCGAGCGATGGGAGCACGAGGTCCGGGAGGGGCGGGGTCTGTGGCGGCGGGGGCGGGGCCTGGGCGAGGCGTGGGGCCGGCGGGGCGGGGCTCGAGAGTGGGCGGGACCTGGGCGGGGCTCGGGAGTGGGCGGGGCCGGGGCGGGGCCCAGCGGCCGCCTCTGGACGCTGCGGCCGCGGGTGGCCGGGGCGGGCGGCTCGGGCGCCGCTGCGGGGCGGCGGCGCGGGGCGAGCAGGCGGCCGGCCGGGCGCGGCGCGGCGGGGCGGGGCGGCGCCATGGGGAACAAGCAGACCATCTTCACGGAGGAGCAGCTGGACAACTACCAGGTGAGCCCGGCGCCCGCTCCTTGCCCGGCCGAGGCCCCGGCAGCCTGGCCGCGGGCTCAAGCCCTGCCCTGCCCGGGAGTGACCTTGGGCCGGCGCCGGCTCGGCCAGCCTCAGTTTCCCCGCCCAGTGCAGCGCAGCCCCCCGCGCGCCGGCCGCGAGCCGGGCAGGGCCGCCCAGCAGTGGGGCCGGGGGCTTCAGCCCCCGAGGCTTTTTAAGTTGGGGTGTCTCGTTATCCCTTGGGGTCCCTGTTTCTGGCCCCAGTGTGGAAGTAACTGGAACATGGAGCCAGCCCCGCTGCCATTCTGAGGGTCCCCTCACCACGGTCCCTGGGCCCCAGCAGCTACCCCCTCACCCCTCGGGGCCTGCAGAGCCAGGGCGCTGCCCAGGTGGAGCCTGTGCCCTCCGCCCAGGGAGCCACCCTCTGGGCTGCAGGTGCCCACACCCCGACAGCCAGGCTCCTCTCTCTCCCTCTGCTGGTGCTCAGGGCCCTTCTCCCCGCCTTCTCCACACCCCCCAGCCCCCTCTGGCAGGCCCCCCGACTGCCTTCTGAGGCTCGAGGAGTGCGTTCTTGGGGTACTTGCTGCACCCCATCCCATGCTGAGTGTGACAGAGGACCTGCTCAGTAGGCTGGCAGGCGAGGGCGTGTGGCCCCTGCTGCGGGAGGCCAGGAGAGAACTGCCCGGCGTCCAGCTTGCCAGGGCTGCCCAAGCCCTCATCCTCAGGCCTGTCTGTGGGGCAGACGGTGCTCTGTGGGCAGCGCCAGCGCAGCTGCCATGGGGGGCGCAGTGGCCAGGGCACTAGAGGTGCTGGGCAGGCCCTCACAGGGGCCAGGGGCACAGGCCAGCTGAAGACAGGCGGCAGACCATGTTCGTGGTGAGGAAGGGGCTGCGGCAAAGCCCCTCAGTCCAGGCTGGCGTGGGGGTACCCTCGGGAGCCAGTCCTGGTGTCGGGTTCTGGGCCTTTGCCAGAGCCTGGCTGGGCCCTGCGGGCAGTGTGGAAGAAACCGGAGCCGCGAAACGGAGAGCCTTCCCTGCAGGGGCCTGCACTCCCTGGGGCCCGCTCGGCCCGGCCACCCCTCGGCTCCCACAGCCACCTCCAGCTCAGACAGGTCTCCCGGCCGGGCCTGGGCAGGGTCAGCTTCCCCCCACAAGTGAAGAGGGGCTCCCACCTTCCCACACGGGGGAATGGAAGGGAGGGAGGGGAACAGAGGCTGGGAGCGGGGTGGGCCTGCCGCTCCACGGGGCCGACCTGCCCGGCTGGTGCGCCCTGGCCCCGCTGGGCACCTGCAGGCTGGTGGGGCCTATGCCAGGAAGGCTCAGGTTTCTGGGTCAGCTGAGAAACCAGCCCCAGGGCCCCACGGGTGCACTGTGACGGGAGGAGCCCTGGCCTGGGGCAGGCCTCCCCCAGAGGAGCTGCTGCATCTCCCACCAGCCCTGGCAGGGGCTCGGGACAGACCGTGCAGCCTCAAGCATGGGCCTGTCCCCCTCGCTATGTGCTGGGCCCTTCCCATGTGCTGGGCTGCTGCCCGGGCCACTCAGAGCTCCCACAAGGCCCCTACTCAGGGCTGCTGGCCACTGCAGTGTCTCCACAGGACACCCCGGGGTGGCCACAGGGGCTGCGTCCACCTGGAACCCCCATCTGCCTCAGAAAGTGCTCCTGCGGCCCCATGGCCCCACCCTCCTGCACTGTCCCGTCAGGGCTCCCTATCCCGAGGGTGGGGCGCAGGGGAGGGTTGCGGGGACGCAGGGGGAAGGGGTTTAGGGTGGGGTGTGGGACGGGCCTGGGTGGGTCTGGGTGTGGGGGTGGGTCAGGGTGTGGGGGGCGCAGGGAGGGGCTCAGGACAGGACAGGGGGGTGGGTCTGGGGCGCGGGTTTGGGTCTGGGGTGGGAGGCACGGGGGCGGCACCAACCATAGTTTCTCTGCAGGACTGCACCTTCTTCAACAAGCAGGACATCCTCAAGTAAGTGCTCTTCGCCCCCTGCAGCTGGCAGGGCCCACTGGGCTGGCTGTGCTCTGGAGGGGTGGGCGGGGTCCCTCCTGGGGTCAGAGGCGAGTGAAGGCCAGTGGGACCCAGAACAGTGCCCGCTGGCCCCGCGCAGTCTCGCACCTGCAGCTCGTGGAGTCTGAAAACGCGCAGCCCCTGCCCCACTTTGCAGGGGGCCCTTGGCAGCCACGCCAGTGGCCACCCAGCCGAGGACCTGGCCTCTGACCCACCCCTTCACCCCACTTTGTCCCAGTGTCTCTCCCTAGGGCCCGCTCTGGGTCTCTGGGCTCAGTGCCCCACGCTGACCTCCTGGGGTCTCTGCTCGGGACAGCACCTTTCTCTGGGCCGGGGAGCTGCATCCACATGGGAGAGACGAGGCGGGGTTCGCCTCAGCGCCCCGCTGCCGGCCCTCCAGCACTCTCCCTGCAGCTCAGTGGACAGGCTGGGCAAGAGCCCGACCCTGAGAGCTGTAGCTCGACCCTCCACTGTCCACTCTGTTCGGCTGTTGCCCTCTGCCCCGCCCTGGCCCCTCAGCGCTGTGGCAGGTGAGGCTGCCCCAGCAGGCCCTGCCCCCCTCCCAGCTCTCTGCCCAGGCCAGGCTTGCCCGCAGGCCTCAGCACCCTGTTTGGTGGCGCTGACCAGTCCGCGGACCCTGCTGAGCTCAGGTTCAAGCAGAAACCCAGGGCCCTGTGGCTGGCTGTGGGGTGGCCTCAGAGAGGGGTGCACAGCTGTCACCTGGCCTCCCCACACATCCCCTTCCCTCCCAGAGTCCCAGGCACAGATCTCCATTGGCTCAGCTTGTCCATCCTGACCCCTTCTCAGGCACTGGGCCCAGAGCCCCCGGCCCACCCCCAGGGCCCTCCGTCCTGCCCCCAGACCTTCACACCACTGAGGCCGCCTCTCGCCCACCCACGGCGTTCTTCCTCATCCTCATCTTCGCAAGTGAGGGGCCCAGAGAGACTGGGGCCTGCACCCTGTGTACCCGCCTGCCACACAGCACCCCCTGGGCCCCGCCCCATAGTGCAGCCAGAGCCCCGGCCAGGCCTGGGATCCTCAAGGGCCCAGAGTCCCCACGCCTGTCTTGCCGGTGGCTCCCTTGGGCTGGGCGTCCATGTTGCCCACCAGGGACCCGAGGGTGCGCCCTGTGCTTTTCTCCACTGTGGGCAAGTGGGGAGGGGGCGCCGCGAGCCTGGGGTGGGCCGTGCTTATGTGGGTGGCAGTCATCGCCACACCTGGGGGGACCGCATGGTCTGCGGGGACTGAGCGCCCTGGGGAAGGCCGGTGACCTAGCAGAGACTGGCCCTGGGGGCACTGGTGACCGGGTGCGTGGTCTGCCTAGCCCTCTGCTCTCTCCAGCTTCCTGCTGGGCCCCCGCAGGAGCCAGCTCCCGGCAGCTGCCACTGTCACCCCTGGGCTCCAGGCGGGGACGGACGGCAGATCAGTGGCAGGCCCAACACCCCGCCCGTGGCGTCCTCAGGGGCTGCTTCTGCCAGGCCAGGCCGGGTGGTCGGAGCAGGCAGCTCTGTCCTGCAGTGGGCAGCCTGGCAGGGGCTCGTGGTGGTCCGCAGGCAGGCTCTGCTACCCAGCTGTGCGCTGGCCATTTCCTTGGGCAAACTGTGAGCTTAGGTTAAAAAACGCGCTCCGTCCCTCCGGGCTGGGCGGCGGCTGTTGTGGGCCTTGGGGGGCGTTCAAGCCCCTGGGCTGTGTCCTTAGGGGCAGTTTCCAGGACCTCTGGGTGGCCCGTGTGGTCTGGAGGGTCCATAGCTGATGGCCCGTGCAGGCTCCTTGCGCTGGGCTGGGCGTCCCCCTTGTAATCCGCTGCCCGAGGGCCTGCAGCTCAGCCTGGATCCCCCAGGCTGCAGCAGCCTGGGGCTGGGTGGGGGAGGTGCCTGCAGGCCAGAGAAGGGGGTGCGGTTTGCTCCTAAAGCCTCCTGTGTAAGTGCCAGCAGCTGCTTGTGCAGGCGCCCTTTCAGCTTGAGAACTGCTGGCCCCGCGGGGCTCTCCTGCCGGGTCTCAGCTGGGTCTCCAGGCCAGGACCCTAGGCCCCGCGCCGGCTGCTGGACCAAGGGGCGAGCGCGCAGAGAGGTCCAGGCAGGGCTGCCTGGGCTGCCCATGGCCGGGTCGCCGGGAGGCCCTCCGGCCCCAGCCTCTCCCGGGCGCCGGGACCACGCGTCTGCTGCTGAAGTTTCGTGGTTTTCTGCTCACTTTCTAGACCTATTTGTTTTCGGTCTTGGCATTTTTGCTTTGAGTTGCGAACCACGTTGACTCTCACAGCAGGCCTGTGCGTCGGCTGATGCTAGCCACAGGACACTGCTGTGTTCAAGCTCCATGGAGGGTTTTTTTTTGTTTTTTTTTTTTGAAAAGAGCAAAATCAAAGTCAAGATAAAGACCAGAGGTGGGGGTGAGAAGACTCCCAGAGACAGAGCGGGGAGCAGAGCAGGCAGAGCCACTGAAACACACTGCTGGGGGGCCAGCGGGAGACAGGAGAGGTCAGCTGCATCCGTGGGTCAGCTCCTGGCCAGGGTTGCGTTCAGGTCACTGCAGTGACAGCCTGGGAACCCTGCCAGGGGGCCCCTGCTCACCCCATTTTTAAATTGCTTGTCTTTGGATTCCCAGCAGGTAGTGATGCCGCCACCCCCTTCCCCAGTGTCCACGACACTGTTCTCCTGCCCAGTCATGGTGGCTGGCGACCTGGCCTGGCCTCGAGAGTGGACGTCGGGTGGGCCAACTCGAGGGTCCAGGTGTGAGGAAGCCTGTGCTGTCTGGGACGGACGGGGCCGCAGCATCACGTCCAGCTGGCCTGGAGGGCGACGCGGCTCAGTTGGGGGCTCCTCTGTGGCCACCTGACCTTGGAGGTGGCCCCTGAACAGCGCGCCCTGACGCCGCGGGCCAAGGCTGGTGGGAAATGCCACCGGCCAGAGCACAGGGAGCCGGAGACCTGACTCGTGACCTGGTCCCCGCCCCAGGCTCCAGGGCGAGAGTGCAGAAGGGCAGAGGCCCCACCCACCCGCCCACTGCGGTCCACCCTCCTGCTGTCCTGACCTGCCGACACCTCTCCGCAGAGGGCGAGCTTGGGGTTTCCTCCAGACCTGCAGCTCTCTGCACCTACACCCCCATCTGTGCAGTGGCTGGTGGGAACAGGCTGCAGGTCCTGCTTTGCGCTGGCCGCTGATGGGCTGGCCACGGGGAACGGCAGAGCGGCCCCAGCTGGGCCCCCGGGCCCGTCTCTGAGCTGGACAGAGCCCGCAAGCTCAGTCTCCTGTCTGGACAGCAGAGCGCTGCCTCCCGCCGCCCACTGGTTTGGTAGACTTGCCTCTGGTGCCCGGGTTGCCCAGGGGCTGCGCCGGAGGGGCCGGCCAGGGCAGGTGCCTGGGCGTCTGGCCCTGGGAGGCCGGCCCCGGGAGCCGAGTCTAGCTTGTCCTTGGCCCCTCCGGGCTGTGTGACCCAACCCCTGTCCATGTCTGCTTGGGGCAGGGCTCGTGAGGCCGCTGTCTGCACAGAGGCGGGAGAGTCTAGGCGTTTGCCGGCCTGGAGGGGCCGTGGGAGCGCAGAGGGAGAAAGGCGGGGCGGGTGGCGGGAGCCGGGCAGGCGGCGCTCAGCGGGTCTCTCCCTGCAGGCTGCACTCGCGCTTCTACGAGCTGGCGCCCAACCTGGTCCCCATGGACTACAGGAAGAGCCCCGTTGTCCATGTGCCCATGAGCCTCATCATCCAGATGCCAGAGCTGCGGGTAGGGGCGGCCGCAGCAGGGGGTCCGGGGGCCTGGGCAGGGTCCAGAGAAGAGACGCAGGGCCGCTGGCCGAGCCCACCTGCTGCCCGTGGGCCGCGTTACCCGGACCCTCCGCGTGTTCCTCCCCTCTGGTCACCTTCGCGCCTTCGCCTCGGTTGCCTGCACGGGGTCTCCTGGGCTCGCGCGCCAGCGCCCATCTGGGCTCAGGCCTGGGCTGGACCTGTTGGTTCTGCAGTCTTGTCCAACGTGGCCCTGGCTGCAGTACCAGGTGGTCAGAGCACCCCAGCCGTGGCCTGGTCCTGAGGGCCGTGGGGCCGGCTGGAGGCTGCGGGAGGCGAGGGGGCCTGTGTGGCCTCAGTGCCTGGCTGGACTCCGGCCAGCACAACCCCACCCCACGTGGAGGCTCCTGCAGTGTCCCCAGGGCATGGGGCAGCTATCAGGGAGGGCTCTGGTGGGGCCAGGAGCACTTGAGGCAGCTGTGGCCTCTGGCCTGGGCAGGCCAGGTCTGACCCTCACTGCTCACCCTGTCCAGTCTCTGGCCCTTTGGGGCCCCACACCTGCCCCCAGTCCCTACTGGGCCAACCCTTGTGCCGGATGTTGGGGGCGGCCCCGGCTGCCTGATAGATGGTGCCCGCCAGATGCCGGCGGGCTGAGTCACCGTGGTGGCCAGCAGGGACAACTGGCCCTGTGGTGGGAGGCCAGGCTGCCGGGCGGCCGGTGGGTGACCCAGCGATGCCCCCAGGAGAACCCCTTCAAGGAGAGGATCGTGGCGGCCTTCTCCCAGGACGGCGAGGGCAACCTGACCTTCAACGACTTTGTGAACATGTTCTCTGTGCTCTGCGAGTCGGCGCCGCGGGAGCTCAAGGCCAGCTACGCCTTCAAGATCTACGGTAGGCCCTGGGCGTGGCCCGGCGCGGGCAGCACTGGGCGCTCGGGCTCACAGGGTCCTGGTGCCGGGGAGCGTCTTGTGACAAGAGGACATGCCAGCGGGCCCTGGCAGGCAGACACCCTCAGCCACAGGGTGGCTAGCCTGGCTGAGGGGCTGTGGTGGGAAGTGCTGGCCACGAGGGGCAGGACCTGGGCCTGGAGGCATGAACTGGAGGGCATGGGGAGGAGGCCCTTGCCGGGCCTGGCACGGGGAGGCAGAAGGTGGGGCACGCAGCCTTGTCTGGGTCCCACGGTCCATCTGCCAAGGCCCGTCCAGCCCCTGGCCCACCCCCAGCCCTGGCAGTCAACCCAAGGTGCTGGCCGCTGGCTTCAGGTGGGGCTGCCCACAGCTGCACTCTGCAGAGAGCTGGGCGCAGCCTGCATGGTGGCCAGGACGGTGGTCACTCGCCACAGATGGGCCCCTGCTTGCCTCTGTCCAGGTCCATTCCTGGACAGCTCCACATCCGCCCTGGCTTCCAGGCTGGGGTGCAGGCGAACGGGCAGCGGGAGCCTGGCCAAACCGGGCTTAAGCTCCAGCAAGGATGCCCCTTCCCAGGCTTGGCCCGCTCTTAAGCAGCGGGCGCGGACCCCATCTCACCAACCCCAAGCCCGCCCTGCCCTGCACGGCCAGCCAGAGGGGGAGCCGCTGTCCGGCGGGGCTGAGGGTGGGGCCAGAGCCGGACTCCTGGCAAGACCTTGACCAGGAGCGTTGCAGGCAGTGGCCCCCTGTGGGCATGCCCGCCGGCCCTGTGGCCCACACCAGCCCTTACCCCGCCACCACCGATGTGTGGGGGCCAGCGGGGGGCGGGTGGACGGGGGCTGCAGAAGTAGCAGCCTGCAGGGGTACTGGGGCCTTTGTTGGTCAGCACAGATGGGGCACGCCTGTGGCCACCTGGACCCTGCCCGTGCCCCCTGCTGGTCTCGGCCAGTCCCATGGCCCCGCAGGACCCCTCTGACCGCTGACCCCCACAGGAGCCTGGTGGCTTCACTCTGTCCCCCGCGGGCCTGGAGGAAGGGGGCATCTGGGGGTGTTGCCGGGGGCACAGCGGGGGCTGTGGGGCGGCGTGGCCCTGGCCTGAGCATCCCAACCTCCCCAGACTTCAACACTGACAACTTCATCTGCAAGGACGACCTGGGGCGGATGCTGGCGCGGCTCACCAAGTCAGAGCTGGCCGAGGACGAGGTGGTGCTGGTGTGCGACAAGGTCATTGAGGAGGCCGACCTGGACGGCGACGGCAAGCTGGGCTTCGCCGACTTCGAGGACATGATCGCCAAGGCCCCCGACTTCCTCAGGTGCCGCCGGGCACAGCGGGCAGCGGGCTGGGCCGCAGGGCAGGAGGTGGGGGGTGGCGTCCAGGCCGGCCGCCTGTGCTCTGCGGGACTGGCTCTGGGGTGCAGGCAGGACGCGTGGGGCCCTTTGTCGTGCAGGGGTGGACGCTGGCATGGCTGGCCGCCTGTGGGGGCTGGCCGGGGTGCAGCCGGGGGTGGGGAGGGCGGCGGCCAGGGTGGGCGTTGTTGACCGGCCTCCCGCCCCGTGCCCTTCCTGTCTCCAGCACTTTCCACATCCGGATCTGAGGACTCCGCGGTGGTCACAGGGCCAGAGCCCACTGCCCAGCTGCCTGCACCAGCGCGGCCCCTGGGTAGATCCCCATGGGCACTTCCTCGGCCCCTTCAGCAAAAAATCCATGACAGGCCCAGTGATGAGCAGCCAGGACCTGCCCAGGCCCCGTGTCCAGCCACAGCCCGGCCGCCCCCGCCCCCGGCCCGTCCTCTCCCACCAGAGCTGCCGGTGAGGCGCGAACAGCACTGTCCGGTGGCCGAGAGCCTGGGCAGCTGCCTGCCCGGGCCCTGCCTGCTCTACTCTGGCTGCCGCCGGCCAGGTGGGGGTTCCGGCGCCCCCATGCTGCCCTGCCCAGCCCACTCCACACGCCCTGCGGAGGCGTCTGGCATCAGCTTTTATTTCGAGGCGCGAGCATGAGAGGGCGTGTCTGCCCCGGTCTGGCGGGGGGCCCTGGGAAGGACAGACATGCCGGCTGGCACTGGCCGCTCCGTGGCCGCCAGCCATCGGCCCCATCCCCCTCTCAGCAGGCAGCGTCCCCACACCTGAATGGGGGCGGGGAGGGGTCAGACCGCACACCTGCTGGTGCAGGGAGGGGGCAGCCTCCAGGCCCAGGGCTCCCCGCACTGTGGCACTGGGGCGTGACGGGGAGGGGGGGTGTGGGCTGGAGCTCATGAGGGCCCTGGAGGCCGTAGCGGAGCGCAGACGAGGATGGCTCCAAGGCTGCGCAGCTGGAGGAGACCGCGGGGGCAGGGACGGGCTGGGGCATTCCCTGCCTCCCTCCCTGCGGGCATGAGGAAGCCTTGGCCGGCCTCAGGCAAGGTCCACAGGGCCACGTCTCAGGGCGGGATGGTGGGAGGCCGCCCCCCTCGGCCAGATCCACACACTCGTCTCAGAAACGGGGTACAGCCCCCCCCCCCGCTGGCCTGGGGTGCTCTGGCGGGCGTGGCCTGGGGTGCTCTGGCGGGCGTGGCCTGGGGGCCAGGAGGCCAGTCTGGGTCAGCTCCAGGCCGGCGGGTCCATGGTCAGAGGCACCTGCAGGCGGGTCCCGGCCCCAGAGTCCTCAGGGCTTGGGCTTCTTGTCGGTGAAGAAAAGCCTCCGGAGCCTGTCGGGCTGCGGCAGAGAGAAGGTGCTGGGCCTGGCCTAGCGGGGGCACTGCCCTGGGTCCGGCCCAGGAAAGGCCGAGCTCCCCCTGCCTCGCCTGCACGGAGCCCCGAGTCTGGACGGCCCCAGCACCCTGTCTTGCTGGGCCCTGGGCCCCAGCTCCGGGCTGGGTCGCACCTCGAGGCCGGGGGTGTGGGGCCTGAGCCTGTGGCTCTCAGGCTGGGCTGCTTTCCGGCAGGACCTGCGGCTCCCAGGCCCTGGGTGGGGGGAGGGGGGTGGAGGCCACCTTGCCCAGCTGAGCTCCCTTTCCGGGGTAGCCCGAGCGCCTGAGGCCCCTCCACTGGGGAGGATCCACTGCTCAGGCCGGGGTCCCGGAGGCTGGGCACAGCACGGGGCTCAGGAGCGTCTGGGCAGCCTGGGGAGGCTCTACCCACCCCACCCCACCCCCAACTCCGCGTCCCTGCCCTTCCGAATTGCAGCTGCGGAAGTCCCAGAGCCCTGGGGCGCCTGCATGCCCCCTGGTGGCCGCCCTGGACACCCGAGACCAGCCCCTTCCACGTGAGAAGCAGGTCCAGCAGGGACGCAGGCAGATGAGGGGCAGCTGCCTCAGGGTGCTAAGCTGGGAGCGCCCTGTGTGACTGGCTGGGGCCCGCTGAGCTTGGTGCCAGGAGCCGCCACTGAGGCCCAAGTGTTGTGCTCCCGGGCAGGGGTTTGCTGCCCGCAGGCTGGCCGTCCCCAGCCCCGCCCCTGGCGCTGCACCACCCACCTTGTGTGCCCGAGTGGACTCCTTGCTTCTGGTTGCTGGGATCTGTTCATAGGTGTCCCTGGGCTCCTGGGGCGCAGGGGCCTCCGAAACTCTCTCACAGCCACAGTCCGCAGGCTCGGGCAGCCTGCTGCACGTGCCACTGGCCCCAGGGTGGGGGGGCCTGAGGGCGCCGCCCCAGCAGGCCGGGATCTGCTCGTAGGTGCAGCTGTCCCCTCCTTCCGGCTCGCCCCCAGCCGCCTGCGGGAGGCCCGCCGTCCTGGCCAGCCCGTGGGTGTCTGCACGGCCACCCCCAAAGCCCGGATGAGCCCGGGGGCTCGGCTTCGGGGAGCCCTGGCTCCGAGCAGCCCCGGAGGCTCCCTGGGCCCCGGCACTGGGGGGCAGCAGGAGGCCCCAGGCAGTGGGAGACCCCACGGGGCCCTGGCCTCCCTCAGAGAGTCTCCTGAGTGGCTCCTGCCTGGGGGAGCGGGCTGGGCTGCTGGCTGGCCCTGGCCCGACCCTGCTGGACCCCTCAGGGCCCAGGCCCAGGCGGGCCTGCTTTATCTTCCTCAGGTCTGCATAGACGATGTCGCCCGGGCTTCTGAAGGACTCCTCCAAAAGGGAGGCGCTCCTCTCGGGGAGCGGGGGCACTGTGGCGGGGGCCTGCGGGAGAGGACGACCCTCAGAGCCCTGCAGGCCAGGCGCCTCCAGGAAGCAGACAGGCTCCTCCGCGAGACCAGACCTGCATGGCCTCAGTTTACCCAGCTGTTACGCTCAGGGCTGGCCTCAAGGCCCTCCTGGCCGCCCGCCCTCCTCCCAGGCGTACTCAGCCTGCTCTGTCCCCCAGGTGGCCCCTGTCCCCAGAGGCCCTGCACCTGCCCCTCAGCACCACTCCAAGTCACCGTGGGGCGCGGGCTTCGCTGCCCAGCCCGACAGGTGAGACCAGCCGGGGCCAGAGGGCTACTGCACCCTGGACGACAGGCCCAGCACCGCCAGCGTGGGGTCCGCAGGGCTCGCCCCGCCCCCGCCGGAGGAGCCGGCCCAGTCCCCGGCTGCCAGTGGCTGTGAGGACCTTCCAGTGGACAGCCCCTGCCCCCTCCCTCCGCACGCCCCAGTCCTCAGGCGGGAGCACGGCTCGGGCAGTTGCAGCCCCAGAGGAAGGCGGGGTGGGGCTGAGCCAGGGGCCGCCCACCAGGCCCAGGGCCCAGAGGGGTCCTCACCTCCACGCTCTCCTCCTTGGAGAGGCTCCAGGGACTGGCCTCGGCGCCCTTCTTTGTGTGAAGGAAGGAGACCTGGGGCTTTGGAGAGAGGCGGGGGCTGGCGCACGAGTCGGGCGGCGCCGGGGCGGCCACGGGGGCAGGCGGGCTGGCGTGCTGGGGGCCCAGCGTGATGGCGTCGTACAGCTCGCTCTCCTCGGGCTGGGGGCGGAGGCAAGGGTCACTGCCAGACGGCCCCGGGGCCGGCCCCGGTCCAGGCCCCTGGGCGGCCGGGAGCTTGCGGCCTCCCCTCCTGTGGGCGCGGCCCGCCCAGAGCCTGCCCGGTGCTGGACGCGGGCGTCAAGCGGCTGCCCAGTGCCCAGCCCGCGCCCTGGCCGGGGAGAGGCGCCTACCCGGGGGCAGGCGGCCGCCAGAGTCTCCCCGAAAGGCTCGAACTCCACCTCCTGGTAGTGGCGCACGAGCTCGGCCAGGGAGCCGTGGCTCTGGGTGTCCCCCGAGACCAGGTAGCGCCGGTCCTGGAGCTGGTTGATGACAAAGTGCCGGCACCGGTCGCCGCCCCTGCAATGAGAGCGCCGTGGCTGGGCTGGGGGGCGGGAGAGGCGGGTCCGGCCAGCGGGGCCGCCAGACCCCGGGGTGGGGGTGAAGCGCTAAGTCAATAGACGAGCTGCCTGGTAATGCAATACCCGAGAACATCAAAATTAACGCAGACAAGGCCGCGATGAGCAAAATACCAGCGTCTGACTGGCCGCCCCCGCGAGGGCCCCGCGCTGCACACCCCTGCGGGCGCCGGAGGCAGAGTGTGGGCCGCCAGGGTCGCCGCCTGGACACCCCGGCACCCGGCTCGGTTTCTCACGAGAACGCGGACCTCGCTTCCCCCGCGGCCGCGGGGCGTCTCCACCGGGCAGCGACCCAGGCTCAGGGCGCGGAGCTCCCCAGGGCGGTGGCCCCACGCCCTCCGCACCCCTGCGCCCTGGCCTCTGCTGCCAGCTGCAGCTCGCGCTGGCCCGAGGCCCTGATGCTTCTCTGTGTCTCAAGATGAACAAAATCTCTTCGTTTTCAAGAGACCGGGCGTCTGTGTCTCTGTAGTCAGTGCCGCTGCGTCTGGCCCGCTGGTCCCTGGCGAGGGCGGTCCCCGTGGGCCCCCTGCCGGGCTCCCAGAGGCCATCCTGGCATCCAGGCCCCTGGGCGGCCTCCTGGGCTCCCAGGGCAGTGCAGCCGCGCGGTGTCCCAGTGCTGGACTCCCCGCGGTGCAGGAGCTTTGAGCCAGGTGAGCCCGGGGAGCCAGCGCGGCCCCCCAGTGAGGCCACGGCCGGGGGGGGGGGGGGGGGAATGGGGAGCGGGGGGGCTGGGCGTCTGAGCAGCGCCCAGCACCCACCTCCTTCCCGCCTCTGCTCCCATCCAGGCCCGGTGGCTGGCTAGACCCGCCCACGTCCCCTACCCCCATCCCCAACGCCCCTCGCCTGCACTTGGCCTCCCCCTGCGCCAGCCTCCCTCAGTCCTGGGCTGAGCCAGCCGGCCCTCCGCCGCTGCCCCGCACCCCTGCCCTGTGCCCATGCAGCCCTCAGCCCATCACAGCCCTCTCCTGCCTGCCAAGGGCTGCCCCCCGCCCCGCACTGCCCCCACACCCCAGGCAGACCTAGGCCCGGCCCCCCCCCCGGCCCCCCGCGGCGCTCGAGGGAGGTCCTCTCTGTTCTGCGAGGTGGCCGAGGTGGCCGGAGCCGCCCGCATTCGTGGTGAGTGCTTCGGTGAACAGGGCTGGGGCTGCGGCTCTTACCTGTAGGACAGGATGAAGCCGGTCGCCCGGTCGCTGAGGCGGATGAGGAAGGAGCCGAGGGCCTTGTCCCCAAGCAGCTGCTCCGTCTGCCTGGGCGGGGGATGTGCCGTCAGCCGGGCCCCGAGGCCCGCCATGTCCTACTGCCTGTCCTACTGCCTCGTCCCAGCGCCAGCTGGGCGGGGAGGGAGCTGAGGGCCTGTCGGGGCTGGGGAGAGTCTGGGGCACAGGAGCCAGGTGAGCAGCCCCGGGCCCTGGCCGCCCTGGGGCCTCCAGTGGGACGGGGCCTCACTCTGTGGGTCTGGCCACGCTGGCGGCACAAGCGTAGCTCGCCCTCCGTGGGCCGCGGACAGGGCGCCGCTGTCTTCTGGTCTGGAGTCCAGGGAGGGGACGTCTGGTCTCCCCTCAGCTCACGCTTGGAGCTGGGGCCGAGCGGGGCCCCTTCTGAGCCCACCGTGCCACCACCAGGGAGGACTTCCAGGTGGCCAGAGCAGAACCTTCAACCCCACTGGTCAGTGCCAGCCGTGCAGGGCCCTGCAGCTGCCACGTCCTCCGGCTGGCCTGCACAGGCAAGCGGCCGGCAGCCAGCCCTCAGCCTCCCATGGCCTCTCGCCTCACTGCCCCTGGTTGTGGGGCCGACTCCCCTGGAGGGTCACCAAGCCGCAGGGCTGTGGAATGTGCCATCTGCCGGACCAGGGTATGCACCCTCGGAGCACAGGCTCTGGGTCTGCCCCCACCACCTCCAACCAGGGCCCTGCCCAGCCCAGGGTGTCCAGAGGCCCCTGGCCCCGAGCCTGGGACCTGGCCCCTACGGCCGTGCCTGTGCTGGAACAGAGGGTGGGGAGGCAGGCAGCCTTACTTGCGGGTGATGAATCCATGGAACCAGGGGGGCAGGACTCCGTTCTGCAGAATGAGGGGGGCCTGCGTTTCCATGAACCACCTCAGGGCCAGCTCCTGCAGCTCAGCCAGTGCCTGGCTATCCCCCAAGCTCCGGGCCCCTCTCCCCAGGCTGAGCTCCCACAGGCTCCCGTCCATGCTGGCTGCCGGGGAGGCGCTGGGTGGCTCTATATCTGTGCCGGCCTCATTTGCCTAGGTCCACACCCGCAGCCGCACCCAGCCGCACACAGAGCCATTGTCGCCGTGGCTGGCAACCGGCGCCTCTCTCGAAGGCTGGCTGGAAATAGTGGGGGAGGGTGCCCTGACTTCCCGCCCACCCCAACCATCTCACAGAGAAGGCCGAACTCCGGCGAGGCCTAGCATGCCACCCCAATCCTCTCACACTCCCTCCTGGAGGCCAGCCAGCGGTGAGGGGCCCTGGACTGCACTTGGGCCTCCCTGGGCGTCCACCATGTGCTCGCACCCCAGGGGGCCAGCCCTGGACACAGGGTCAGAGAGCAGAGCTGAAGGAGCTCTCCAAGGAGCGGGGAGGGGCACACGGTGTTGTGTGGGGCTGGGGTTGGGCCTCCTCCAGACAGGGCCTGGAGGTCGAAAGAGGAGGCCACACGGCATCCGGGCCAGCAGGCAGAGGAGCGAGTGTAGGCCAAGATGGGGGGCTCTGCTGGAGACCCCCGAGAATGATGCTGAGGCTGAAGAGGCTTGGCAGAGGGGGCCTTGGCCCGCTGGGTTCCCTGGAGGGGCCATGAGAAGCTGTTGAGAGACTTGGGGCAGGCAGTCCAGCCTGTCCATGCACCGTGCCCGCATGGCCAGTGTGCCCTGGAGCCTCACGGTGGTGCCTTGCATGGCAGCAGGCTGGGAGAGCCCACCTTCTTGCCGCACACGGAAGGGGCCGCGTCCAGATGCCAGGCGCCCATAGGCAGGAAGGGGTGTGCACACAGGGACACAACCCACCGATGGCCACAGAACAGGGCGTGCGCCCCAGGATGTTGACTGCCGGCTGTTGGGGTGACCAGCGCTCCAGCTCCTGGCCCCAGGACGGGCCGGGCCAGAGGAGCCTGTCCACCTGGTGAAAATCATTGAGCTCTGCTCTTGCCATTGATGCACTTTTCCGTGTGTGTGCTGTTCGAACAAGCCACTTATTCCAAGAAATGAGGGGGCTGCAGCTGCAAGTCCTCAGTTCCACCCCCCTGGTCACCATATGGCCCTGAGCAAGCGCCCAAGCTGGCCAGGGTGTCAGTGTCTTCCTCTGTGCAACCCGGCAATGACATGACTTGTGTACAAATGTGTACAGGGCTAAGAACAGTGTTTGCAACAGCATGAAGACTAGGGCTGGGCGTTACTTTGGTGGTGGTGATGGTGGTGATGGTGGTGATGGTGGTGATGGTGGTGATGGTTGTGATGGTGGTGATGGTGGTGGTGGTGATGGTGGTGGTGATGGTGATGGTGGTGATGATGGTGGTGATGGTGGTGGTGATGGTTGTGGTGGTGGTGGTGGTGGTGGTGGTGATGGTGATGGTGGTGGTGGTGGTGATGGTGGTGATGGTGATGGTGGTGATGGTGGTGGTGGTGGTGGTGGTGGTGGTGGTGGTGGTGATGGTTGTGGTGATGGTGATGGTGGTGGTGGTGGTGGTGCTGGTGATGGTTGTGGTGATGGTGATGGTTGTGGTGATGGTGATGGTCGTGATAGTGATGGTGATGATGGCGGTGATGGTGATGGTGGTGGTGGTGATGGTGGTGGTTGTGATGGTGGTGGTGGTGATGGTGATGGTGGTGATTATGGTGATGGTGGTGGTGGTGATTGTGATGGTGGTGGTGGTGATGGTGATGGTGGTGATGGTGGTGGTGGTGATGGTGATGGTGGTGATGGTGGTAGTGATGGTGGTGATGATGGTGATGGTGTTGGTGGTGATGGTGGTGGTGATGGTGGTGGTGATGGTGGTGATGGTGATGGTGATGGTGGTGATTGTGGTGGTGATGGTGATGGTGGTGATGGTGATGGTGGTGATGGTGGTGATGGTGGTGGTGGTGATGGTGATGGTGATGGTGGTGATTGTGGTGGTGATGGTGATGGTGGTGATTGTGGTGGTGATGGTGATGGTGGTGATGGTGATGGTGGTGATGGTGGTGATGGTGGTGATGGTGGTGGTGGTGATGGTGATGGTGATGGTGGTGATTGTGGTGGTGATGGTGATGGTGGTGATGGTGGTGATGGTGGTGATGGTGATGGTGGTGATGGTGGTGGTGGTGATGGTGATGGTGATGGTGGTGATGGTGGTGATGGTGGTGATGGTGGTGGTGATGGTGATGGTGGTAGTGATGGTGATGATGGTGTTGGTGGTGATGGTGATGGTGATGGTGGTGATGGTGATGGTGGTAGTGATGGTGGTGATGGTGTTGGTGGTGATGGTGGTGATGGTGGTGGTGATGGTGATGGTGGTGATGGTGGTGGTGGTGATGGTGGTGGTGGTGATGGTGGTAGTGATGGTGATGATGGTGTTGGTGGTGATGGTGTTGGTGGTGATGATGGTGGTGATGGTGGTGGTGGTGATGGTGGTGGTGGTGATGGTGGTGATGGTGATGGTGGTGATTGTGGTGATGGTGGTGATGGTGATGGTGGTGATTGTGGTGATGGTGGTGATGGTGATGGTGATGGTGGTGATTGTGGTGATGGTGGTGATGGTGATGGTGGTGATGGTGGTGATGGTGATGGTGGTAGTGATGGTGGTGATGGTGTTGGTGGTGATGGTGGTGATGGTGGTGGTGATGGTGATGGTGATGGTGGTGGTGATGGTGATGATGGTGGTGGTGGTGATGGTGATGGTGGTGATGGTGGTGGTGATGGTGATGGTGATGGTGGTGGTGATGGTGATGATGGTGGTGGTGGTGATGGTGGTGATGGTGGTGGTGGTGACAAGTCTGAAATACGGTGTGTCCTCCCTTGTTGGTAACTACTTTCATTTTATTATTACTTTCATTTTATTATTAGTCAATCAGATTAAAAATGCCTGTGGCGAGTGTGTGGTGCATGTGGTTTGGAGGAGCAGCAGGGCCCTAGGACAAGCCCGTGACCCCAACCTGGCTGCTTGGCCCTTTCTGCACCCACAGAAAGGACACCAGTGTCCCTCGCCCCGCGGGTGTGGGAGGTCTGTGCTGGTCGGCCTGCCTTGCAGTCTTCATCTTCAGCCTTGATGGTGGGGTCAGCCTCAGCCAGGGAGCGCCAGGGTCACCGCATCCAGTGAGCAGGGTCCAGGCTGGCAGCGCTGTGCTGGGCTGGCTGGGGGTGGCCGTCATGGACGTCTCTGGTGTGCTCAGCCAACTCACAGCTACACCCACCTCAAGGCAGTGCTCTTGCTCCTGCCTTGAAATCGCAGTGATGAGACCTGGTGCCAGGCCCAGTCGCTTGACAGGCTGGTTAAAAAGCATCGCTGACTCTGTTGTGAACCCTGCATGAGCCATTTCAGCCATTATGGGGCCCACGGTGATGTCCTCTTCCTGCGCCAGAACCACGATCTGAGGAGCCCTTCGGCCTGGACAGACACCAGAGAGACCCCCCGACCCTGCCTGCCGCCACAGCGCCCAAGTATTCAAATACAAAGCCAAGAGGACCTGCCTTTTCCATAAGGCCTTCGCCCGGCCCCTTCCGGTTGGACACCTCTTACAGAGCTGGCCATTTGCATAGGAAGACAAAGGCCCCGTGTCCCCACAGGTGGCCCGGTGCGGAGTGGGGGAGGATTCCGAAGCCAGGCAAATACAGCGGGGCTGTATTCATACTCCAGGAAATGCGGGAGGCCGGGTTTGGGGATACCGGGCAAAGGACAGACCAAGGCTGGGGCTGGCTGGAGCAGACTGGACACGCTGCAGCCCCTCACTGGCCCCACCGCTGCCCTCAGCTGCTTTATCTATTAAAACAAGGGGAGGGGCCTCCCTGGTGGCCTAGGGGTTGAGTCTCAGCACTATGAAGCTATTACCACTGTGGCCCGAGTTCGATCCCCAGCCAGGGAGCTACCCACATGGTGCAGCAGACCTCTCCTGACTCCCCACTGCTGCCCTCAGCAGTCGATTTCAGTAGATCTGCCTGTTCTGCTCCCCACTCTGTCTCTGGTGAATCCTCTCACCTCCCGGCACCTCTGGCCTGTACCCCAGCTCTTGTATGCATAAGTAAGTAAAAATAAATAAATAAAAAATAAAAACAAGGGGAGGAAGAGCCACTTGCTTGGGTTTGGAGTTCAGCTGGACCCCCAGCTGAGCAGGGGACGGATGCCCACCCAGCCCCAGGGCCTCTCCAGCCAGCAAGTCCCCAGTACCCAGCTCACTGTCCATGAAGGCCGGAGTGGCCAGAACTGCACTGGCGGTCAGCAGATGGAGCAAGTCACCCCACAACGCACCACCTTGTAAGCAGCAGAGATGTTCCCAAGAAGCCGGAAGCAAAGCAAACACATGCACATACACCACACATGTGCACATGCCACATCCCTCCAGCATGCACGTGTACATGCCACATCCCTCCACATATGCATATGAGCACACACCTCACACGAGTGTGACTGCACACACCACGTGCACACATGCACATACCACACAGTGCACTGACACTGACACATGCACAGCCACAGTGCACACACATCCATGTACACATCCATGCACACACATGTGTGTGAACACACATTTGTGCCATACGTGCACGTACTGACACACCTGTGCAGGCCGCGCATGTAAATGCGTGCACATGCCACATTACGCATGCACGTGCGTACATATACACATATGTACACACGGATGTAAGGTGTGTCGGCGCCGTGAACCCCGGTTGCTGTGCCGTGAGCTGAGCCACGGGCCCGCAGCTGGGCAGCAGGGAGCCAGAGATGGAGCCCATGGGGACAGGCCACAGCGGGCGCCTGAGACATAAGCTGCCGGTCTGGGCAAGGTCAGGCATCCAGGGCCACAGGCCAAGGCCCCCACCGCCAGCCGGGGCCGCCTCTTCCTGGGGTGCTGGCTGGGGCCAGAGCTGGGGTCCCCTCCTGCCCCCTCCTGCGTGGTGTCCACCTTGCTGGCCTGCGGCACCTTTCCCTGGGATTCAAATTCCGTTAGTACCTTAAACAGACGCAAATCAGTGACTGTTGAGTCAATGTATTCAAGCTGCAAAGTACAGAACAAATTCAGAGGTGCCAGCCCCCGCCCCCACCTCGGGACCGGCTCCTCTGGGCCCGGCCCTGGCAGCACCATGGCCCGGCAGGGCAGCTCCTGCACGGCCTGCCCCCAGGCTGGCCTCGCCCCGGGCCTCCTTGGCCCTGGCACCCAGCCACTGCGCCGGCCTGTGTGAGGACCGGGAGGACTGGACCAGGCTTGGCTGCAGGTGGGGGGCTGCGAGGGGCCACAGGGCCGGGGGCAAAGGGTGAAGCGGAGGGGCCGACGGTGCCAGCCTGGACACAGGACGCCGAGCACGGGCCACAGGGCCTTGGTGTCTGTGCCCCCTGGCTCCCGGGGTCCAGCCCTCCCCGGCCCTGGGCTGGGAGCCTCACCGGCCAGGCCCCGCCCTGCCAGTCCCTGCCTCCCTCGGTCACTCCTGCCTGAGCCTTCCCAGCAGTGCCTGGGCTGGTGATGAGAGAACAGGTGTGCAGTTTGCCTGTAATTTGGTAGGTAAATAACCCGCCCCCAAGCCCCCCCCAGCGTCCCCCCCCACTCCTGTCACCAGGCCGCTGCCTGAGTGCGGAACCGCTGCTGAGCATAGCGCCCTCGGCAGGCCTGGCTGGTGGCCCCCAGCGGGGCGGCTGTTCTCTCTGCACACTGCACAGCCGGGAATGGAGGTGGGGACTCCCTTGCTCTGCGCCCTCTGAGCGGCAGCCGGTCTGCTGGGGCTCTCCCAGGGCTGATGGGAGGTCGGGGAGGTGGGGCATCCCTAACCTGTGGTCCCCTCATGCGGGTCACCCCTTGGGGTTCCAGGCTTGGGGAGGCCCCTACAGGGTACCCCGAGGCCCCACATCAAGCACCTGAGCCCTCTCTGCCTGCTGTTGTGCCCAGGGAGGAAGAAACACCCCCTGTTGTGCTGGTGCTTGTGCCCCCGGCCACTGACTGTGGTGGGCAGCCCAGCCCCAGGTGGGACAGAGGCTGAGAGGAGGGGCGGTCCGACTCAGGTGGTGGCAGACACCAAGGGGCCTTGGAGATGGGGGTCCGCCACGGGCTGGGCAGCAGCAGGAAGAACGGCCATTGGCTCCTGGCCATGCCCAGCGCCTGCTCCCTGCCCCCCCACCCCCCACCCCCGCTGTGCCTGGCGCCTCCCACTGGCCATGCCCCGGCTGCTGCTTGGCTCGGCTCCAGCCCCTTGCTGGCCAGGAGGGGACGCCGCCCAGAGGCACAGGCTCCACGCCCACCTTGTCCGGCTGTGTCCCCGGCTGGCCAGCCGCCTGCGTGGGGCCTGGGGCCCAGAGGGGGGCCTCGCTGGGGAAGTGGCTGGGTCACAGCTGTGTCCCCGGGACTGGCCTGGGGCTGGCCATGTGGAGCAGTTTCAGCACCCAGATTTCCCCTTTTTGGTGAGCACTTCTCCCTTCGAGCTTCCTCCTGGGGACCCCGCCTGATGGCCACGCCTCTGATCAGTGCGGCGGCCCAGGGGCCGAGGCCGAGGCTCACGCGCTCGTGAGGGTGCAGACACGTGCAGCTGACCTGGCATGTTGACGGGGCCACAGAGGCCAACGGGCCATTGAAAGGGTTCTAGGGAGTGGGGCCACGGAGGCCCAGTGTCCAGCAGGGCCTGGGGTCTGGCTGGGCCTGGAGTCGGATGAAGCTGTTTGCTTAGCCAGCATTTCCCCAAATGATAAAAACGCGGAAGCTGCTGGACGGGTGCTAGACAGGAGAGAAAGCAGGACGCTTGGGGAGGGGGTCTGCACCGCACCCCCTGGGGCCCAGCAGCCGGGGCAGGGAGGTCCTCGGGGAGGGTCCCTGAGCTCCAGCAGAGGCCTGGTCACCTCTGCTGGGCTGGGGCGGAGGCCCAGGGCCAGGTCTGCTGGGACGCTGCTGGGGTGTCCAGGCTGCAGTGGGGTCCTCCGGCGGGCCCCAGGGGGTTGGCCGAACCAGCTGAAACCCCACGGCCGGTGGGTCCAAGAGGACAGTGCTGCACAGTCAGCACCGACAAGCGTCCGGGTGCACCGCAGCCTCAGCAGTCGCAGGACGCCCTGCTGGGAACCAATCTGTGGTGCTCCCTGCGGCCCCAGCACCCTCGTGGAGAGGCGCACCAGCCCCCCTCCAAAGCGTGCTCCAGGGGCAATCCCAGAGACCCCTCAAGCTCCAGCCAGAGCCCCGGGGTGGGGCCTCCGCGAGCCTGGAGGAGAGGCAGGGCCGCGGGGGGACTCTGCAGGTCCGGACCCGGCCCTGGGCCCAGGCCCCACCTGTCCACTCTCTCAGGACCCTGGCCCTGCCCGCACGGCCCAGTCCCGGCTCCTCCCGGCCAGCCCCACCTTCCAGTCCCCCACCCTGCTCTGCCACGGGCGGGGCCCAGAGGAGCTCCCGGTTCCCCAGGCCAGCCCTTCTCCGCATTCTAGGGGTCCCAAGGGCCAGCGCCCGGCCCTAGGGCCGGCTGGGACCGGCTGAGCCGGCCCTGGCGGGGTCGTGGGGCCCAGCACCCCCGGCTGCGGGCAAGGCCTGGGAGCGCGGGGTGGGGTGGGGTGCGGGGGGGGGGCGCCCCCCAACTCTGGGACGAGCTGAGTCCGGAGGGCGGCCCGTCACGCCTGCAGATGCGCCGCAGGGGCCGCGCCCGGGCCCGGGGAGCCGCGTTCTGGGAGCCGCTCCCGCGGACCGCGGACCCCACGCGGAGCAGCGCCCAGTCCGGTTAGGTTAGGGGCGGGGGCGGGGGCGGGGGGGGCTCGGGGCTCGGGGCGGGGGCTCGGCCGCGGGGAGGGAGGCGGAGGGGGCGGGGCGCGGGGCTGGGTTGGGTGCGCGGGGCGGGGCGGGGGCGGCGGGGCGGGGGAGGGGCGGGAGGGCGGGGGAGGGGCGGGGGGCTGCGGGCGGGCGGGCGGGGGCGGGACTACAAGTCCCAGGCGGCTGTGCGCGGCGGCGCGGGCGGCGGGGGCGCGCGGGCGGGGGCGCGCGGCGGGGGCGCGGGCGGCGGGGGCGCGCGGGCGGCGGGCGGGCGGGCGGCGGGGGCGCGGCCATGCCGGGGCGCGGGGCGCGGGCCGAGGCGGGCGCGGCGCGGGCGCGGGAGCCGGCGCGCCTGTGCGGCTACCTGCAGAAGCTGTCGGGCCGGGGCCCGCTGCGCGGCTTCCGCAGCCGCTGGTTCGTGTTCGACGCGCGCCGCTGCTTCCTCTACTACTTCAGGAGCCCGCAGGACGCGCTGCCGCTCGGCCACCTGGACATCGCGGACGCCTGCTTCAGCTTCCAGGGCCCCGGCGACGCGGCCGAGCCCGGCGCCGCCCCGCCCGCGCACTTCCAGGTGCACAGCGCGGGCGCCGTGGCGGTGCTCAAGGTGGGCCCCGCGGGGCGCGGGGGGGGCTGGGCGGCCGCGGGCGGGGACCCGGCGCCCCGCAGACCCGGCGCCCCGCAGACCCGGCGCCCCGCAGACCCGGGACCCGGGGACCCCGCAGACCCGGCCCCCGCAGACCCGGGCGCTGGGCGCCCACTGCCCGGCCGCGAGTGGCGGAGCCGGTTCTGTGGCTCCGGCCCGGCCCGCGGGAGAGGTAGCAGGGGCGGCTGCCGCCACCGCCCGCCGTGCCCCTCCCAGCAGGAAGGAAGCGCGCGATGCCCGCGGGCCGGGGGGAGAGTGGCCGCGTCCCGAGTCCCCGAGACCGGGCAGAGCGCGCCCGGGCCTGGGTCCGGCGGGGCCCGCGGTGGCCTCCCGGCCTGCTGGCTGCCGGGGTCTCCGCCCGCCCCCCGGCCGCCCGGCTCTCCCGGCCGTGGCCAGCTGGGCTCTCCAGAGCCCGGGCGGGGCGCGGAGGCCCGCTGCCAGCTGGCCGAGTGGCGGCCGGCACTGGACTGCGCGCCGGGGCGGGCGAGGCCTCCGCAGGTCCTGCCTGCTCAGCACTTGCATTTCCTGCAGGGTCTGGCCAGTGGCTCTAGGGCCTCCCCACGGCCATAATAGCCCTGAGGCCGCAGCGGTGCCTCCGGAGGAAGCTGGCGGCTGCTGGCGGGTGCGGCCCCGTTGGGGCGGCGTAGAGTGTGGGGTGCCCATGCCCGAGGGGCCTCGGGCTCTCGGGCGCTGCCGTGACACAGGGGCGTGTCTGGAGACAGCCCCACGCTGTCCCGGGGGGTCTGGGGGGGGACACCGAGGACCTTGGACCTACGCCCGGGCCGCCAGGCGGGGTCTGCGCTGACCGGGGCACCGCTGCCCGCACCCCAGGGGAGCGTCAGGAATTGGCGACGGGCGGGCAGGGACAGGAGGGAGTCGGGGGCGGGGGGACTGGGCCAGGGCCAGGCCGGGAGGGCGAGGGGGGTGGCCCCACACCTGCCCTGCCCCGAGCGCAAGGAGACGCCGTCCTGGGGCCAGCCCTGGGCCAACACGGGGCTTCGCGGTGGGGAGGGCGGTGGACCGCGGCCGGGCTGTGGTCCCGCATCCTCCTGTCCTCGGGGGGCTGCCTTAAGAAGTCAGGAAAGCGACTTCCCGGGGGCTGCGCGCCAGGAAACAGCACGTGAGAAGCTGGTCGCCACGGAGCAAGGCAGCGGCAGCCCAGGCCTGTGCCGTGAGCCGTGGGGGGGTGGGGGCCAGGCCGGGTGGCCGGGCTGCTGGGGCGGCCTCCGGCAGGCGCCTCCCTGCACAACCGAGGCCTCAGGGAGCGACGCCCTCAGCCTGCGGATCCAGCGCGGGGCGGAGGCCAGCAGGCTGGGGCACGGCCCGTGGCCCACGGCCCGCTCAAGGCTGGACGCTGCCAGGGTGCCGCCCCTTAGCGCTCACCGGAGCGGTCCCAGGACATCTCGGTCAACTTGTCTTTTCCGAGACGCCAGACTGGTCCGGCGCCAGCAGCTGCAGAGGCGGGGAGGGCCCAGCGGGGAGTGGGCCGGGGTCTGTGGGAGGGGGCGCCGGCACCAGGCAGGAGGCTGAGCGCGTGGGGGTCTCGGCCCTGTGGGCCCCCGGCGGGCGCGACGCCGCCCACTCTGTGGGGGGCCCCCTGTCCGGCGAGAGGTTGAGGTTTCACACGTGTGTGCCACGCTGGAGTCTGCAGCTGACGCGCTGAGGCGTTGCTGCTCCCGGGCGGGGCTGGTCATGGGGGCCGGGGGGGGGGGGCGGGCTGGTCATGGGGGCTGGGGGGGCAGGCCATGCTGGCCGAGCCTCCCGGGGCTGCTCTCATGGACTTCTCGAGCCTCTTTCCCCGGGTGTGGAAGCTGCTTCTTGGGAAGGGAGGGAGGGCGGGCATCTGGGCGGTAGGCGCTGGCCGCCATGGTGCCCTCTCACCAGCTTCCCAGCGCCCGTGGGGCAGGCAGCGGGCCCTAGAGGGAGGGCAGAGCCCCGAGGCCGTGGACACCCCCGGGGGTCACCAGAGGGGCTGCTGTCCTTGGAGCATCGCACGGGGGTCTCAGGCCTCGGGGGAGACTTGGGACACCTCCCTGCCCGCGACCCCAGTGGTGCGGTCGGCCGGTGCTCCGCCTGGACCCTCGGGGGGGTCGGCCCCACCTGCCTGTGCCTCCTGGCTGTGCTGGGCATCTTGGCCCAGCCGGCGTCCTGCCCCTGGTGCTGGGCCGCAGGGACCGAGGGGGAGCCCAGTGACCGCCCGCGCCGCCCCTCCCGAGGCCCCAGCGCTGGCCAGGGCCTGCCGTGGGCCTCTGTTTCTGTTGCTGGGAGGGAGGAGGGAATCGGGGCTCTGCGCTTCTCGGGTGCAGGTTGCTGGCCACCCCGGGCCTGACTTGGTCCCTGCCGGGGGCTGGTGGCTCCAGGCGCTGCTGTCCGCCCTCCTGCTGACGGTGGCTCCGGGCACCAGGTGCGGCTGGGCCTCCCCCAGGCTCGCTGGGCTCGTCTGCGCGCATTCTGCCCCCTTTCCTCTCCTGGCCAGGGCCTGGGGCCTATGCCCGCCCCGCCCCGCCCTCCATGGCTGCTGGGCTGGAAATTTAAGAACGTCCAGGTTTTCAGAGAGAGCTGAGCTGCAGCAAGCCGCTGTCCCGGGCAGTCATGCTGCCTCCGACCGGCCTGGGCACTGGTCAGCTTTGAGAGCCCTGGGCACTGGTGAGTGCACTGAGGCACTGACCATCCCAGCCAGCGACTGCCCACTGGGGGGTCGGGGATGCATTCCCCGTGAACAGCAGCCTTAGCGTGGCGCCTGCCGTGGCCCTCTGGGGTGGTACTGTCAGCAAGAGCCGCGTGGGCAAGAGTCGGTTTGCCTGGTTCCAGCCAGTGCCTGGTGGGTCCCCGCGGGGGCTGGCGTGAGTGAGGCCACGGTCAGGTCTAGCGCGCGACGCAGCACCGCCCGCTGTGCCGGGGGCCTCGGAGCTGGGCGTGCCCCTCACAGCCCCGGTCGCCACGGCCGCCCCGATCAGGCCTGTGGGCAGAGCTGTGGGTCTGGGGACTGGTGGCCCATTACCCTAGTCCCGCCCCCACCTGCTCCTCTCTTTGCAGGCCCCAAGCCGCCAGCTGATGACCTACTGGCTGCAGGAGCTGCAGCAGAAGCGCTGGGAGCACTGCAACAGCCTGGCCCCAGCCCGCTGGGCCGGCAGGGCCTCCCCCGCCCCCGGGGACCCCTCCCAGGGGCTGCTGGCCAGAGACAGCACTGCAGGTGAGTGGCCCGCGGGCCCCGCGCCCTCGGGTCCAGGGCCAGTGCTCCCAAAGGCGGCCCTTCTGCATGGCCGCCTGCGGGCTGCCCTGCGCTCAGGGCTTGTGCTCCGGATGCTCCGAAGGACTCGCTGCAAGGCCGGCCCGGCCCCCAGATGCCACATCTGGGGGCACGTGGTGACTGATGTGTGACGCCCTGATCTGCTGGGGCTGCTGGGAGCCCAGCTGGCCCCAGATTCGACCACAACCCCGGCCTGTGGCGGAGCAGGACGCCAAGCACGTGCCGCTTCCTGGGACGGGGGGAGAGCTGCTCCCAGATGGGGCCCGTGAGCCCCTCGCCAGGGCAAGGCTCCGTGGGCAGGCGGCTGCCCGGACACAGACTCCTTCTGGACTTTCTGTGACGGTGGGCGCAGGTCCTGGGGGCCAGGGGCGTTGAAGGAGGCCACCTCCAGGCGGTCAGGAGGGCAGGGGTGACCGGGAGGAGCTGGGCAGGGGTCGGGAGCTGACCTGGAGAGACGTGTGGGCGCAGCTGTGTTCAGGGACGATGGGCCATGGCTGAACGGGGGGAGGGCGGCAGGTGGGCCGCCAGGGGCTCGAGGTCCAGGCTGGAGGCACACTGGCCGAGAGCACAGAGGAGCCGAGTTGGGGACCCTCCGGCCCCAGGACTGGAGGAGCCAGAGATCGGCTGGCCAGGGCCGGAGCAGTGGCGACAGTGGCCTGCTGTGAGGACACGCTGGGCCGCAGTCGGGGCAGAATCCCCGATAAAGGGGCTTGCGGGGTTGGGCGGCTGCAGGAGGTGGGCGAGGGGCGTGGGGGCGACGTGTATCTCCCCCGGGCTCCCCCTGCTGGCGAAGCTCCCAGGTCGGAGGCCGGCGCCTGGCCACTGTCCGCCCCTCCCACCTCCTCCTGCGAGACCATGACTTGTCACGTGAGGGGGGGAGGGTGCTGACCGGTGCCTGCTGGGCGGCTCCTGCTCCGCCTGCCCCCACGCCTTGTCCCGTCCCGAGTGTCTCGCTGCTGATTCGGCCACTCCCAGGGGGCTTTGGGACGTGTGTTTCTGGGGCCAGGGGCCACTGCCAAGTGTGGCGTCCATCCTGCAGCCCTTTGCACCCAAGTAGAGCGCGCTTCCAGGGCGGGCTGGCCCCACGGTATCTCTCTGCTCTGGCGCTGCGGTGGGGAGGCTCATGTCCGCTCCCTTTTTTTCAGATTCGCTTTTTCTGCACCCAGATGCATCTGCAGAAAAAGCCAGAAATGTCCTCGCTGTGGAAACCGTCTCTGGAGAGTTGGTGGGAGAACCCCCTGCCAGCCAGCCGGCCCCGGGACACGTGAACCCCATTAATTTCTCCTTGAAGCAGTGGGGCACTGAGCTCAAGTGAGTTTGAAAGCAGCTTATGGAGCGGAAGCGGATTGTCTCTGGCGAGACTGCCCGGCCTTAGCCGACACCACAGAGTTGTGAGGTTGTGCCAGTCACGTGGCTTGGCACAGCTCGAGAAGCCGAGGAGCACACCCTCTGTGCGCCATCTGTGCACCCACTGTGCTCTTGGTGTGCACCTACTGTGTGCCCTCTGTGTTCTTGGTTTGCGACTACTGTGTGCCTGCTGTGTTCCTGGTGTGCACCCGCTGCGTGCCCTCTATGTGCACACCCTCACACACTCACGTCCAGCCTTGTGCACACAGGGGCCACGCCAGGAAGTCCTTGTTCATGGGGGGCTGTGCTTCCTTTGAGGGGACACCTTGGTGAGACGTGACTCACATGCAGGCTGCTCGTTTGAAACACGCAGCTTGGAGGGCAGCACGTCCACTCCCACTTACCATGGCCACCAGTGTCCCTGCCCTAAGGAGGCCACCAGGCCTCGCAAGCCCTCCTCCCAGGTGGACTTTGGGGTTGTTTCCGTGTCATAAGTCAGTGGGTCCAGTGCTGTGTGGACTCCCCAAGAGGCCCATAGGTCTGAATGGGGGTGTCGCCTGGAAATGGCCCCCCGGCCGCTCCTCGCTCCTGTGCTGAGGCCACAGCGCTCCTGGCAAACCTGCTGGGTGCAGAGGGCCTTGTAAGGAAGCGTGGGGAGCCTGGGGTGAGCGAGGCCGGGGAGCAGGATGCGGTGAGGGGCGGGGGCTCAGCGCACGTGCAGCTCCTTTGCAGTGAAGCTGGGGGGGTGGGGTGATGAGATGGGCCCGTGGGTGCACGTGGCCACAAACCCCGGCCTGCTGAGTATAGCTGCCCGGGGGCCAGGCCCGCGAGTTTCCTGCCACTGCTAAGTGGTCCCGCCCGCAGGCTGGCTTTCCCACCGTCCACCACCCGCCAGGGCCCCTGGGGCAGGAGTCACCCACGCCTCCTGCGGGCCAGGCCAGGCGTGGGCGTGGGGCAGGGGTGTGTGGGGGTGGGGCCTATGGGGGACAGGCAGGGTCAGGGCGTGCAGGGGGTGGAGCCATTGGGGGACCCCTGCTCATGCCGTGCCCCTCTCCCCAGGCTGGTGAGCAAGCCCAGGGGTGCTGTCCAGGGCTCTGCCTCGCCCCTGTGCTGTGGGCTGCTGGGCATCTGGGGGCGGTGCCAGCTCCTGGTCCCACCAGCAGTGGGGGTCCCGGTTTCCCCACCACTGCCCCTTTGGTGGACACAGCAGGTGTTGGGGGTGCTCGCCAGTCTTACATGGGTGACGCCATGACGTTAGTTTTGCTCCACGACTTAAAAAGCGCCGTCCCTTCTCGCGGCAGAAACTCCATGTCCTCGTTCCGCGTCGGGTGGGGGCACGGCGAGCGCCGGAGGAGCGTGTTCTACACCAGCGAGGAGTGGGAGCTCCTGGACCCCAGCCCGCGGGAGCTGGAGGAGTCGGCGCAGGAGGAGCGGCGGCAGCAGAGTCCTGAGGAGAGCAGAGGTGGGCGCGGCCGCCCGCTCTGCGCGGTCCGGGTTTGGGCTGCCTCATGCTGACCCAGTGGGGGCGGCGGAGTTTTGGGGCCTGCCAGGAGGGTTTCCGGGGGCTCTACCTTCCATGCTGGGAGAGGCCCCCACCTGGCTTGGGCCCACCTGTGCGGGTGAGGGGTGTGAACAAGGCCGCCTGTCCTGGGCTGCAGCGACTGCACTCCCTCGAGGGGGCTTTGGGCCTGAGGATGCCCCTGACTAGCCACCAGGATGGGGCAGCGCCCAGAAAGGACGATGGAGGGGGGGGGACGCGCAGACAGGGTGCTCAGGCGGGGGCGCTGCTGAGCCCGGGAGGTGGGGGGGTGCACGCGGGAGGAACACCCTGCCTGCGCCAAGAAGCACCTTTGACTTCCGCAGGAGGCGCCGGCTCGGGCATCGCCTTCGACCAGGGCCGCATCTCCCACAAAGGAAAGCGCCCGCTGAAAGACATCATCGGTGCCTACCGGCACCGGAGCAGCAGCGGGGACCCCGCAGCCGAGGGGGCCCCGGGTGGCAGGCTGGGCCCCGACCCGCAGCTCCCGGCCCAGGCCCAGCAGGAGGAGCTGGAGCAGCTGAGGAAGGACCTGTCCAGCCAGAAGGTAGCTGCCGCGCCCGCCCTCTCGGCCCAGCCCTACCCCTGCCCCCGAGGCCACCGACCCGGGCTTGGGCCCCCCCCAGCCCACCTCACCCCTGCTGAGCGCCCAGGGCTCGGGGCTCCCCATCTGGCGGCGCTGACCACAGGCCACGCCCCCTCCCGCTTCTGCCGTGGCCGCCGCTGGGGCGAATGTCCTTCTCCAATCAGGGGAAGCCCGGCGCGGCTCCGGTGAGGGGTAAAGGGCCTGTGAGCCCCGGCCGCCTGCCCACCCCAGCCTCCCTGTTCTGTCCGCTCCTGCCCCGCCCCGCCCCACCCATCCTGCTCCCTGTTCCCCCCCCTCCCCCCAACCCTCCCCCTCCCCCCGCCCCCCCAGGAGCTGGTGCGGCTGCTGCAGCAGACCGTGCGGTCCTCCCAGTATGACAAGTACTTCGCAAGCAGCCGGCTCTGCGCGGGGGTCCCGGAGGACACGCTGGAGCTGCTGCACCAGAAGGATGAGCACATCCTGGGCTTGGCGGGCCAGCTGGAGCGGCTCTGCCTGGAGAGAGACCGCCTCCAGGAGGAGGCGCAGGCCCTGAAGAGCAAGGCGGGCGAGCTGGGCCAGCAGCTGGCCATGCTGCTGGAGACTGTGCAGGCCAAGGACGAGGTCATCGTCAAGCTGTCGCGTCAGCTCAGCGAGAGCCCCCCCGGTGCGGACCCCAGCTCCCCGACTGGCGCAGACCCCCTGGAGCTGGACCGGCTGAAGGTGAGCAGCTGCGGCCGTGCCGGCGGGGCGTGGGGGTGTCTTCCGTCCATTGCGGGGCGGGCGGCTGCTGTGGCGGCGGCCCGATCGCCCTGAGTCATTTCTCCGCCGACCGGGCTTGGAGGCGGCCCAGCTGGCAGCCCGGCGAGCCCAGTGGTTGGACCCGCTGCTTCCCGCTGACTGCCTGCGGCCAGCCCCAGCGCTGAGCCAGGAGCCCAGAGAGCGGGCGCCAGGCGGAGGGGCCACTGGCCCCCTGGGGTGCTGGCTGCAGGTGCCCCTGGCCCACGCCACGGTGCTTGGCGGCGGGAACGCGTGGCCCCGAGGCCCCAGGTGTGAGGCGGTGCCTGCGCCTGTGTCTCCTGAGGCCGTGGGAGCCCCTGGGGCACGCTGCTCCTTCGCTGCCTTAAGCGGCGTCCCTGAGGCACGACGCCCTTGTCACCCACTCACAGGCCTTCTGGCCGTGAGTCCTCAGCTCACAGCTCTTCCTCCTGCGCCCCCGCCTGCCATTGGGCCAGGTGTCCAGCAGCAGGGTCGATGCCCCCGTCTGGCCACACGGCATCATCTGGGAAGCAGAGACGGGGAATGAGCCTGGGCCCGCAGCGCTCAGGCAGGGAGGTTGCCGGGCTCAGAAGGCACCCGCAGTGGGCAGGTCCACTGGGCCGCAGAGCTCTGCCGACGCCCGCTCGGACCTGCCCGTGTGGTCTGCGAGCTGACCACACGCCGTGTCAGGCCAGGGCTCTCACCTGGACACGCGCCGGCCCGGGACCTGGCCGGTCCTCACTGCTGCTCTCAGCGCCTCAGCCCGGACAAGGTCCTCCCGGTGGCCCGTTAGGTCCCGGCTGGAAACACAGAGGACACCCACGTGTCCCTGCCCCTCACGTCCGTCTGTCCAAACCGGCAGCCCCTGTCCATCGTGATCAGCTGGCCTCTCGCTCTTTTCCGCTGCCCAAGCTGCCCTGTCCCGTGGTCGCTGCCTGCTGGGGCGGGCGAGGCCATGCTCTGGGGGAGGGGGCCCCACGATTCAGGGGAAGGGCGGCAGGGAGCCCCTTTGGCATCTGAGGTCTTGTCGTGAGGGTGTCTCCTGCAGCGCAGGTCGGGGCGTGGCCTCTGCGGGGCCTTGGGTGCTGGCGGGGGGTTCCCAATCTTCCTGGGGCTGCTGGGGGTGCTCAGCGTCCCGAGCTGCCTGAGGCCAGACCCTGGGGCAGGCCGGAGCCAGGGGCATGTCCGGCCGGGCTGAGTGGGAAATGCCAGGCAGGGGCCTACGGGGGTCTAGGGGGCTGCCCCCTTAGAAGTGGCGCAGACGTGGCGCAAGCCATGGAGTGGGCTGACTGACACTCGAGGCGCTTCTCCCATCTCTTCTGTAAGTTTGAAATTCCCAGTGTGGGACGCCCGAGAGCGAGAGCGAGCTTTCCCCGCCGGTGCCGGCCCTCGGCCCTCGCGGACGCTAGGCCGGGCCGCGTGGTTGGGCCCCGGGGCGGCCTCCAGGTGGGGCCCCTGGGCCGCAGTCGCTGTGGGAACCGACGGGGTGTTTTCCCCAATAGGATAATCTGCAGGGGTACAAAACCCAAAATAAATTTCTGAATAAGGAGATCTTGGAGCTGTCGGCTCTACGCCGAAACGCGGAGCAGAGAGAGAGGGACTTGGCAGCAAAGGTGGGTGCATGGGCTTGGCCCGGCGGGTGCGAGGCTCAAGCCGCAGGCAGGGACGGATGCGGCCCGCGGGACGGACACCGGGCTCTGACGCACGCAGCCTCCTCTGTCCTGCTGCTTGTGGGGGCAGAGCGGGGGCAGAGTGGGATCCCCGGCCACCTCAGGTCTCCCAGCTCCAGCCAAGTGCTGCCCACGCCCCTCTGCTCCCACACTGAGTGGCCTCCCGAGAGGCAGATGGGCCTGACCCCTTCAAGCTTCCTGGGGAGCTGCGTGGGCTGCCTGACCTCTGGGGTGGCCCGTGGCCGCCTGTGGCGCCCTGGAAGGGGCCCGTGCTGGCTGGCCCAGGGTGTGTCCCTCCAAGCGCGGGAGGGGCCTGTCCACCAAGGAGCCCAGCTGACCGCTGGCTCTGCAGTATTGCAGCCTGGAGGCCAAGCTCTGCCAGATAGAGAGCAAGTACCTGATCCTGCTCCAAGAGCTGAAGACGCCGGTGTGCTCGGAGGAGCCGGGCCCCGCCCGGGAGGCCATCGCCCGGCTGCTGGAGGATGCCCTGCAGGTGGAGGGCCCCGAGCTGCTGGAGCAGGCGCCGCTGAGGCCGCACCTCGTCAGGTAATGCCAGGCGGTGCCTGCCATGGCTGGAGCATCAAACAGGGGCTGTGGGGTCAGAGCACAGGGCACGCTCCAGACCGCGGCCTGGGGGCCTTGCTCACGGCTGCGCATGGACATCATGAGGCCCGTCCCATGGGTCCCTGGGGTGCAGAGACGCTGCCCCGAGCCCCCGCCGAGCGTGCTGCTCTGTGAGGAAATCCACACAGCGGGCTGGACCCCTTTCTCTGGGCAGGACCTGCTGGTCACGGCCTGTGGCCTAGAGGCTGCTCTGTGTTGCCTCCCCCTGCTGCTGAGTAAGGGTGTGGACCCCGCTCTCAGCCCAGCAACAACCCCACCCCCAGCTTTCTCTGCGCCCTTTCACCCAGGAACGCTGCATTTTGTGAGCGAGATGGTGTGTGGGGCGCGCACAGACGCCCCGTGGAGCTGGGCTGGGGCTGGGGCGGCGCAGGGGTGGGTCTGGCCTCCGGGGCCGCAGGGCGCGCTGCGGCGGGGGCGGGCCTTCTCTGCTTCGCTGGCTTTGGCCTTGGCACACCTTTCCTCGCTTCTCTCCCAGCGAGTACGACATCCACGGGTTCCGGACCGTGCCGGAGGACGATGAGGAGGAGCGGCTGGTGGCGAAGGTGCGCGCCCTGGACCTGAAGACCCTCCACCTGGCGGAGAGCCAGGAGGTGTCCACGGGGGTCAAGTGGGAGAACTACCTGGCGAGCACAGTGAACCGGGAGCTGGCCCGCGGCCCCGAGCTCAAGAGCCTGATCCGCGCGGGCATCCCGCACCAGCACCGCTCGCGCCTGTGGAAGTGGTGCGTGGACCTGCACACCCGCAAGTTCCGCGAGGGCGCCCCGCCCGGCTACTTCCAGGCCATGCTGCGGCAGGCGCTGGAGCGGCCGAACCCAGCCTCCAAGCAGATCGAGCTGGACCTGCTGCGCACACTGCCCAGCAACAAGCACTACCGCTGCCCCACCTCGGAGGGCGTGCAGAAGCTGCGCAACGTGCTGCTGGCCTTCTCCTGGCGCAATCCCGACATCGGCTACTGCCAGGGCCTCAACCGGTGGGTCCCCGCGGGGCGGGGCGGGCGCGGGTGGAGAGGACTCGGGGGCGGGATGGGCGGGTGGGGCTAGGGGGTAGGCGCAGACCGGGCGGGCGGCGGGGGGAGCGCAGGCTGTCATGAGTGCTGCGCTATTGGGGTGAGACTGCAGAGCACGGGGGCTGGTGCCCTCCTGCTGGCCGGGAATGGACGTTTGGCACCATTTATGGGGGTGGCCCCCCAGATGGCAGGCTATGGCCTCTGAGTGACAGGTGTGCCGGGGGAAGGGTTGGGTGAGCACTGAGGACACTGAAGCTGGGGAGTCCCAGGGTGCTGCGCCTTTGGCAGGTGCTGAGCTGCAGGCTGGGGCCATGTGGCAGGCTGCCCGTGTGTCCCGCCGTCCGGCATCGTGCCCCACAGGCAACTTCCAGACCAGGGCGTTTCTCTCCGGGCCCTCTGGCGCACCTCCTGGGCTGCCCCCCGTCCAGAACTGAGGCCTGGGGAAGGTGCAGCCCAGAGCCTGCCCCGAGGCCCAGCCCAGTGACTGTCCTGCACTCCCTCCTTTCTGCCCCGGCCCTGCTGCCTGCCTGCGTAGCCCCTTCCCGGTGCAGGTCTCTCTCTAGCCTCTCATCTGAGATGAGTGTTCCTAATCTTACCCCAGGAAGGACGACTCCAAAGCCAGACCCTGAGCTGCGGCAGCTGTGGGTTTCCCTGCGTGGCTCCCGGCAGCCGTCCTGGCCCGGGACAGCCTGGGCTGTCTGCTTGTTCTTTCCCTCCTGCCTGGTGTGGGCCGGGTGTGCACAGGGCGGGTAGGGGGTGCTCACAGGGGGTGAGTGGGTAGGGTTCGGGGGCCGGGGAGCAAGCAGGCCAGGGGTGCGAGGTGCTGGTGGGGGCTGGGGGGCGGGCAGAGGTGCTTTGACGCTGGCACACCCCGGGCTCCTGCCCCTGGAGGGCTTAGTGGGAGCTGCTTGCAGTGATCCCGCCCAGGCGTGTCCTGAGGACCTGGCTCTGAAGTGGGGCTGGGGCCGCGGGAGCCCCGGGGTGGGGAGCCGTGCTGCTGCTCAAGCTGAAAGGAGGTGCATCCCCTCGAGGACAGCCGTGACCAGAGGGGCGGTGGCACCTGTGTGTCTCAGAGACTGAGTACCCATCTGGGAGGGTGCTGTGCCCCTGGGGGCGCTGTGGGGGTGGGCACCATGAGGGGGCACCGTTAGGCAGAGTGTGTGGGTCGGGGGGGCCGCAGGGCATGGGTGCTGTGCGCCAGCCTCACCCCTGTCTGTGCACATAGGCTGGCAGCAGTGGCGCTGCTGTACCTGGAGCAGGAGGACGCCTTCTGGTGCCTGGTGGCCATCGTGGAGGTCTTCCTGCCCCGCGACTACTACACCAAGACGCTGCTGGGCTCCCAGGTGTGCGGGCGGGCGCTGTTGGGGCAGGGGTGCAAGCTAGCCGTGGTCGGCCCCTGCCGAAGCTCACAGCAGACTGGGTGCCCTAAGACCCGGGCCAGGCCCTCCAGGGACCAGCCCCTTCGGCCTCCTGAGGGGTGGCGGCAAGCCTGTCCCCGCCCCCGTGGCTGGACGCGGATGGGGGTGCTCCTGGCTCCCCTGCACTGCTCAACTCGCCCTCCTGGGCTCAGGGTCCCAAAACGCAGGTCCCAGTGCCTGGACTTGGGGAGCAGTGGGTAGGGCTGGGGTTAAAGGCAGGGCCCAGCGGGGGTGGGAGGGCGGGGCCAGCAAGCAAGGCCTAGTATCCTGCGGGGGGCGCAGGCTGGGGCGTCTCCCGGGCCTCACCCACGCCCCCTTCCGCCGTGGCAGGTGGACCAGCGCGTGTTCCGGGACCTGATGAGCGAGAAGCTGCCACGGCTGCACGCGCACCTGGAGCAGCACCAGGTGGACTACACGCTCATCACCTTCAACTGGTTCCTGGTGGTCTTTGTGGACAGCGTGGTCAGCGACGTTCTCTTCCGGATCTGGGACTCCTTCCTGTACGAGGGCCCGAAGGTGGGGCGCGGGGTGGGGGGGGTGCTGGGCGTCTGGGCGGGGCGTGTGCACTGGGGTCCGGCGGGCGCGGCCCCTCGCCAGCAGTGCTACCCTGAGCACATGCGCGGCTGAGGTTCCTGGCCCCGGGCGGGCGCCATCAGTGGCCTCGTGGCTGGCGGAGCCGTCTGGGAACGGAAGGGGCTGCTTCTGGTGTCCTGGCTGCTGCTCTCGGCTGGGCCGGGTCCTCCTCGGGCCACACATGTGCCTGCACGCGGGCCCACCTTGGCGGCAGCTGTGCGCGGCTCCTTCCTGGACGCTGCACGTGAGCCAAGGTCTCGGCAGGGTCCGGGTGGCTGCCAGCCTCCCCGCGTGGGCAGCTGCGTTACAGTCCCAGCTGGCGTGGCAGGTGCTCCAGCAGAGCCCACCTGCCTCTGGCAGCGCCACACGGGTGGGGCACATCTGTCCACGGTCTGCAGGGGACCGTCATGCAGGACCGTCCTCGCCAGCTCAGCCGGCGTCCCCTGTCAGCCGCGGCAGGGAGCTCGAGGGGGTCTGTGTGGGCACGGCTTTCCCAACGAGAGGCGGGCGCCTGCCCAGAGCCGCCGGGGACACCCAGCCACGGAAGCTTGGCCCCTCGCGGCCATGGTATAATCCTTAGTTCTCTACTTGTGCCGAAAGGACGCGTCTGGGCCGTGTTTACGGCCTGCGTCTGGTTCCGGAAGCCCCAGGGCCCGCACTTGCTGCTGAAGGGGGCGCGGGCGCGGACGCTGGGTCTGGCCGCAGAGCGCGTCCTCCGGGAGCGGGAGGGTCCTGTGTGTGGAGGGCTCCTTTCCGACTGGCTTCGAGCCCGCCTCTCCCCGGCCTGGCCACAGGTCATCTTCCGCTTCGCCCTGGCCCTCTTCAAGTACAAGGAGGAGGAGGTGCTGAAGCTGCAGGACTCCATGTCCATATTCAAGTATCTCCGGTACTTCACGCGCACTGTCCTTGACGCTCGGTGAGTCCCGGCCCAGACCCCAGGCGGGGCCTGCCCTGGCCATCCCAGCGCCTGTCCAGGCCTGCGCAGCCGAGAGGACACGCCCTGTGGCCACCGACGTCTGACCCAGCAGCTAAGGCAGCCGGTCAGCCAGGCGGGGGCCTCGGAGCGAGACCTCTGCCGGCGAGGAGGGTGGCCGACGGGGCCTGCCCCTGCTGTGGCGGACCTGGAGGCCGGCGCAGGCCACGCTGGGGCAGGCGGTGGGGAGGGTGCCTGGGAGGGGCCTCCAGGGGCACAGCCAGGCCCAAGGGAGAGGCTCAGCAGGCGGGGTCTGTGGCCAGCAGGTTAGGCCAGAGAAGGGCGTGTTTGGTTGGACGGGACGGCACCGAGAGCGGGGGCCTAGCTGGGAGGGGCTCCAAGGATGGGGCAGAGCGAACCAGTGGAGGCTTTGAACTTAGAAGGCCCTGGTATTCCTGCCCAGGGCCAGCGGCCCCGCCCCGCTGCGGCCCCGCCCCCCCCCCCCCGCCCGCCTGTGGGGAGGCCGCTGCGGAGCTCGAAGCCCCTGCGCAGCTGGGTGGGCGCGTGCGCCCGCGTGAAGACCAGAGCCCTTGGCCCGAGGCGGGGCTCACGCGCGCGCCCCGCGCTTCTGGCTGCAACCTCGGTTGGACGCCCCTGCGCCTGTAGCCTGGGGAGCGGGCTCCTGGGGCACAGGCCCCCCCTCCGCTCAGGGAGAAGCAGGGGCCGAGGGAGGAGCGGGGTGTCACGGGGGGCGGGTGCTGTGGGGTGCCGAGGGAGCGGGATGGCGTGGAGCAGCTGTGGCCCCAGGGCCGCTGTAGGTGGGACGCGCGGGCCTCCCATACACCGCTGTTCAGGGCTCGCTGGGAGATGGGTCTCGCGGCCCGGGAACGCCCCGCGGGGCCAGCGCGCCTCAGTGGGCCTCGTGCGGGGCCGCCCCGCTGTCTACCTGCCCAAGCTGGGCCGGCTCCCCAGTGCACTAGGGTCAGGGTCCCTGGGGGTGTCGCTAATGCCCAGCCTGGCCGGGCCCCGTTTTTGGGAGCTCCCAGACTCATGGCGCCGGGGGTGCCGTTCTGGTAGCGCTCGCGCTAGGCCGTGTGGGAGCGGCGGGCAGGCTGGCCCTCCGCGGACCGCGGCCGCTGCACCGGCCTCAGCTGAGGGGCAGCTCGCTCCGTGCTGAGAGGGGCTGGGTCTGTGGAGGCCAGGTGGCCCCCAGAGCGCCCGCCCCGCATCAGCAGCGGCTTCTGCCAAAGCAGTGACACCCCCACCCTCCGCTGAGCCGGGCACCAGGCTGGGGGGCAGGCAGCCTCCGGGCCCCAGGGCGGGGCTCCTGTCCTGGCCCGACATGTGACCGCCTGCTGGGGCTAAGCCTGTGGCGGGGAGGGCGCCGTTGGCTGGTTTTATTTGCCCTATGGCCAGGCCCACGAGGGGCGCTGGGCACCAGCGGATGTCAGGCCGGGAGGACGTGGAGGGCAGGGCCCGGCCCTGAGCAGCTCCTCCCCGCAGGAAGCTCGTCAGCATCTCCTTTGGGGACCTGAACCCCTTCCCGCTGCGCCAGATCCGGAACCGGCGCGCATACCACCTGGAGCGGGTGCGGCTGGAGCTGACGGAGCTGGAGGCCATCCGCGAGGACTTCCTGCGGGAGCGCGACGCCAGCCCCGACAAGGGCGAGTTGGGGAGTGACGAGGAGGACGCTTAGTGCCCGCCGGCCGCGGGGCGCTGGCTCCTGCCTGCGTGCCAGGGGCCTTGGCCCTAAGACTCCCGAGCGTTTCCTGCCCCGAGTGGCGGCTGGATCCCCAGGAGGCCCCGTGCACCGTGGCTGTGAGCAGGGGAGCCCCGGCCGGCAGGTCCTGCCCCACGCAGTCAGAAAGTCTCCAAGGGCATCCCCGGGGCTGAGCCACCCCTGCTAGGACTTGCTGGTTCGTGGCTTTGCGGGTGCAGCTGGCGAGGCCTCCGCGGCTCCTGGGTCCCGCCCGGGTCTGCAGAGCAGCCTCACCTCCAGGCCTGGTCCAGGGACACAGTGTCGGCTGCTTGCAGAGCGGGAGGCCCCTGGGCTGGGCCAGGGCTGTGAGGCCTGTTGGGCCTGTCCCCTAGGCTGCCTGTGCGCGGGGTCGCTGGCCAGGGGCTTTCGTTGACCACTGCCGCCTGCAGTGTGAATTCTGGCCAAGGCGCAGGCAGGGTGGTCACTCCGGAGCAGCCCCTGCAGGTCTGTGAGCTGCTGGCCGAGTCCCCATCGTGCGGACTGGGCTGGTCTCCTCCGGTGTCAACAGTGTGTGATCATTACCTTTTGGGGGGCAGCTTCTGGAGGCTCTTCCAGAAGCCGGGCGGGAGGGGATGGGTGAGGGTTGGGCTCTGGGGTCATGCAGCCAACCCGCCCGTCCTGGGCGCAAACCCGCCATTGCTCCTGGGAGGGCGGCCTGGAAGCAGCTGGACTGCGGCCCTGCCCGGGCACCCGAGCTGCTGCCTTTGCAGGGGGTTTGAGAAACCGGGGCCGGGGGGTGGGAGCTGAGACCATTTGGTGTGAATCGCTGGCGAAGGCCCCCCACGTGCGCCCCCACCACCCCCGGCGGACCCACAGTGGCCTGAGGCCGGGCCCGCTGGGAGCCTCTAAGACCTGACCTGGCGGGGTTTGTTCTACGGGCCGAACGTCTGTTAATACTTCTGTATATTTTCACTACAGTTTATATTTTTATAGGCTATTTTTATGGAAGTGTTTCTGGATTTTCTACATCTGTTTTGTATGGCGCGTGCCCCCACCTGTGCGTCTGCCACCCCTGCCCACCCCCTGCCCACCCCCTGCCTTCAGTGGGCGCCCCAGCGGCCGGCGCCCACCAGGGCGAGGGGAGTCCCGCGGCCCCTCCCCACGCGGCCCTGCTGCCGGCCGGGACCCGCTGGTAGGACCGGGTGCCCCGCGCCCCCCTTCTCCTGACTGCAGCTTCCGTGCTGACCTTCGAGTTAAACGTTGGAAAATGACTAAACGCCTAAAGCAGAATAAACAACTAATTTGTATAAAGTTCCGACTGGAGACACGTCAGCCCTGGGGACCCGCCCAGTGCCCACGGGGCGGGTACATCCCACTGCCCTTGGGCCTGGGCGGGGACGTCCTGGACAAGGACGATGCTGGGGCTCCAGGGGTGCTCCCAAGCCCACCTCGCCATCCAGCCCCGCACAGGCCAAGCTGCCGCTGCAGGGTGCGAGGGCAGCCCTACGGCGGCGTCTGAGGACCTAGGGGCCTGGGTTGTGCAGGGGGCACCGAGGCTCAGCAGGGCCTGCAGAGGTCGTCCCCCTCCCACATGGTCGTCCTGCCTTTTCATGGAGCAGGCGGTTTGCCTGGAGCCAGCACCCGCGGGCAGCCCCTCCCGCAGCCCTGCCTGAGTCATCTCCCCCTGACAGCCCCGGGGGTGGCCGAGCCCCCAGGCCGGGCGAGATGACTTGCTGTCTGCGGGGCAACGCCTGCGGGTCTCCCGGGCCCACTGCGATGGACTGGGCTTCCTGAGCCTCGTGGGGGGCCAGCAGGCAGGGGACACCAGCAGGTGGGCAGGCCCCGGCCTGGGCTCCCTGCCCGGAGGAGGTGGAGAGCAGCGCTCCCCAGCCTTGGCTTCGTAGGCAGGCCCAGGACTGTGGGCACGGCCGCCGCCAGGCCGTGGTCTGGACTCCTCTGCCCTGCCGGCAGCAGGGTGCCGAAGGCCGCACCGGAGGGGCCTGAGGAGGGCGGCCATGTGCTACTTACCCGGCCGCCCAGGCCCTTCCCACGGAGGGGACGAGGAAGACCACCCTGTGCCACCCCTGGGTGTGTCTGGCTCACAGGACCAGAGGGAAGGGACAGTCGGACTGTGGCCAGCGCTGGGCCATCGGTCAGCATGGCGGCCTCCGGCCAGGGGCTGTCCCCCAGCACAGGGACAGACTGGCTGGGGGGTGAGGCTGGGGGGGCCGCTTTGTCACCCCCAGGGTCACAGCCTCACTCATGCATATGACAAGGACGATGCTGGGGCTCCAGGGGTGCGCCCAAGCCCACCCTCGCCATCCAGCCCCGCACAGGCCAAGCTGCCGCTGCAGGGTGCGAGGGCAGCCCTACGGCGGCGTCTGAGGACCTAGGGGCCTGGGTTGTGCAGGGGGCACCGAGGCTCAGCAGGGCCTGCAGAGGTTGTCCTGCCCTCATGCCACCCCCGCAGCCCACCCTCGTGACCCCCAAATCCAAGGAGCCGAGGCACACTTTGCAAGGTAGATCATGTTTACACGTGCCGCGGCGACGTGCTTCACGGGGGGAGGGGTGGCGGCTGCGGAGGGAAAGCACCATCTGGGCCAGGGCCGGCTCCCTGCGGTGTGCTGGGCACCCAGGCCCATGCGCGATCAGTCTGTGCGGGCGTGGGGGCAGGGTCCGTGGCGGGCGGGGCGCCCTGGCCAGGCGGGGGCAGGAGCGGCAGCACTGGGCGCGGATGGTGGGCAGCTGGCAGCGGCCCAGCAGGCGCAGCATCTCGCAGAAGCCGAAGGCCAAGCGGTCCCGCTCGCAGTCTGGCGGGCAGGTGGGGGTCAGGGCTGGGCCGGGCACGGAAGGGCCCCGCCCCGTGCCCTGGGGTTCCCTCGGGCTGTGGTCCTGGGAGCACCGGCAGCTACCGCCAGGCCCGACTGGCTCTGCAAGCTCCCTGGCCTGCCCCGGCCAGCCTGCCAGGACTGCCAGAGGAGGCCCGAGGCCACAGCAACCGCCCCGCCACCCCACGCAGGCTGCATCCCAGGTCAGGATGAGGTCGGGGCTGAGCCGGGCGGCAGAGCCTGTGGGGCCTGTCTGGGCGGCAGGCGCGCTATGTCCTGGTCAGCTGTACTAGGCAGTGGCTGGCTCCCAGCCTCCTGGCCTCGGCCTCTGTGCCCGCAACTCCCCTCACTGGGCCCTGTGAGGGTGGGCGTGGGGGACAGCCGCAGCCCCCCCACCAGCTCTGGGTGGCAGACCCTCCCCCACGCTGGGCCCGCGACCTCGCTGGCCCCAGCCCCTCAAAGGCCAGGGCACAGTATCCACTGCCCGCTGCCCGCAGGGCCAGTACAGGGTCCTAGATGTCCCGCCACAAACCACCCACACACCCAGAGACGCCAGGCCTCAGAGTCTGAGCCCCCCACTGCCACCGCGATCCCCACCCAGCGCCGACCCCACCCTTTCCCCACCTGGCCCCGAGTGAGGCCAGCCAGGGCCGCGGGGCGACAGGCCCCACGGGGTGTGGCGGCAGCAGCCAAGAGACGCCTGCGGAGGCCGAAGCCGTGCCTGCTCGTGGCTGCCAAGGGCCAGCACGGGGAGGCGGGCAGTACAAGGCCAAACCCCAGGCTGGGCGTGTGAGGCAGGCGCTCTGCGGCTGGGGGCTCCGCAGAGAGATGGGCCAGGAGGGCAGCCCCGCCCCCCAGGGTTGGGGGCAGTGGATGTGCGGGAGGCAGAGGCCGGAGGGGGCAGGCGCCGAGGCTGCACAGCTGCGGGGCCAAGTGAGGCCAGCGGCTTGCCCCGCGGGCTGCGGAAGCACCCCTGTGTGCACACGTGCCCCGTGCGTGAGTGGCCGCCTCTGGCTGGGCCCCTCCCCGCCAGGACCCCGGGGCCAGGCCTCGGGCGCTCCAGCCGGATGGACACAGCTCGTCGGAGACAGGCCTGGCCTCGTTGGGGCACCGAAGGGAAAAAGCTTGCTCGAACCCACGTGGCAACTTGGGGGCCGGGTGCTGCCTTGCGGCAGAGCCCCAAGGCCTGCGGGGGCCCGTTGGCTCTGAACTGGTGCATCCTGTGCTGATAACCAGCCCACGGGGCTGTGGGCAACCCCCACTCCCCACTGGCTGCTGCCTCCCCTCCCCCAGCGGGGCGGGCACTCACGGGCAGGCGCAGGGGGCTGGCAGTCCTGGGTTCCACATGGCCGCGCACTATCCGGCCCGGCCTCGTGGCCGCACTGGCCGCTGTCCTCCTCGGGCAGCCCCGTCTGGGAGTTGATACAACTGACCAGGCGCCGCTGGACACCACCGCCGCAGGCAGTTGAGCACTGTGGGAAGTGGGGTGAGTGTCCCGTCTGTCCCTGCGCCAGGGAGTGGGCACCCAGACTCCAGAGAGCCACCCCCACCCGCTGCCCCACTCGGTGCCCTGAGGGTCCGTACCAACCCCAGCTCTTGGGGGCCGAGCAGAGGGCCTGAGGGGAGCAGGACAGGCGGAGGGGGAGGCCCCCTGGCCGGGCTGGTGTGCTCAGAAACACCCCAAGGGAGCTCTTCCCGTGCTCCTTCACCTAGCCCTGCCCCCAGCCCCGCCAGCAGTGGGGACAGCGGAGCCATGCCCGCCTCAGGACTGCCCGCGGGACTGACCCCTCCAGGCCCCGTCCCGGGCCTTGCACAGTCTGGGGGGTCATGGCCGCCCTGGGGCTGCAGGGAACCCCCAGGAGCCGCGCTCACCTGGCCCCAGGGCCCCACCACCCACTGGGCGCAGGGCTGGGTGTTGCAGGGCCTCGTGCCGTTGGGCCGCAGCGCCTCCTCGCAGAGCCCGGGCTCCGGGCAGGTCACCAGCCGCTGCTGCTCGCCGCCGCCACAGGCCTCAGAGCACTGGAGGGGGCAGGGTCAGGCCGGCCAGGGCAGGGCCCCCAGCCCGTCCCACCTGGACCCCAGGCTCACCTCCCTCCAGGCAGAGGTGTACCAGCCGAGGCAGGGCTGGGCCCCGCAGGGCCGGCGGGTCGGGGGCTGGGCAGGCCCCGGCTGGCAGTGGAAGGGCCGCAGAGGCCGGAGGTCACGCGTGTCCACGCACTGCACGTCCCGCACGGAGAAGCCTCCCCCGCAGCTGCGGGAGCACTGGCCAGAGACGCGCATGCGCGTGGGCCCCGGAGCACAGGCTGCCTCGCCCGCCTGCCCCCACTCCCCTGCAGGGCCCGGGCCACCGGAGCGCAGAGGGGCGAGGGCCACCGCGCTGGGAAGCAGAGTTAGGGTGCCTCGGGGGGGGGCAGGCACAAGGGCAGGGCAAGCTGGCAGGGCCCACGCACCTTGCTCCAGCTGCCCGCCAGCCAGGTGGCGCAGGGCCGCAGGTGGCAGCGGCGGGCAGGCTGGGGGCGGCTGGCAGGGGTGCAGTCTTCCTCCCGGCCGGAGCTGCAGCGCACGGGCCTCCAGGCGGCGCCCAGGCCGCAGGTGGTGGAGCACTGGGGGGCAGGGGGCTGTGAGGCTGGTGGCCTCCGGGAGACTGGGGGGCATTGCCGCCCTGCCCTGGGGGCCACAGCAGGCCCCCCCACCGCCCGCCAGGCCCGTGGCTCCCAGACGGTCGGAGGACGTCTCTTCACGGCCGCCCCCCAAGTTGGGTTGAACAGCCCATTTCTCCCACCCAGACGAGCTGGGGAGCTCCTGCGTCAGGACCCCGTGCTGTCTGGGCGTGCGCCTGGCCCTGAGCGAGCTGCCCGCATGCCCACACGGCTCCAGGGACACAGGCAGGGGGCTCCACCCAGTCTCGCCAAGAGGACACCGAGGCCAACGGGCACTGGGTGACCGCGCAGCTGCAGTGTTCCGAGTCCTGACCAGAACCCCCTAACCCTGCACCCCACTCCCAGGAGGCAGGACACACAGGCTGGTCTCTGTACTCACCTGTGCTGGGGGGGACGGTCTGTGGCCCTGCTCAGGCCCCCCGCCACCCCACGGGCATCCCACCCACCAGCGCCCCCCACACTTGCCTCACTCCAGTTGCCAACTTCCCAGCTGGCGTTCCCGGCAGGCGGCAGGCCGGTGGAGGGCTCCCCCTCAGCCAGGACGGGGGCCCAAGGCCAGGCCTCGGGGGCTCTGCTGCTGTGGGCCGGATGAGGATAAGCAGGGTGGGCAGCGGCACGGAGCCGGGGGACGCTGCGGGGCCCCAAGGCCCCGGGCTCCGGGTGGCCGCCAGAGGTGGGCGCACAGTGCCAGCCGGGAGGAGAGGCCCTGGCGCCCCCGGGGTCCACAGGCCGGGAGGGTCAGCTGGCAGAGTGGTGGTGGGGGAGGGGGTAGCACCCCCCACGGGGGGCTGCAGTTCACGCTCCAGCGGCCCCCAAGGTACAGCCCCGGGAGTCCCCGGCTCCACTGGGTCAAGCCTGGGGGTTGAGGGAGCCGCGCCCCTGGAAAACAGCGGGGCTGTGGGGCTGGGCCTTGGGGGCAGGGGCGACACGCCGGGGCCGGGGGCTTCCTCCTCATCCTCAGAAACCTCGTTGGTCTCCTCCCACCGGGGAGCGGGAGGGCCGCTCTCGCGGCCCTCGGCCCCCCGGAACGCAGAGTGGGTCCCGGGGCAGCAGGCAACTCCGTCCCGCCCTCAGAGGTGGGGGGCCGGAGCAAGCCGGGGAGCCCAAGGCCTGGGGCCCCTGTGGGGGCTCCCTGCTCAATTACAAAGGTCACAGAGTTCACCGGGGCTGGCTCCGGGGTCGGGAGTGGGGAGGGGTCAGGCTGGCGGGGCCGAGGGGCAGGGTACGTGCCCCGGGCCCCCTGGTCCTCGGTCCCTGGAGGCGCGCTGGCTGGCGCAGGCCTGCTGGGGGGCGGGGGCGTCTGGCCCCCCGTGCCCGCCTCGTCGGGGCTGGGCTGCCCGAGGGCCCCGTAGGACAGGTCCTCGTGGAAGGTGATGAAGTTGTAGTCGTAGTAGAAGTCGTCCACGAGCACGGGCCCCGGCAGGCCCGGCCGGGGGGCCTCGTCGATGGCATTGTCCTCGGGGGCCGGCGCGGGGGCCGGCGGGCGGGGGGGCGGCAGGCGGGGGATGAAGTCCACCTCGTTGAAGAGCTCGTGGCTGTAGGAGCCGCTGCCGGAGCCTTCGGGGCCCAGCACGCCCGGGACCCGCGGGCAGGGTGGCAGGGGGCAGGCGGCCTCACCGGCTGGCCGCTGGGCCTCCTCGCAGGGGACGCTGCTGTCGTTGGTGCAGAGCACGGTTCGGTGCCGAGTGCCTGCCCCGCAGGTGGCTGAGCACTGCGGGCACGGGAGGCTCAGGCCGGGAAGCTGAGTGGGCACCCTGCTCCCAACACGCCAGCGCCCCCACCTCACCCGCCCTGCCCTATCTGCCCCCCAAGACCGCGGTCCGTGGCAACACCTGGCCGGGGCAGCCCCCAGGTTCTGGGCAGGAGCAGGACCCGGGATGCCCCGTCTGGCCGGCCCCACCTCCCCGCATCCTTCCACCCCAACGCACCTGAGACCAGTTCCCCACGGCCCAGGTGGCCGGACAGGGCACGTGGTGGTTGCAGGGGGTCTCGGCGGGGGGTGGGGGCAGGTGCTGGCAGGCGGGCAGCTGCAGGGCGCGCTGTTCATGTGGGCCCACGCCGCGGACGCACAGCACGGCGCGCCGGGACAGGCCCCCAGGCCCGCAGGAGCGGGAGCATGGCTGCCACTCTCCAGCCCACCACCTGCGTCGGAGGGCGGGCACGTGGCGGGGGCGGCACCGGCTCTGGGTGCCCAGCCCGTGCCCCGCCACCCCGCCCTGGTCTGTCTGCGGGCGAGGACCGCAGATGAGGGAGCAGGCCCATCGGGCCAGCCAGAGGCGCCTGGGCCTGGGTCCGCCTGAGGGGCTGAGAACTGGTGCTGGGGCCATCAGCTGGTGGGGCGGGGGGTGGCCAGGTGGGGGTTCGGAGCAGCCAGGGCAGTGCCCGGCAGGCCCACCTGGCGGGGCAGGGCTCCTCGCTGCACTTCCGCTGGCGGTCCTCGGGCCGGCCCAGGGGGTCACAGTGCCCGTCGTCCACGGGGCCCGCCTGCTGACTCATGCAGTGGACGCTCTGCCTCTGTGTACCTGGGGGGCCACGTGCTCAGCCTGTGGGCACTGGAAGCCCTGCCCTCAGCACCGCCAGGCCCTCGCTGCCCAAAGCCCTCCACACTGCCTGCTGACCCTCCAGGTCCTCGGCTTCCGCCCCAGCTCAGGCTGAGTGGGCGGGACCAGCCCAGGCCTCCTCCCGGCGGAAGAGCTGCTCTGAGCCGGCCCAGCTGCTCTGAGCCTCAGCGTCGGCCCCTGCAACAGGGCACAGGTGGGCACAGGTGCTGACCGGCTGGGGCCTGCAAACCCCACCTCGCCACACCCACCTCGGCCCTGCTCAGACGGTGGGGGACAGACCCCAGCCGTGCTGCGGCCTCCCACCGCCAGAACTGCTTTTTGCTCAAGTCACGGTGGTTCCTGCTGGAAACCCCCTGCTGCAGTGAGGTGATGGGAACGTGGGCAGGGGCAGGGCACCCGGGACACAGAAGGGCAAAGGGACACGGACGCTGGGGTGGCAGGTGCCCGCCTCCCAGGAGGGGCTGGAAGTTGGGGCGCAGGCGGGACAGGCTCTGGGGGACCAGGCGGCCTGCTGCAGCAGGAGACGCAGCCCAGGGATTGCCGTCGGGCTCAGGGCGCCGTGAGCCGTCGTCCTCACCTGAGCCACAGGTGACCGTGCACGCGGTCCAGGGGCCAAAATGCCAGGAGAACACGGGCAGCTGGTCCTGGCCGGGCGCTGCGGCTGCCCTGTGGATGGTGTACTCGTAGCGCACGCCAGGGTTGCGCTCCTGGAACAGGAGCTGGGGGGCAGGGGCGTGAGCACAGGGGCCGGCCATCCCCCACCTGCCTCCGGGCTAAGCTGAGCCCGATGGGGAATCAGAGGCAGAAGGAAGTGACCACCCAGCACCCAGGTGCCCCCCACCCCCCGCGCCCCCGCACAGGTGGGCACCTGGATCCACACGGGCCGGAGAGTGGGGCCCCGGGACGTGAGGTTCTCCCAGTTGCCGGCGCGCCTGTAGGTGAAGGTGGCCCCCGCCACCAGGTAGTCCCCGGCCCACTGGATGGTCCAGCCGCCGTTGAGGAAGTGCTCCTCAGGGTCCTCGCCCCGCAGCGCCAGGAAGTTGGCGGCCTCGGCCACCTCCTCGATGCGGATGTCGCGGGCGCCCGCCGGGATCAGCGCCACATCCACGTAGCCTGCGGGCAGGGCGGGGTATGCACAGATGGCGGGGCGGCTGCCTCACCCCTGCCCACCGCAGCGTCAGCGTCCACCCCAGCTGCTGGCCAGCTGTGCCTTGTTCGCCCACCCCAGGGCGCCCCTCCTGGGGCCTCTGCCATTAAGGCTGCGCTGCCCCCCACCCCCATGGGACGGAGCAGACCCAGGCCCCAGGTTCTGCTGGGTCTGACCCAGCTTGCTCCGCCTGCCCTGCATTGCCCGGCCCAGGGCCCTGAGGGGTCAGGGGGCTCTGGGGGGCATGGCCTGCTCCTGGTCCAAGCCACCTGCGGCTCCCTGTGCTATCTCCAGCCCCTGGGGCACCATACCCAGCCCCTCGGCCTCCTGGAAGGTGGCTGTGACCGTGTGGCAGCTTGAGCCGTTCCCGCGGCACACGCCACAGCGGTCCTCCTCGGCCCCCGAGTCGATCTGGAAGTCACAGCCCACGCTCTGCAACACAGGGGGGCAGCGTGAGCCCTGCCCGCGCCGACGCACCCCGTGGGCCCCTCCCCGCCTTTCCTCAGCCCCGAGAGAGGGAGTCAGGCACCAGGTGGGCAGGAAGTGGGCCCCTGGTGCCCAGTGTGGACAACTGGTCCCAGGAAAAGGAGTCGGAACCCAGGATCCCCGCTGACTACCCTGAGCCAGGCCCCTGGGCCCTGGCCTCCGTCCCTGGAAACCCCGATAGCCTTGGACGCAGGCCATGGCTGCAGGGGTCAGGGTGGGGGAGCCGGAACTGCCTGCAGACCCCAGCTCCAGCGCCTCACTCAGCCCTGCTCCTGGACACACCCCGGGCAGGTCCAGACTGTGGGGTGGGGCACAGGCAGGGCTGGGGCTGTGAGGGGGCCAGGCCGGCCAAGGGCTTCACTGGCCTCGCTGGAAGGCCCAATGGCACAACTGAGGAGGTGGCCAGAGGGTCCAGGAGGGACACGGAGGCCCCGCCGCTCACCTTGCAGATGCCGTTGATGCAGAGGTCGCGGCTGGCCTGGCCCTGGTAGCAGGGCGTGCCGTCCACCACGGCGTCCCGCAGCTTCTCGGCGAAGTGCGTGCTGGTGGGCTGGCAGTGCAGCTCGCAGGGGTTTTCTGGGGCCGGGGGAGGGGCTGTGAGGGGGTGGGGCCCTGGCCCGGGCCCCAGCAGGGGTGTGTGCGGCGACGGGTGGGGCGGGCAGGGCCGCAGTGTCCCTGGGGGCGCTCACCGTCGTTGGCCACGGGCACCCACGTGTGCAGCTGGCCCTGGTACAGCATGGTGTCGAAGCGGCTGCACTGGACGTGGCGGAAGGAGGGGTGGCCGGGGGGGCAGGCCTGCAGGCTGCAGAGCCGGAAGCGCTTCCTCTCGCCCACGCAGTACCTGCCCTTGTACTTGGGCCTGGGGGACGGCGCCCCGAGACTGAGGTGGGGGGGCCAGGCGAAGCCACTCCCACGGGTGCTGGCAACCCCGGGGTGGGGGTGCCGGGCTCCCGGGACCCCACACACCCCACCCCCACAGCCCTCCCGAACGGGCGCGGGCACTCACGGGGGCTGCGTGCACTGCCGCTCCGCGCTCTGCACCCCTGCGCCGCAGCTCCGCGAGCACACGGACCAGGCGCTCCAGCCCGACCAGCCCCCGTCCACCGCCGCGGGCCGGAAGCCCACCGGGACGCACTCCCCGTTCAGACACCACTGCGGAGAGGGGGCCGCCCACAGTCAGTCACGCTGGCCGCCCCGACCGAGGAGGCCCCGCGGACACAGCACAGGCCCACGCCCCACCTTGCTCTCCCCACACCGGGTGCCGTCCACGGCGGCGTCCAGCTTGGAGTGGCAGGTGGTCCCCACGGAGCACCAGAGGGTGTGGCAGACATTCTGTGGGGAAAGACAGGCTCGCCCCTGGCACCATCCAAGGGTCCCGGTGCCCAGCTGGGACTGGCACGCAGGAGCCTTGTCCTCACTGTGCTGTGTGAGGGGTGCCAGGGCTGGGCCGGGCTCAGCTGACTGCTCCTGGGCCTCTGGCCACCCTCTACTCGCCTGCCCCGGCCACACCAGAGACCCCGGTACCGGGCACAGGGTCTCTGCAGCCCAGAGGCGACACTCAGGCCCCCTCCTGACCCTAGAGCCGGCAGGTGGGTTCAGACCAGGGGCCTGCCAGGCCTCTCCACAGGCCGCAGGGCATCTCTCAGTGTCTCTTGGGGGGGCCAGGCTGCTGGTGAGGGGACCCCTCAGTGTCCACTCGTGATTATGCTGGCGTCCACGTCCCTCACGCCCCCGCCCTCCATGCTCACAGCCCAGACCCCCGCAGCCGCAGCCCCCGCACAGCGCTCCCCACGGCCGCGCCGCTCACGTCCATGTCCCGGCAGAAGGCCGAGTAGGGCCCGTACTGCAGGCGGCACTGGTGGCCCACGTCGTACAGGACCCCGGGCGGCACGGAGGGGAAGTCGATGACGTCCTTGGCAGGAGGGTCGTCCAGGCACTGGCCCCACCCTCGGCTGCAGAGAGGACAGGGCCCAGGCCTGAGAGACCGCAGGGGGAGGGGAAGTCTACGAGGGTGGGGGGCGGGGCAGCTGGCGCCTGGCCGTGGGGGCACGCCAGGCCTCAGGCAGCTGCTTGGCGGGGCACTGAGCAGGGCACGGAGGGGCCCGGCTCCTTCACCCAGGACAGAGATAGGGCAGGCGCCGCCAGACGGGGTGGGGCGGGGGGCCGGGGGAGGCGGGTCCTGCTCCCGCCTGCCCAAGCCTCGGCCCTGCCCAGCCCGCCCGCGCCCTCCCCAGCCCGGGGCAGGGCTCACTCGAGGAACCTGGTGATGTACTGGCGGCTGCAGCGGGACCAGGTGAGGGGCGCCGCGTCGTACAGGAGCTGTGGAGACATGATGAAAGGCCGTTTCCCAACGGGCTGGCAGTCATTGCCGCTTCCGTCGTGCTGAATGCCAAAGCTGCGCGAGAGCAAGGCCGGGGCGGTGAGCGGGGAGGCGCCCAGCCCGGGCCTGCCTGGATGCCCTCCCCGCAGCCGGACCGAGGACCGAGGGTGGGGTGGCTGGCATGTGGGCAGCCGGAGGGTCCGGAGCCCTTCCCGGCCGGCCGAGGTGTGGGCGCCGTCCCAGCTGGGGTCAGGGAGGCCCGGGGTGCTGATGCCAGGAGCCCCCCGCAGAGGCCACCGGCCAGCCCCCCCGGCCTCGGGTCACAGAGCAGTGGGGGCCAGGAGTCCACAGTGCAAGCAGAGGGGCCCCACGGCCACTTTCCAGCTCCCCGCCCCCGCGGCCGCAGCCGGTCCAGCCCCAGGGGGGGTGGACACCGGGTGGACCCCTCCTGTCTGCCGCAGCAGCAACCTGGTGCGCGGGGACAGAGCAGACAGGGCGTGGCCAGTCCTCGCCCAGAACTCTGTGGTCCATGGCCGCTGCCTGGGCCCGGGGGAGGCGGGTACCTGTGCCCGAGCTCGTGGGCCACGGTGAAGGCCAGGGGCAGGCCCGAGTCCTCATTCACGCTGCAGCTGCGGAGCGGCTGGCACATGCCCGCCACGTGGGACAGGCCCAGGGTCTCGCAGGGCTGGTTCACGGCCGCACACAGGTCCTTCCTGCAAGGCAGAAGCGGCCTCAGGCTGCCCGCGGGCCCTGCCCACCCGGGAGAGGGCTCGAGGCTTGGCCGCTGTCCAGGCCCGGGACAGCCCCTGCCCTGGCTCGGCCAGCGCCCCAACTCTGGCCTGGGGAGTGGCAGCCAGCCGGGGCCCGCAAGCCAGCAGCAGGGGGAACCCCAGCGGGAAACAGGCGACTCCCCCCAGGGCCTCCGCACCAGAGTGGGTGCTACGTGTGGTCACACACTGTCATCACGGAGGCGGGGGCCGCAGCTGTCCTGCCCTCACAGCTGCTCCCAGACCCCCACGGGTGCGCAGGGCACGGGGCCAGGCCTGCGCGGGCCGGGTGAGCAGCAGGCTCCGACGTCCCCGCCCACCCGCCGCCGCCGCGTACCGGGTAAGCAGGATGGCCGTGTCGTGGTGCAGCGGGTGGGCGTCCCCCCGCATGTTGATGCTCTTCTGCCACTTGCAGAAGCTGCGCAGGGTGTGGTCTGCGTGGTGCGTGACCTTTAGGCCCTCCTGGGGGCAGAGAGCAGGCGTGTGAGCCCGCTGACCGAAAGGCCGCCCCATTTGCACACCCCGGGGCCCAGGCCGCTGGGCCAGGGGTCTGGTCCCGCCCGCAGCGTGACATTCCTCCCGGCGGCACCTCCGGGCGGGCACCAGATGGGCAGCGGGTGGGCGTCAGGCCGAGGGGCCCCCGCTGGGGCAGCCGGGGGCAGGGCGGGCCCGTCTCACCTCCTCATCCTCCAGCAGCACCAGCCGGACGATGGTGACGTGGATGGGGTTCCCGATGCTGGGATCGTGGAAGAGGCCGGCCACCTGCCGAGACAGGGGGTCAGGCTGCCCCGCCCCCGCCTGCCCCCTGAAGCTGCAGGGGACCTTCCCATGGGACCCCACCCAGCCCCTCCCAGGTCTGGAGCCCCATCTCAGGCGCTGACCCCACCACACCGCTGCCCAGCTCCCTGGCCAGTCCAGGCCCTCGGTGCCCGCTCAGCCCTGGCCGGGGCGGCCTGCCACCCGGGGAGGCGAGATGTCTAGTGGGCCTGGAAGGGCGAGGGGCCAGGGCGGGGTCTCCTGGGCTCTGCCAGCCCATCTGGCCGGGCTGGCTGGACCCCGCGCAGCCCCAGGAGGAAGGCCGCCCGCGACGGAAGCCATCTGCTCCTTCAAAGCCCCCCAGACCGCGAAGCTACTGGCTGCAGGCCCCGCAGCCCCGAGGGCAGTGGGCCCCAGAGCAGAGGCCAGTCCCTCTTCCAGAAGCCACAGAAGCCGGGGGTCTACTGGCCCCCTCTGCTGACCTCTCCATCCCACCACCACCACTGCCCTGTCCTTGACCAGCATCTTGTCTGGCCACTGCGGGGGTCCCCTGCAGCCAGCATCCGGGTCCCTGACACACCGGGGGCCCTAAACCTCCTGCGGAAGCTCCCAAGGGCCGGCAGGCTCCCAGGGGCCTCTCCCACCCCACACCACGGCCCCTCTGAGGCCAGCTGGGTGGCGCTGGGCAGCACCCCAGAGTGCCACCACCACCGCCCCGGGCCAGACCTCCCTCGCCTGCCACCCTCACCATATTCATGACGGTCAGCACGTAGCTCTCCACTTGCGGCTGCCCATGGTACTCCACCATCTTGGCGTCGGCCACCACCAGGGTCTCCACCCACTTCTCCTTGCTGACAGAGCGCTGCTGCCGCCGCTGCTGCCACTGCTCTCGCCGGGGCTCGGGCTCCAGGGACTCTGTGGGCCCAGGCAGGGCTCAGTTGCCAGCGGCCAGTCACGCACCTCGGGGCTCTCCTGGGCACGCGCTGGAGCCCCAGGAGCAGTGGCCGGCCTCCTGGGCTGGCACTGCCGTGTGGAAGTGGTCACAGCTAGTGGCCCAACCAGACCCCGGTGGTCAGGCAGAGGGTCTCGTGTGGGCATGCGTGGTCCCGCCCGGACGTGGCTGAGACGCGCCTGACTGACCTTGTGGGCTCCCCTGCCCACAGATCAGGAGGGGCAGATGATGAAGCTGGAGAAACTGAGGCAAGAAGAAGCCTCTGTGCCAACCTGTGCCAGCAAAGTCCCTGAGCTGTGGGCAGCTAACCAGGGAGGTGCCAGGGACGCTGCCCCCAACCCACTGCCCCAAGGACGACTCTGACCTGCTGGGGGTGGAAGTGGTTTCCACTAGCTGCCCCCACTGGTCCGGCCTCTGGAGGGGCAGGGAGAGGTGGGGGTGGGGTGGGGTCAGCCAGAGGGGCTGGTCTAAGGGAGCCTGTGCGTCAGGCCCACATGTGCCTGGAGGCACCGGCTGCCAGGGTGTCCGTAGGTCTGTCTGTGCCAGACCATCCAAGGGAGGCAGGCATGGGAGTGCCGAGAGAGGCTTCTAGAAAGGCCACCCATTGCCCCCAAGGTGCAGCAGAAGGGATACCTTGCACCCCGCAGGTGCCTGGGGGCCTGGAGCCCCCCCATTCCAGCCGCGGGTCCGGGGCCTGGCGTCTGTACACCACGTGGGGCTGGGCGCGGCCGGGCCGGGCCGGGGCACCCTCCAGGGGCTCGATGAAGTAGTCCTGGTCCGAGAGCCTGAACATGCCTTTCTGGGGCAGGCGGCAGGGTTCACGTGAGCAGGACTGGGGTGACGCAGCTACCCAGCCAAGCCCTCCTGCTTCCACTGCGGCTGAGCCCGAGCACCCCTGCCCGGGCTCTCCACTTTCCCCTGCCTGGAACTGTCTGCCCTGGCGTCCAGCCAGAGGCATCCAGGCTGACCGGCAGCCCCTTGGTTGCACTCACCAGGCCGTCGCAGGCACTGATGGCCGCCGGGCCGCCCTCCAGCTCGGGGTCCCGCACGTGGCCCAGCAGGTGGCAGGCGGGGGCTTGGGTGTGGACGAGCGTGCGCCCCAGGCCGCCGCGCCGCCGCGTCTCCCTCACGAAGCCGGGCGCCAGCAGGTGCGCGTTGGCGCTCAGGTTGAAGCGCAGCGTGCGGCCGTGGAACAGCAACTCGTAGAAGGCGGGCGCGGCCCGGGGCGCCGACACTGCCCTCTTGCGCAGCGCGCGCGGCCACAGCTCGTAGGACAGGAAGGCGCCCCCGGCGTCCACGCGCACCGGGTGCACGATATCCCGCGCGCCCCAGCCGGGGGCCGGCCCTGCGGGGACCAGAGCAGGAGGCGCTGGGGCCGCCGCTCGCCCTCCTGCGCCTTCCTCGGCTTGTCCCGGAGAGTCGCTGCTCTCACCTCAGGCTGCCGCTCCGGCCGCCCGCCCTCCCCCTCTGCCGCAGGGCCCTGCAGGGCTGGGGCCGCCCTGGCGAGGCTGTCACAGCCTCCCAAGTCCTCCCACTGCCCCGGCCCCCTGCGGTCCCTGAGACAAGCCACAGACGCCTCTGCCTGGAACCTTATTTCACCTACCTGCAGCTGCAAGCAAGCAAAAATATTTTATCTTTTTAATTTGGTAGCAAAAGCGCAGCTGTTCACTCCCTCGCCGCGTTGCTGATACTCATAGTGGACGGAAACGCGACGCCCACCTAGAAGCGGGGCCAGCTGGAGCTGTGGCCGACCCGTCCTCACCTCTCCCACCCCGGTCACTGGACGCTCCGGTAAGCCCGTGCCCCAGAGGCTGCAGACCCGGGCCAGGGCCTGGCGAGAGCCAGGGAGGCTCAGGGCAGGGGAGCCTGGCAGAGCACCCCACAGCCGGTGCCGAACCGAGGCTGGACCCAGCCCCCCAAGGGCCTCCCCTGACCACCAGCCCTCCGTGGCCGCCCTGAGGCCTCGACCTCGCGCTGGCACAGTGGGGGCCGGACTCCAGGCATCAAGCTCCCCTGGCCACTCGCGCCAGTCTCCAAAGGGGCCCGGGGCCGCACGTCAGTCAGCCCAGCCCTGGGGCGGAGGAGCCCGCGGCGGCCCCTCTGGCCCGGTCTCCCTCTGCGCAGTCTGAGGCTTCTCCAGCCCAGGCCCCACCTGACCGCGGGGAATGCCCAGCTCCCGGGACCCTGGCTGCTCATGGCCCGACCCCAGCCCCCGGCCTAGGGGCGCCCGCCGGGGGTGGAAGGGAAGCCGAGCCCGCTCTCCCTGTCTGCGGGCCACGCTGCGTGAGGCGCCCGCCACGGCAGCGCTGCTGACGTCCCGCGCCCAGCAGGCCCGCAGTGTCGAGACCCCGGGCCCAGGCAGGCGGCCCCGCGTCCGCTGAGTGGCCCTGGCGAGACTTCTGCCCCCGTTTCAGGAGCGAGGGCCTTCCAGGCAGCTTGGGTGAGTGTTTGCTGACAACAAACCCCAGGTGCAGCCCCACTGAGCCAGCTTCTCCGGGAAAAGGGGCAGGGAAGGGGGTCCAGACGCCCGAGGGGGCCCGGAGCCCCGGGGCCTGGGCCGTTCCTGGACTCTGAACACCCGTGGGTGCCTGGCCCACTCAGACCCGGGTTCTGGGGCTCAGAATCCACGTTTCCTGGGTTCTTCCAAACCTTCCGGGGACTCTGACGCGGACAGCTCAGGGGCAGGTTTGCCAGCCAGGGCTGCACCCTGGGGCTTTGCGCTAAGGCCGCTTGGGGTTGGGGCGGCACGGCCACGGCCACAGACCTGGTTTTCGCTTGTCACTTGCTGATTGGGGGGGTTGTCTTGGCTGGCACAGTATTGGAACATGTTAAATCACTTGTCGATATTTAAGTCACGTGATCTTGTAAAACACCTGCACATTCGGCTTTCCTTGAGGCCTTCCCGCCCCCCACCAGGCCTGCCTCCCGCCTGGCAGAGACCTCCGGCCTCGCAGGGCCCGGTAGGAAGGGCCTGGTCCCCCGTCTGAGTCTCCACCGCTCCCTATTGTCTTCCCAGCAGCAGGGAGGCCTGACACTGCCGGCGCCAGGCCCGCCCCGCGAGCCCCCCCAGTGCTGGGAGTCAGAACTCTGCGGCCGAGGGCGGCGCTGTCCCTTTGGCACGGTGTTCACCCTCATTTCCGGACAAGACCCCGAGTGACAAGGCAGGCCTTCCGCGGACCGCAGCGAGGCCAGGTGACACGCACGCCTCCTCCGGGGCTGCCTCGCGTGCCTTGCACACACACGTGCACACAGGCGGGGGCGCAGTGCTGTGCAGAGGACGAGGGAGCCCCGCGTGTGACACTTCCCCGGGCCAGCTGTGACCGCTGGGCTCCGCGGGCAGCGCCGGCGGGCAGGGTCAGGCTGGTCTCGGGAGCTCCGGGCTGGCCAGGGGGAGGGGCTCTGAGTGCAGCAGGCAGGGCTCCTCCAGGACGGGAGGCCGGACGCGCGCCCTGCAGGGGCCAGCCACACGGGGAGGCGCCCGCTGGCCCCTGGACCCCTGGCCTGTCCGGCTCACCTGGCGTCAAGAGACCATGCGTGGAGCGGGCGCTGCTGGCAGAGGCGCCCCCCTCGCGGCTCCCAGCCCGGGCTCCCCCAGAGCCGGGAGGTGGGCGCTGCCCCACAGGGCCGCCCTGGGTCCCGGGACGGCCCTCCCCAGGGTCCCGGCGGGGAGGCAGGCCCAGGGCCGCGCTGCCTCCAGCTCTGGCCGCCCCCGCAGCGGGGCGCGGGGGCGAGAGAGGCGAGAGCCGAGGGGCGCGAGGGGGCGCGAGGAGGCACTCGCGGGAGAGCCCGACCGTCCCGCGCGCCGAGGCCCGTCCGGTCCCGCCAGGCGGGGCTCGCTCGGCCTCGTCCTGGCCGCGAGTCCGCGGAGTCCCTCGGCCCGCGCGCCGCTTCCGGCGCCCGCCCGCCCGCCCCCCCTTGGGGACGCGCCCGGAGCGGCGCCCCGGCCCGGCCCCGCGTGGACAGCGCCGGCCCGGCCCACGCGCGCTCGCGGGGGGAGGAGCGGCAGGAAGTGCGAGCCGCGGGGTCCCCGCGCGCCCCCCGCCCCCCAGGCCCTCGCGGCGGCGGCCCGGAGCCCGGGGGGGGGGGGGGGGGCCAGGCGGGGCTCGCGGGGAGCGCGCGGCGTCCACGCCCTCGGGCCGCGCTGGGGGCGGGAGGTCCCGGACCCCACCCGGTGCCCCCAGCCCGGCGCGGGGGGGCGCGGGGGGGCGCGGGGGGCGCGGGGCGGGGGCGGCCACCCACCTGGAGCGGGCGCGAGGGCCCCGGGCGCCAGCGCGCACAGCAGCAGCAGCGGCGGCAGCAGGCGCCGGGCGGGCGCGGGCCCGGCGGGGGGCTGCGGGGCCGCGGGCCGCGGGGCATGGCCGGGTGGCCCCGCGCGCGCTCTCGCCCGTCCCGTCGGCTCGCGGCCCGGCCCGGCCCGGCCCGGCCCGGCTCAGCGCCTGCCCGGCCCGGACCCCGCCAGGCGCAGCGGCGCGCGGTCCGCGGGCAACAAAGGCTGCAGGGCCCGCCCCTCGGCGCGGCGGGAGACAGGCCGGGCGCAGGGAAAGGAGGAGGCGCGCCGGCCCCCGCCCCGCCCGCCCCGCCCCCGCCCCCGCCCCCGCCCCCGCCCCGGCCCCCCCAGGCTCGGCGGCCGGCGGGGCCCGCGGGCGGCCGGGACAGACGGGCCCGCGCGCGGCCGGGCAGCCACAGGCCGGCGGCCACCGCGCCCCGGCGGGACGCGCGCCCCGGGCAGCACCGGCCGGGCCCACGAGCCTGGGGCCGGGCCGGGCCGGGCCGGGCCGCGGCGACCCACGCCCGCGCGCCCACGGCCCCCGGGGCGCCCCCTGGCGGCAGAGCTGGGCCGGCCGCCCGGGCCGGGAGCGCGCGGGTCGCGAGCCTGGAATTCCCCGCCGGCCGCGCCGCCCGAGCTGGGGCCCCGCGAGGACCCCGTTCTCCCCCAGGCGTGCTCGCCGTTCCTGGTCTGCATGGAGGGTCAGCGGGCAGCCTGTGGCCACAGGCTCCCGGAGGGGGTGGCACTGGAAGCTTGGCACGACCACCCCAGCCTCAGTCCCAGGCCCTCTGCCCTTTGTGTCCCCTGCCTGGCTCTGCCACCCCCATGCTCCAGGGAGCCCCTCCAAGGGGTGCAGTCCCCCTCTGGCTCTGGGCCAGCCCCCCAGCTTCCTCCCTGGCAGCTGCGGCCTGTGGGGGCCCTGCCTCCCCGTTGTCAGCCTCCGAGCACGTTCCTCCTTCCAGGGAACCCCCTCCCGCACCCCAATCCCTGCCATCCTGGGGATCCACATAGCACAGTGCTGCCTCTCAGCTCCTTGACCCCAAGGAAGGCAGCCAGCCACCTGCTCTCTTGGCACTGCCCACTGTGTCGCCACTCTGAGCTCTGGGCCAGGCTTTTTCCCTTCGGAAGGCACAGAGGGGACAGGCTGCTCTGACCGTGCGCAGCCGTCACTGCACGGGCGGCTCCGTCCTGGGGAAGGCGGTGTCTCGCCCTCCCGCGGCTGGTTCTCCAGGGCAGCCCTGCTGGGCTCCTGGGATTTTGCAGGTTCCTGGAGGCTGGGGGGCTTTTGCACTGGGGGGCAGAGCCAGGGCCACTGCTGTGCCCCAGGGTGCCGGTCCCGCAGCGAGTGCCCCGCCGCAGACTCAGCAGCGCCGGCCCTGCAGAGCGGGCTTCCGAGGCGCACTGGAGGTGCGTCTAGCTAGGTGCCCTGGCGCTGCATTTACTCTGCGGGCCTCTCGCCGTTGCTCGGGGTTCCACTTTGGTTGTAGTTCCCAAGGGTCGGCGTGGGGTAACGTCCCAGACTTGCTGGATTGTGAGAAGTCACTCTTCCTTCCCAAACCTGACCCCCCTCTTCGTCCCCAGGGACCACAGCTATTTCCGTTTCTCATAAATTCTTCCAGAGAAGCTGCCGAGGGACACAGTCACAGGGCAGTGCGCACCCACTGCCAGCCCCACCCGCTGGGCGCCCCACGCACTGCCCTCCGGCCGCCGCTGTGGGAGGCCCCTGGGGAGCTGGGAGCAGGCAGCCAGCTCGGGCAGAGGCACTGGCTTTGCTCGCAGTGTGCCTGGGCGGCGGCAGCGCTCTGGGGCGGGTGGCTGCCCCCTATGCCTCTGGGAGGGGTGTGCTGGGCGCGCTGCCCAGCTGAGCGCATCCGGGCTGCAGCCTGGGGGCCGGAGCCTCTCCACGCAGCCACGACCTCGGTGGGCCACTAGCCCCCAAGTAAAGGTGTCATCTTTGGTGGGCCCCAACACCCCAGTCAATTGAAGAATTGCAAAAATAACTTAAATGTGAGCTTAGGGTACAGGTTGCTAAGCAAGGATGCCCGCCCCACCCCCCAAAAAAGAAAAGCAGGAAAGTA